CGCCAGACTCTGGGGTCTCTCAGGGCTCCGTCCTCTCCCCCATGCTTTTCAACATCTACATGCAGCCGCTGGGAGAGATCATCAGGGGGTTTGGGCTGGGGGTCCATCAGTATGCAGATGATACCCAGCTCTACCTCTCTTGCAAATTCGAACCAGTGAAGGCGGTGAAGGTTCTGTGTGAGTGTCTGGAGGCGGTTGGAGGATGGATGGTGGCTAACAGATTGAAAATAGGGACGTCCTATTCCATAATGATGATGATGATGATATTATTATTATTATTATTATTATTATTATTATTATTATTATTAATACCCCGCCCATCTGGCTAGGTTTCCCCAGCCACTCTGGGTGGCTCCCAACAGAATATTAAAAACACAAGAAAACATAAAAAAACTTCCCTAAATAGGGCTGCCTTCAATATGTCTTCTAAAAGTCAGATAGTTGTTTATTTCATTGACATCTGATGGGAGGGCGTTCCACAGGGCGGGCACCACCACCGAGAAGGCCCTCTGCCTGGTTCCCTGAAACCTCACTTCTCGCAGGGAGGGAACCGCCAGAAGGCCCTCGGAGCTGGACCCTGGTGTCCGGGCTGGACGATGGGGGTGGAGACGCTCCTTCAGGGATACAGGACCGAGGCCACTTAGGGCTTTCAAGGTCAACACCAACACTTTGAATTGTGCTTGGAAATGTCCTGGTAGCCAGTGTAGGTCTTTCAGGACTGGTGTTGTATGGTCTCCACTCCCAGTCCCCAGTCTGGCTGCCCCATTCTGAATTAGTTGCAGTTTCTGGGTCACCTTCAAGGTAGCACCACAGACAGCGCATTGCAGTAGTCCAAGCGGGAGATAACCAGAGCATGCACCACTCTGGCCAGACACTCTGCGGGCAGGGAGGGTCTCATCCTGCGTCCCAGATGGAGCTGCCCAGGACACAGAACTGACCTGCACCTCCATGGACAGCGGTGAGTCCAAAATGACCCCCAGGCTGCGCACCTGGTCCTTCGGGGGCACGGTTACCCCATTCAGGACCAGGGAGTCTCCCACACCTGACCGCCCCCTGTCCCCCCAAAACAGTACTCCTGTCTTGTCAGGATTCAACCTCAGCCTGCAGGGGGTTGGCTAGATGACTCTCACTCGGCGCATATCCGTGCGCTACGTCAGAGCGGGATGGGAAAAAGTCAGCGCAATGAAATGAGAAATGCGCGGAATTGCATGGCCTTAAGAGGCACATTTCTTCGTTCTCATAAACCTCTGTCAGTGATGGAGCGCCGTTCCTTCCCCCACCACCGTTCCCACCGCAGTGCGGGCCTCGCATGCTCCGCTCGCGCCCTGGCACAGTGGCCCAGATCTGCCATCACGCATGGCTGCCCCCCCTGCGACGCCACCCCCTCGGGGCGGCCCACGAGCAGGCAGATGGGGCCCTCACCCCGGCTGGGCTAATCCGACACGACTTTTCCATTAGGCCCGAGACGCTGGCAAAGAGCTTTCCGGTGTCGGGAAATGGGGGGGGGGGAGGCTGGCAAACCCTCTCGGCTGCCCCCACCTCCTGCGAAACACAACCCCACACAGATCTCAAACTCTTCTGGCTGAGCAATGGTTAAGGATGCTTCGAGGAAGAGTGCAAAGCACATTGTTTCCTGGTTTGGCTGAAATTGCATACAGGAAACGCATGGGGGGAGAAGGTGCACAAAGGGGCAGGTGCCCCCTGGCATAGGAGTCCACTCCTAGGGGCAGGGGTTCCTTCAGCTCCCCCCCCCCCCCAGATTATATTTTCCAGGGACAGTTCTGGATTTACAGAAGCCGTATCGGTTTCTGATCTGATCACAGAATGTCCTGCTTTTCCTTAGGACGTTCCTATTTTCAGGGGAGAAACGTTGGAGGGGATGGAATAGGGCGTGCCTATTTTCAGGGGAGAAACGTTGGAGGGGATGGAATAGGACGTCCCTATTTCCAGGGGAGAAACGGAGGGGATGGAATAGGACGTCCCTATTTCCAGGTGAGAAAGGTTGGTGGGTTTGTATAGGACGTCCCTATTTTCAGGGGAGAAACGTTGGAGGGGATGGAATAGGACGTCCCTATTTTCAGGGAGAAACATTGGAGGATGGAATAGGACGTCCCTATTTTCAGGGGAGAAACATTGGAGGGGATGGAATAGGACGTCCCTATTTTCACGGGAGAAACGTTGGAGGGGATGGAATAGGACGTCCCTATTTTCAGGGGAGAAACGTTGGAGGGGATGGAATAGGACGTCCCTATTTTCAGGGGAGCCCTATTTTCAGGGGAGAAACGTTGGAGGGGATGGAATAGGACGTCCCTCTTATCAGGGAGAAACGTTGGAGGGGATGGAATAGGACGTCCCTATTTTCAGGAGAAACATTGGAGGGGATGGAATAGGACGTCCCTATTTTCAGGGGAGAAACATTGGAGGGGATGGAATAGGACGTCCCTATTTTCAGGAGAGAAACGTTGTAGGGGATGGAATGGGACGTCCCTATTTTCAGGGGAGAAACATTGGAGGGGATGGCCCCCCAATAAAATGTTTGAGCCCCGCACCAAGTTGACAGGCATTGCCACTCAAATGGGGTGTGTTTGCCACATCTTGTGATAGATTTTGCAGGGTGGGGGGCTTACCTGCCCCCCATATTTATTTTCATACCTTCCTTCTCTTTTTTGTCTTGAACTGGGCACACCTGGAATCCTGTGTCCAATTCTGGGCGCCACAATTTAAGAAGGATGTTGACAAGCTGGAAGGTGGGCAGAGGAGGGAGACCGAGATGGTCAAAGGTTTGGAAACCAAGCCTGATGAGGAACAGTCGAAGGAGCTGAGGGTGTTCAGCCTGGAAAAGAGGAGACTGTGTGGTTTTTAACTGCGTTTTTGCAGAGACCACGCAGACCACGACTGATGCGGGCCTCAGTTTGGGTACTGCCATCTTGGCAGCCGAGCCTGATGAGGAGCGGTCGAAGGAGCTGGGTCCATTGAGCCTGGGAAAGAGGAGACTGAGAGGAGATAGGAGATCCAACTTCCAATATCTCAAGGGGCTGCCATATGGAAGAGGGAAGAAGCTTGCTTTCTCCTGCTCTGGTGGGTAGGACTCGAACCCATGGCTTCAAGTTACAAGAGAGGATATTCTGACTCAACATCACGAAAAGCTTTCTGACAGTAAAAGCTGTTTGACAGTGGGAGATCATCCTTGGAGGTTTTTAAGCAGAGGTTGGGACGGCCCTCTGCCATGGATGCTTTAGTTGAGATTCCTGCATTGCAGGGGGTTGGACTGGATGACCACTGGAGGGTCCCTTTCATCTCTTAGGTTCTACCATTACATGCATGGAACTGTACTCCAATGTAATGGCACAATCCCTTTTCGAAAACGCACGTTACCGTTCCCCCACACCCTTTCTCTGCCGCAACGGGGAGCCTTGTTAAAAATGTGTGGGGTGAAATAATTCATGCAAAAAGAAAAAGAGGGGGGGAAAACCCCAGAAAGCTTTTCATGCAATTTACACATTCCTTTACTCTGATGACGCCATGAATATTTCAGTAAGTACCAGGCATTAAAGTTGCATGGTTACTCGCGGAAGAGCCTGTTTAATAGGACATCATCCAGAACTGGGACTCGAAGGCAGGCCACGCGTGAAAATCCTCAAAAGCTGAATGAGGGGTCCCTCTTCCCCCAAACTGAGAAGCCCTGAACTTATGCACCAGCACGGTAAAGATAATTAAAAAGCAAAATGGGTTGGAGAAGTGTCAGGATTAAAAAGGATCTTGTGTTGTTAAACGAGACTTCCTAAGCAGAGGCACTCGGGCCAACCTAGTTATTTGGGAATGTAGTCTGTTCATGTTTATTGGGGATTTCTTTTCCAAGATTATAACGACCAAAAAAACTTTCAGCAGCCAGGAAAAACCTGCAGAGTACGAGGAAGAATCACAGGTACTATCTAATAAGCACCATGACAGACCCTCTAAGTGTCCCTGTTTTCCAGGGACAGCCCCAGATCAACAGAAGCCGTTTACTTAAGAAGTCCTTATTTCCATTGGAGAAATGTTGGAGAGGATGGAATAGGACGTCCCTATTTTCACAAGAGAAACGTTGGAGGGGATGGACTAGGACGTCCCTATTTTCAGGGGAGAAACGTCGGAGGGGATGGACTAGGACGTCCCTATTTTCACAGGAGAAACGTTGGAGAGGACGGAATAGGACGTCCCTATTTTCAGGGGAGAAACGTCGGAGGGGACGGAATAGGACGTCCCTATTTTCACAAGAGAAACGTTGGAGGGGATGGACTAGGACGTCCCTATTTTCAGGGGAGAAACATTGGAGGGGATGGAATAGGACGTCCCTATTCTCACAAGAGAAATGTTGTAGGGGATGGATTAGGATGTCCCTGTTTTCAAAGGAGAAATGTTGGAGGGGATGGAATAGGACGTCCCTATTTTCAGGGGAGAAACGTTGGAGGGGATGGATCGAGTGCAAGGCAGATCTTTACGCTTCTGTTGCAACAGAGTTCCTAATCACCATCATAAATCAATAATAAATAAAATTTTATTTATATCCCGTCCTCCCCAGGCAAAGCCGGGCTCAGAGCGGCTAATCATCATCATACAGTGAAGCATAAGAGTCACAGTGGTAGGTTCCATGGCAAAATGGCGGGTGTTCCTTCGCCGCAATTTGGGGTGTGCCATGAGGACATCCGCCCGGGCCCTTGCCTTCACCCCGGGGAAGGTGGTGGGGATAGCATGGCGGGGGAACTTGTCGGCTGACACCACACTCCTTGTCAGGATGTATTAGCCCCCCACGGCCTGGCAGAGCGACGGCGCCCCCCCTTGCTCCTCCGCCAAGCCACGCCGGGCGCAAGCGAAGCGCCCCTCTTCCCGCAGCCATGGCATGTCGGAAGAGATCAGCTCATTGAGGGGGAAAGATGGCGGTGGGAGTCAGCGCTGACAGATCGGGCCTGACAGCCCCTTTCCAAAGTGGATTTTTAAAAGGGTGTGGGTCTGCTGCTTACCACGTTTTGGGGTTTGGGTTTTTTTGTTGTTGGGGGGCACACGCCACAGGGGGCGAACCCCCAGACGGAGAAAAAACTCGGAAAGCCTGGGAAAATTGTGGCGGCAAAGGCATGGATGCGGAAAAACGCCGCGGGGAATTCGGGATCGAAGCATCGCCAGGCAACGGGGGAAATGTCGGGGAGGCCGTCGTTCTGTGCCTCCCCCACCCAAAAAAAACCCTTGACTGTTCGTCGGAGGACACTTTGGAAGACCCGCGTCAATTTCGCAAGGGGATTTGCCTCCTTTCGGGCCTTGGACGGCTGAGGAGAACGCATGGCACGATGCCCACCAATGCCCTTTTTGAGATATCCAGTATGCAACAACAGCAGCAAGAATACTCATTGCGAAGTATTGGAAGACACAAGATTTACCCACTCTGGAAGAATGGCAGATGAAGTTGATGGACTATATGGAATTGGCGGAAATGACTGGCAGAATCCGAGACCAGGGAGAAGAGTCGGTGGAAGAAGACTGGAAAAAGTTTAAAGACTATTTACAGAAATACTGTAAAATTAATGAATGTTAGAAAAATGTTGGAATGAAGTTATATGGCTTTAGTAGAAATGTTATAAGGAATTAAGTATAAATAGATTAATAGAGTATCAAAGGGAAAAATAAGGCTAGAATCTGTTAAGATAATTAAAGGATAGAAAGCAGAGGAAGATGGAAAGGAATTGCTGAAACAATCAACAGAAGTGGAATACAAAAAGGGAGGTGTGAGGAGGCCACGGAAATAAGTGAATGAAAGATAAGATATTGAAATTGTTTGATGTTTTTTTAAACTGTTTTTGTTTTGTTTTGTTACGTTTAATGTGTTATGTAGTGTTTTTGTACTGTATTGTGTTGTTCTTTTTTCTTTTTATTTTTTGATGTGTTTAAATTGTTGGAAAAGTAATAAATATTATTTAAAAAAAAAAACTTTTTGAGATATCCAGCTGGGTAGTGATTCTGAGGTTCCTTCGCCCCCCCGGGGAGGACTTATGAATGGCTGAGAGTCCCCGGCGGACTGCTTAAATATTTTTATGCAACTGTGACATGCTAGACGCTGTGGGGTTTTTAACTGCGTTTATGCAGAGACCACACGGACCACGACTCAGTTTGGGTACCACCACCTTGGCAGCCGAAGCCTGATGAGGAGCGGTTGAAGGAGCTGGGTCCGTTGAGCCTGGGAAAGAGGAGACTGAGAAGAGATAGGAGAGCCCTCTTCAAATATGTGCCCATATTTCAAATGTCTCCTAAAAGTTGTGTACTTCTTTTTCTCCTTGACATCTGACGGGAGGACGTTCCACAGGGCAGGCACCACCACCAAGAAGGCCCTCTGCCTGGTTCCCTGTAACCTCGCTTCTCGCAGGGAGGGAACTGCCAGAAGGCCCTCGGAGCTGGACCCCGGTGTCCGGGCGATGGGGGTGGAGATGCTCCTTCAGGTCTACTGGGCCATTTAGGGCTTTCAAGGTCAGCACCAACCCTTTGAATTGTGCTCGGAAACATCCTGGGAGCCAATGTAGGTCTTTCAGGACCGGGGTTATGTGGTCTCCACTCCCAGTCCCCAGTCTGGCTGCCGCATTCTGGATTAATTGCAGTTTCTGGGCCACCTTCCAAGGTAGCCCCATGTAGAGCGTGTTGCAGTAGTCCAAGCGAGAGATAACTAGAGCATGCACCACTCTGGCCAGACAGTCTGCGGGCAGGGAGGGTCTCATCCTGCGTACCAGATGGAGCTGCCCTGGACACAGAATTGACCTGCGCCTCCATGGACAGCGGTGAGTCCAAAATGACCCCCAGGCTGAACACCTGGTCCTTTGGGGGCACAGTTAGGCCCTAACAGACCAGTCTCTGCTTCCACATGGGAACCAAAGTGTCTCCAAAACCAGATGTCCGCCGACATGAATCCTGGCACCTCCACCAATGGGGTAACCACAACTAGGATCAGGTCCGCCCTTCCGCTGCTTGCTCTGAGTGGACAGGATGGACGGAGGTAGATTGCTCCTGGCCATGGAGGTTCTCCCATCTCCTGTTGTGGGGTGGCGAGCGGCCCAGAGCTTTCCTCTTCACCCCCCTCCTCCTCGACACACTTTTCGAACGAAAACCAATTCACTTCCCGGCTCACACACATACACAAAAACAACAACAACAAAGACCGACGGTGTCCTACAAACCCACAACATCCTTTTGTTTGTTCTGCCTGGCTGGACAATAAGTGACGCTCCTTTCTCTTCTCAAAAAGCACACACAAACACACTCTTCGCACAATACCTTGAGGACGGCCCCCACCCCATAAGGCAATGGAGTTTTTGATTTTATTTTCTTCCTCGCGGACCCCCTGCCTGTGTCTGAGGCCTGAAAAAGAGGCCTGCCACCCATTCACAGTGTTTATTATTCGCCACCAAATGGCGCAACAAATATAGATAGATAGATTTAAGTTGTTACCGGGTGGAGAAAATAATAATAAAGCATTAAGCATCCTTTTCCTCGCTCCATTTTCCGTGGCGAGTTTCTGGTCCCTATTCATCTATTGCCACGGCAACCGGGATCCATCAATGGCCATCAGTGACTCAGGACAATTAGAGAGATGAAGGAAAGGGGAAAGGACGGAGCGCGAGGCAGAGATTTGGACCAGAGGGCTGCTTTGCACGGCGCCATGTTCACACCCTCGAATTATCCTCATTATTGGCGTCACCGCCGACCCTGAGAGGCCTGGTCGCTGCCCCGATTCGCGTTGCGTAGACGCGGCCGTTTGCGAGAGAGCCGCCTCATTTGGGTGACCTGGAAAGATTCGGTTAGGTGGGGAGCTGCCTATCTCTCCGTAAAAACCGGAATCAGGTCACTGGGGCTTGTGGAAATGTCACAGAGATGGGAATCAGCGTCAGCCAAGCTCAGAGCATGGCGGCTTAGTTAGCAGAGAATCAGAGGATATTTGAGAGAGTCTTTGAACCTCTTTAGTTGACCACCAGCATTACGCTTTCCAGTCTTAAGTTGGGAATAGAGTAGTTGCTTCGGAAGACGATCATCAGGCATCCGCACAATATGACCAGTCCAACGAAGTTGATGTTGAAGAATCGTTGCTTCGACACTGATGATCTTTGCTTCTTCCAGTACACTGGCATTAGTTCGCCTGTCTTCCCAAGTGATGTGTAAAAATTTTCGGAGACACCGTTGATGGAATCTTTCGAGGAGTTGGAGATGGCGTTTATAAGTGGTCCACGTTTCACAAGCATAATTATTATATTTGTGGCCCACTTTCCTTTAAGGAGGGATGCGGGTGGCGCTGTGGTCTAAACCACAGAGCCCAGGGCTTGCCAATCAGAAGGTCGGCGGTTCGAATCCCTGCAATGATGGGCAGAGCTCCCGTTGCTCGGTCCCTGCTCCTGCCCACCTAGCAGTTCAAAAGCACACCAGTGCAAGTAGATAAATAGGTACCGCTCCGGTGGGAAGGTAAGCGGCGTTTCCGTGCACTGCTCTGGTTCGCCAGAAGCGGCTTAGTCCTGCTGGCCACATGACCCGGAAGCTGTATGCCGGCTCCCTCGGCCAGTAAAGCGAGATGAGCACCGCAACCCCAGAGTCGTCCATGACTGGACCTAATGGTCAGGGGTCCCTTTACCTTCAAGGATATGTGTCTGGCTTCTCTCCATTGCACCCTCCAAAACAACCAGATGGGTGGTGTATAAGTATTATTGCTATTATCAACGCTATTTTTCTAGGGGGGGGAAAAGGGGCAGAACTCTGCATGAACACCTCTTTTCTTGGCTAGAGTGGCATCTACGTGAAAGTTCTGGAGAGGTTCTGGAACTGGGTCCAGGTGAGTTCCCCCTGGGAAAAACACCCTGGTTGTTGTTGTTAACATTGTGCCCAGCAACAGACCAGTAGGCAATGGTGCTACTGCAAAAAGAGAGTCCTTATAACCAGTAGTGATGTATGGAAGTGAGAGCTGGACCATCAAGAAGGCTGATCGCCGAAGAATGGATGCTTTTGACTTATGGTGCTGGAGGAGACTCTTGAGAGTCCCATGGACTGCAAGAAGATCCAACCTCTCCATTCGGAAGGAAATCAGCCCTGAGTGCTCACTGGAAGGACAGATCCTGAAGCTGAGGCTCCAAGACTTTGGCCACCTCATGAGAAGAGAAGGCTCCCTGGAAAAGACCCTGATGTTGGGAAAGATGGAGGACGCAAGGAGAAGGGGACGACAGAGGACGAGATGGTGGGACAGTGTTCTCGAAGCGACCAGCATGAGTTTGACCAAACTGCGGGAGGCAGTGGAAGGCAGGAGGGCCTGGCGTGCTCTGGTCCAGGGGGTCACCAAGAGGCGGACACGACTAAACGACTCAACAACAACAACAATAACCAGTCGACAGCCTGGCTGCAGAATTATAGATCATACAAGGCGTGGCCGGAAAGTTCGGCGAACGGTCAAAGAAACCGGACTGCGAGAAATATTCGAATATACAATCAGCATCGGAAACCCACAAAACGCTTGACGCTGTGTACGGAGATGAAACTGTAACTTCATTGCATGGGGTTCTGCTAGATGACCGCACGGGGTACCAATTCTACGACTCTATAATTTATTTGAGCGCCGGGTTCCCTCACAACTCTACGACTCTGTAATTTATTATGTCAGGGGAATTGATTTTGGAAACATCCGTGCAAAAACTGGATACCAACCTCAGGATATCCGGAAAACTGCCTTGAAAGGAAAAGAAAAGGAAATTGTGTTCTGAGTGTGGAGGACTGAATTTGAAACCGGTAAAAGTAGAAGCTGGTCGAAGCCAAAAATCACATCTTCAGCTATCCCTGTTCTCATTCTTATTTCATTTTGTACAATTTGCGCATCACTCGCTTGTAAAACAACAACAACAACGCCTCGAGGCAGTGTAAGAAAAGAATAAAAATAATTAAATGGTAGGTTAAAATGATCCCTGGCGAAGATATTTGGGTAAGTCTTACCTGGAATAGAAGACAGCAACGCAGAGTCTTTCTGTATGACTTAGTTGGCAAAATTTAGGAGCCGAGGTTGAGTTATCAAGTTCAAGTTCAGGTCTGGCTGATAAATTCAGATTTACTCAAAAGCCACTTTTTTATTCTCCACTGCTGCCATCTGCTGGTAGCTTCCAGAACACTGTCCCACCATCTTGTCCTCTGTCGTCCCCTTCTCCTTGCGCCCTCCATCTTTCCCAACATCAGGGTCTTTTCCAGGGAGTCTTCTCTTCTCCTGAGGTGGCCAAAGTCTTGGAGCCTCAGCTTCAGGATCTGTCCTTCCAGTGAGCACTCAGGGCTGATTTCCTTCAGAATGGAGAGGTTGGATCTTCTTGCAGTCCATGGGACTCTCAAGAGTCTCCTCCAGCACCAGAATTCAAAAGCATCCATTCTTTGGCGATCAGCCTTCTTGATGGTCCAGCTCTCACTTCCGCACATCACTACTGGGAAAACCATGGCTTGAACTATACGGACCTTTGTCGGCAAGGTGATGTCTCTACTTTTTAAGATGCTGTCTAGGTTTGTCATCGCTTTTCTCCCAAGAAGCAGGCGTCTTTTAATTTCATGACTGCTGTCACCATCTGCAGTGATCATGGAACCCAATGATTCCATTGATCCATGAAGGAGATAGAATATTTTAGGTAACGATATAACAAGGTCGGGAAATGAAGCGAAATGCAAAGATGCAAAGTTTAATTTTGCAAACCGTCAGGGAGGGAAGTCCATAGGTTCAGTCGAGCCAAAGAGATAAATTAAGAGGGTACGAAGTTTACCTATGTAAAACCGATTAAAATCATTTATAAGACTCTCAGGCTACCCAGCATAACTTATGGAACTCCCTGCTGGTATCCGGGCGTCTTTTAGATTTTCGGCATCTATTAAAGATAGGGTAACAAACCCACCTCCTTTGGCCCACAGATGCGGAGCAGGCGAGAATACCTTTGCCCTGTCGGTACTTCGTTTATCGGCGATAGATACTGATGAATCTCAGAGTCGGGTGGGATCCCCTGAGGTCATCCAGCTGAACCCCCTGCAAGGCAGGAATCTCAGCCAAAACACCTGTTATCGACAGCCACCCAACCTCTTGTTTCGAAACCTCCAAGAAACGAGAGTACGAAACATCCCGACGCTTTTAAAGTAGAATTGTCATTTTCCCCTCGTTTTTATCTTTTCGTGAAACTGCTCCAAGGTCTTTTGTGCGTCTGTGTGTTTTACATCCAAGCGGAAACAAAAAACGAATTTGTTCCACTTCTTCAGATTTTGTGCATGCACACAAAAGGTTATATCAAGAACAAACTTAGTTGGTCTCTAAGGTGCTACTGGACATTTTTATTTTTTAATAGGTTTTGACAGCATCAGACCAAGACGGCTACCTACCTGAATCTAGGATTTGTTTCACGTTATTTCATTCTAAGGTTCATAGCCTGCCTTCGCTCCAAGGAGTTGTTATTTGATTCTAAGGTTCATTCAAGGAGTTCAGGGTTGTGCGAATGGTTCTCTTCCTGACGACCCTGGCGATTTATGAGTTATGTGCTTCGACTGACGAAAAATTTCTTAAACTGGGATGCTGAGACTCGTTGCCCACTGGAAAGCCAGCGAAGGGGCGATTAGAATTTAAAGCTCGAAACATGTTTTAAAAGTACAATGGGACCTTGGTTCCCAAATTCCGCAAACCCAGAAGTGAGTGTTCCGGTTTTAGAACGTTTTTCGGAAGCCGGACGTCCGACGTGACTGTCAACTATTGTTTCTGGGGCGCCTGAGCCAATCAGAAGCCGCGCCTCGGTTTCCAAACATTTCAGAAGTCAAACAGACTTCTGGAATGGATTAAGTTTGGCGCTTTGTCTTCGCTATTTATTTTGCTTTTTTGTTTTTGAGGCTTTTTTGGTTCATTTGTTTTTGTGACTGTGTGGAACCCAGTTCAGCTACTGATGGATGGATTGTGTGACTGTGGAAATGGATAAAAGCCCCCCATCCAAACAATGACTATCATCAGTGCAGTAAGAAATAAAAAAAAAATAATTATCTACAATACTGCCTTATTTTATAGTACAGCACATTGATTCTTGCTTTCATTTTATGGATCGATGGTCTCGTTAGACGGCAAAATTCCCGTTAAATTGCTGTTTTAGGGGTTGTTCTTAAAAGTCTGGAACGGGTTAATCCGTTCTGCATTGCTTTCTATGGGAAAGCGCGCCTTGCTTTTGGAACGGAATTTCCGGGACGGATTAAGTTTGAGAACCAAGGTACCACTGTATCGTATATGAATCTCTCATAAGCGTAAATGTCTCTAACAGACGTTAGCTTGTGAGGTTGCCAAATGCACACATTGGCCGCAGCGCCTCTGCTTATTCGGGTTGCCAACTTACCAAAGGACCCAGGTGCATTTTTTAATCTTGGCAATGTGGCTTGACAAGAGTTCCAAGGGCCAGACATTTGGCCCCCTCAATGGTAGGATGTTCCCCCCAGAATCTGTTGTAAGGCACGATACATGCTTAAACTTTGAAAGTTTACCCACAATAACGCCCAGACCCGACCCCGCCGGCTGCACGACGCAAGTGCTTCATCGGTAGCAAAAAAAGTCTTTATTCTTCTTATTGTTTTATTATTATTATTAAGAAGGCTCTGAAAGTTCAAAAAAATAAATCTCTGCATACAATTCTCGTAATCAGCAAGTGAGATCACCAAATATATATATGAGAAGAACTTTAGCCGCGGTCGGGTTAAAGCTCCGGCCCCCGTCCCAGCCCCCCTCCCTCCTCCCCCCTTTTTTAAAAAATAAAATATATTTTAGTTCTTAAAATTTATTCAATAAAGTAAATTATTCTCCCCTAGAAATTCCCTACATATACACAGAAGTAAAAAATAAAAGTTTTTCTTTTTTAAAAAACAAAACAAAACCCAGGCCGAGAAAAAGAAAAATGAAGAGATAGTGGGGTGTAACCAAGCCCCTACTCTTGAGTAGGCCCACTGAAATTAAAGGACTCATTCGTTTAAAACTTTCCTTTGTGTGTGTGCGCATTTGTGACTTAAATTGGCATAATGGGCAATTTGCCCCCATAGATTCGCCCCATGTTTTCTGATCGTGGTGAACCCCCAAATCACCCCCCCACTTCTCTTTGCATGGATTTTTTTGGAGGGGGGACAGCGGGTTTTTATTTGTCTTACCAACAGAAATTATATATGTATGTCCACCTAAATATGTCTGAGCTCTAATGTTAGCTATAACTGGAGAAGACTCACTGCAAAAAACCAACAGTTTGATGCAATTTAAACCCACTGAACGGGTTTACTCTGCGTATGGCTAAGGAAGGTAGACACATCGGGCTGGATCGGGCATTTACACAGAGTAGACCCATTGCAATCCATGGGCATGGCCAACGTCGGTCCGGGGACACGAATAACGGCCACATTTGTGGCACCATAGTGTCCCGGGAAGCGTAGTTCGTTCAGGGCGCTGAGAGTGGTGAGGCGACCCCCCAGTCACCCTCGGGGAAAACGACAATTCCCAGAGTTCTCTGGGAAGTGGGGCTGGTTGCTAAACTACTTTGGGAACTGTGGCGCCGAGAGGGCAACGGGGTGCGTGTCTCCTAGCAACTCTCAGAGCTGTAAAACTATACCTCCCAGATTCCTCGGGACTGTTCAAAGCGGCGCTTTTCTGCTTTAAATGCTTGCTTGTGGATTTGGCCCATTGACAGAGGTTCTGCAGAACTGAGCCGAACGCAATCCACAAACCTGGAACCGCAGACCACCCCCCCCAAAAAAAAATGTATATGCAAAAATATTAATAGACGGTGTTCTCGATTAAAGAACATCATCCGTGGCCCCTTTCATAGTGCATGCGGACCTCGGTTTTCGCTCGGTGCGTCAGTGTTCGTAAAAAAAGAGAGAACGAAAATACTGCTATTTGGAGGAAAAGGTTGCGCCTGGATTGAGTTAAAGCTATCCTGTAAACAATATTGTTTTAAAATATATTTCCGTCGGCCCAACTCTTGAAATCGGCGCGGCACTTCCATCCCCGCTCTCCCGCTCCCCCAAATTCATTTCATTCCCCTCCCGCCCGCCTCCAAATCTCGTTTATTACGCAGCGAAGGCGTAACTTACGGTTGCATTTGGGGCGCCCCTCTCCCTCCCCGCCGCAATCCGCCATGTTTGTGTGTGCTTTTTTATATATATATAAAAAAGGTTGATAGAAACAGTTTGGAAGTTCGCAAAAAGCCGGCCGTGTTTTCGTAAAGGGGGGTGGGGAAAGGGGGCCGCCGGACCCCCGGGAACCCGCCGCGCCTATGAGAAAATGTGGATGGCTTGCGTGGCGGGCGTGTGGCAGGCCGGGCACTCGGGGTCGGAGCGGCCGCAGATGCGCATGGCGCACTCCATGCAGAAGAGGTTGTGGCCGCAGGGCACCAAGGCGGCGATCACCTCACTCTCAAAACAGACCATGCACTCGCGGGAAGCTTTGCGCGGGCCCTCGGAGCAGGTGGAGTCGGTGGGGGAGCCCGATGCGGCCGAGAGGCTCCCGGGCAGCGACGACGATGACGAGGAGTAGCCCGTGCTGTTAGAGAAGGATGAGAGGGAGCCCTGCGGCGGCAGCCAGGGGACGGCGCTGACTGGATCGCTCGGGATCCGGCGGGCCAGCGGGTGCTCCAGGGCCGCCGCGGCCTCCGGGAAGGTGGGCGAGTGCCGCGGCGTGCTCTTGCGCCGCTGAGAAGCGCCGCTGTGCGACGAGGAGGAAGACCGGCTGAAGGCCTGGAGCGGGTCGGCAGGGGGCTCGAACGGAGACCAGATGTGGGCCGGCGCCGCCAGCTCCAAGGGGAGGAAGTCAAAGGCAAAGTCGCCGTCGTCCGAGCCCAGAGCGTCGCTGAAGGGGAAGCTGCCGGAGCCGCCGCCGAACGGGCTGCTGGGGGCTCCGTCGGGAACGGGGCCGCCGAAATAGGTCTCCGCCGGGGAAGTGTCGCTGCGGAGGCCGGGCAGGGCGCGGCGGGCCGGATTGGGGGCTTTGGACCACAGGCTGGAGGGTCCGCCGGACAGGAGGTCCAGGCAGACGTCGGTGCCGTTAGAGTGGAAGTCGTTGTCGGCGTTGACGTCGACGAAGGAGCCGGTGCGCATGGTGATGTGGGCCTCGATTTCCTCTCGCGCCCGGTCGACGTTCTCGGGCATGCCGGTCACCTCGAAGACGGGCTCCTTGTCTCGGCTGGGGGTGACGATGTACGTGTGCGTCTGCTGCTGGATGCGTTTGATGGTGGCGCCTTTGGGGCCCACAACCAGCCCCACAACCCGGTACGGGACGCGGACCTGGATGGTCGTCTGCCCCGGGAGGTTCGGAGGGCCGAGGATTGAGCCCCCCGTGCCGCTGGCTTTGTTCCGCGTGGCTCGGATCATGGAGAAATGCTCGGCGGCCGAGAGGATCTCGCGCTTGGCCATTTCGACGTCCTCTTTCCTCCCCGTCACGATGAAGACCGGCTCCTCGCCTCGCACCGGGGTCTTGATGTAGGTGTTGGTTTTTGCCCGCAAGGCTTTGATCTTGCACCCTGGAGCCGGGCGGAAGAGAAACGGTCGATATGTTAGCTCTCGGTCGAAATAAACGTTCAAAAGCACCGTATTTTTTGCTCTATAAGACGCACCAAACCATAGAATGCACCTAGTTTTTGGAGGAGGAAAACAAGGAAAAAAATATTCTGAATCCCAGAACAGCAAGAGGGATCGCTGCACAGTGAAAGCAGCAATCCCTCTTGCTGTTCTGGCTTCTGGGATAGCTGCGCAGTCTGCATTCGCTCCATAAGACGCACACACATTTCCCGCTTTTAGGAGGGAAAAAGTGCATCTTATAGAGCGAAAAACACAGTACTTTCCCAAGAAAACCAGCGTCCTTAAAGATGTCAGATTGTTTTTGTGTGCTACAACTGCAGCTAGAATTTTGTTAGCTAAGTATTGGAAATCGCAAGAAGTCCCAACAGTGGAGGAATGGCAGATGAAGATGATGGACTTTTCGGAAGAGTCCGCAACCAGGAGGAGGAGGAGGAGTACCAGGAGGAATGGATGACATTCAAAGACTATTTAGTTAAATATGCTAAGATAATTTAACTGGGAACACTTGCAAATATCAGATAGGCTTAGGATTTAAACAGGTGATGTTAGAGAATAAAATGTTTAAAGTCAAAATGAAAAGAAAGAATGATGCTAACTGATTAAGTTAAATTTTATGAGAAATTTAGTTTTGGAAAACTGTTACACTGAAATTCAGCCAGGGGGATTAGAGGAAGTCACCTAACAATGTTATGAAGATTGGATTAAGTATAGATAAGATTTATGCTTGTTTGTTTGTTTTAAAAATTTTGGAAAATCAATAAAAAAAATTGAAAAAAGAAAGAAAGAAAAACAGCGTCCCTTTTTGATTGGGGATAATTCAGACCGAAATACCCAGGTGTCAAAAATGGTTATTTATGTATGTCACTACTGCGGCTAGGGCCGGATTTAGGTTTGATGAGGCCCTCAGCTCCTGAAGGTAATGGGGCCCTTTCTATGTCCAGCTGTCCTTTGTCAACAACAAATTGCCACTGTTTTTTGTGTGTTGAAAATATGCTATATGGTCATTTATGGACCTAATAGGTATCTCAAGCCATTTGCACGTAACAAAATATGTATTTTATCAAAGTAATGGTTTTTGCTGAAATACAATTAAGAAGAAGTATATTAATAGTGAAATGCAATTAAGAAGAAGTATATTAATAGTGAAATACAACTAAGAAGAAGTATATTAACAGTGAAATAATTATTACGCTCTAACTTAAAATCATTTTTTTTATCCACGACAAACTTAATAATGCAAACACATTGGCATTTGGCAATAACAAACATTCCTTTAGAAACACAATTTACAAAGACTCGTAATCTAGTCTCTGGAAACTTGCTATAACATGAAATAATTATAATACTGACATCACAGGAGCCTACACAACCCAAAACACTGTTGCTGTATGGAGGTTTTATTTCATTTGCTTTTTATCTTATATTTTGGAAATGTACATCAAGGTGTTTTTTCCCCCTTCAATTTTTGGGGGACCCCCCAAGAGAGTGGGGCTCTAAGCTGGAGCTTGTTTAGCTTATACGTAAATCTGGCACTGACCCCAATCCATCCCTCCCTTTTCTTCTGTGCAAAAAAATTGAAGCTGAGAAAGGTCTAAATTTAAGATGGGCGTGGTCTAGGGGGCGGGGAGAGGGGTGTGTGTGCTCCTGGAACGGCCCAATCGGAAGCAGGGAGCGTGATGTCACTGCATTCGAGACAGCGTGTACCTCTCACAAAGGGAACAAAGCGAAGATTAAACAAAGGGGAGGGGGGCGTATTGAGAGATGCACACCCCCCAAAAATAAAATGTTAGGGGGGAAATAAGAAAATATAAAAACACCCAAGCAAAACCCCAGAGCGAGAAGTTGGAAATTCAGGAACATTGCACAGGAGCTGAAGGAACAAAGGCAAGGAAGATTGCAGCATATGGGAAGCCCAGCCTTAGATATATAGAGATTTGGGAAAATGTTGGGTGTGTGTGTGTGTAATTGCACGTCACAACCGGTTCCACGCTTAAAGCAGGAAGGGTGCGATACTGTTCCATTTTGGGGTGTTTTTTTTTGCAAAACCTAAACAGATGCTTTAAAATCAGGTTTGCTTTCATCCGTAATTTATTTTTTTGCAAAAAGCAAAGGGGCGGCGGTTTAATATTCGACCTACTCTCCTTTCTAGGTCGTTTTTAAAAAATCTATCTTCCTTTTCCAAGCAGGGAATCAAAGACACATCAGGGTTTGTTTTTTTAAAAAAGAGAGAGGGGTTTCGTTTTGAAAAGGTGAAGTTTGGAAGCGCATCTCAAAACACAAGACAAAGATGCAAATGGCAACACCAAGGTCCATCAAGAATTTGGGGTGGGTTTCTTTTGGGGGTGGGGGAAATGACTGATGGCAAAGTTAGTCCTACTCAGAGTAAGCCTACTGAAATCCAGGCCCGTTTGTTCTAGGCCCATCGACCCTGAGCAGAGCTCAGTCGGATGCAACCCTTTTTTATTTTAATTTTAATTTCAGTGGAAGGTTCAAAAGGTTAAAAGGTCTGCTAAGGGAGGCAAACCTCGCACACACTGACATGGGTCTCCCAGAGAGGAGGGATTCTCGCCCCCCTTCCAATATCAAAAATCTCTTGCCCAAAACTCTCTCTTTCTGTGTCTCTCCTTTTTATAAAAGCGAGGGCAGGTCTGAACAGATATAAAAAGAGACACTGATTTATTTCGCTTTGGGATGGGAAAAAAGTCAAGCGCTTCCCAAACTTCCTTCCCTTCCCTTCTCGCTGTTCCTGGGATACAGAAGAACAAAAGGATTTGGGGTTTGTGTGGGTCCCCCCCCCCCGTGTTACCCCAAAGCAGAAATGGGATAGGCCTGGAGTTTAAGGCAGTTCCTGGCTTGGGGGAATCTTTAGAGGCCTTAAAATCTGAGTTTATAAACTCAGGTGGGAAGCAATTTGGTGGGGGTATTTTTTTTGGGGGGGGGAGGAAGTCACAGAGAGGTAAACTCCCCCCCTCAATTTCCATCCTACGTTGAAAAACGGTAAACATATATTTATGTTAGACCATTTTTTGGAGGAGGGGTGTCCTCTAGCTCAGCTCCCAATATGCCCCCCCCCCCGCAAGCATGCCTGTCCTCTAATTCCACCCTCGCTCCACAAAAATCCCATTTCCAAGAGAGAGAGAAATGGCTCTAACTTTGGGATTTTTCTTCGTAAGGCGCTGCCTAAAAGATGCCCATTTTATTTCTTGGTTAAAAGAAAGTTAAGGGGAGAGAGAGAGAGAGAGAGAGGCAGGCCGCACTGCGAACACAGGCCCCCCCATGCAAAAATAATAATAATGACCACCACCCCCCCCCCGGAAACTCACAAGTGAGTTTTACTAAGTGGGTGCCTTGGCAAAGCAAGTGGGGTATAAATAGTAAAATTATTATTTGCGCATTTCGGAAAGGGTCTTCCCGTCACGGCTCCTTACCTGCTGGGCTCCTGTTCCAAGGTGGGCAAAGCAAACCAGAGCCCCCAGCCCACCAACATCCACCCCCCAGGGGTTCCCCATCACTTGCAGGTTTTATGCGTTTACCTTGCCTGCCCACAATTTCGGCCACATGCTCCGAACTGGGCACAGAGACGCACTCGGTCATGTTGACGCTCCTCTTGCGGCTTCCAATGCTGCCCAGGTGCTGCCCGGCCAGCAGGGGGGGCTGCGGGGCGTGAGGGGGCCCCAAGTGGGCCGGGAAGGCCCCGAAGATCTCGGGGGGCGGCGGGGCGCTGCCGCCTTCGGGGCCCAGGAGGGGCAGAGCCGCCGCCACTCCTCCTGCTCCTCCGGCATAGGCAAAGCGGTCCAGCCCCTCTGCCTCTTCCAGAAGCGGTCCATGGTCTCCATCCTTCTCAGGATGCTGATGTTGCTGCTGCGCCGCCGCATCCTCCTCCTCTTCTCCTCCTCTACCCTCCTCCTCCGCCTTTCCTCTAGCTGCTTCCTCCTCCTCCTCATCCTTAGCCAAGCCCAAGATGGAGAGCTGGTCCAGGGCGAAGCGGAGAGCGGCGGAGGGGTCCTCTTCTTCTTCTTCTCCATCATCTCCATCCTCAGCATCCTCATCCCTCTGGTGGTCCTCCGCCGCAGGAGGAGAGGAAGGATGCTCTGAGAGGTCTCCCTTGGGGAGGAGGATGCTGTTGGGGTCGAAGCAAGCGGGGGGCAGGATCTGTGGGTTCAGCAGCAAGCTGCCCAAGCCGGGAGGGGGGCAGCAGGTGCCGGGCCCCCCCTCCAGCTGGTAGAGGGCGCTGGGCATGGCAGGCCCCCGACCCCCTCCTCCCTCTCCCTCCTCCTCCTCCTCTTCCTCCTGCTGGCCCCCCAGCCTGGGACCCCCGGCTTTTGGGGGGCTGCGCACCGCCCCCAGCCGCCGCCCGCCTTTGCGCGCGCCCCAGCCCCTTCGCCCAGCCCCCCTCTTTTGTTTGCAAGCCCATCCAAGGGAGGAAGAGGAGGAGAGAGAGAGGGAGGGAAGGAAGGAAGGAAGGAAGGAGGAGAAGGAGAAGGAGGAGGAGGAGGAGGGGAGCCCAGCCAGCTGCCCCGCACCCACCAGGCGCCCGAGCCTCGCCCCGCGACGCCCGCGCGTCACCCGGTGCCCAACAATGAGAGCCGGCGCCGGGAGGAGCGGCCGGGAGCGCGCATGCGCCCGGGGGGGGGAGAAGCAGGGGGAGGGCAAATCACAGCCACGCCTTCCTCGCCTCCCTGAACTCTTGGGGGCAACTGGCAGGGGCTGGGGGGCGATTGCTGCTGCTGCTGCGAGTCGTCTGTCTGTCTGTTTCTTTCTTTCTTTTTCTCCCTCCCTCCTTCTGTCCCTGCTTCATTCCTTCCGTCCCTTTCATCCTTCCTTCCTTCCCTCCCTCTCTCACTTTATTTCCATCCTTCCTCTCCTTTCCTTCCTTCCTTCCCTCCCTCCCTTTCCTTTCATCCCTCCTTCCTTCCGTCTCTATCCTTCCTTCTCTCACTGCCTTTCTTTTCATCCTTCCTTCCTTCCCTTTCTCCTTTAGCCCCTTCCGTCCCTTTCCTTCCATCCTTCCCTTCCATCTCTATCCTTCCTTCCTTTTCTTTCCTTCTCTCCCTCCCTCTTTTCTTTCATCCTTCCTTCCTTCCCTTCTGTCTCTATCCTTCCTTCCTTCCTTCTCTCCCTCCCTCCCTTTCCTTCCATTTCTCCTTCAGCCACTTCCTCCCCACTTCCCTTCCATCCCTCCCTTTTTCCTTCCATCCTTCCTCCCCTTTCCTTCCTTCTCTCCCTCCCTCCCTCTTTGCTTTCATCCCTCCTCCCTTCCATTTCTCCTTCAGCCCCTTCCCACTTTCCTTCCTTCCCTTTCCTTCTCTCCCTCCTTCTTTCCTTCCCTCCTCTTTTTTAAACGATGGTGATGCCATCTAAAAGGAACCTGGGCATTTTAGGGTCTGTGTGTATATATGTGTGTGTGTCCCTCCAATTACTTACAAAAGGATTCCAGAAGAAATATCTCCCACCCTGGCTGTTAGCGATTCTCTTTCCGTGGTTCTGGGCAAAAGGACAGTCCCACCCCTATTTAGATGCCAAGACTGGACCTGTCCCTGGGACCAAGCTACCTACCTCCTACTTTGTGTGTTCTGTGCACTGTGCCTTGCCCTTATTTTAACTGATCAGTTTAGGAATTCCTTATTGTAACTGACAAGTGCAAGCAGTTCTAATTATTATTCGTGGATATTTAATTTTGCCGCTCACTACTATATTCTAACGGATTGTCAAATGCTGCTTTATTTGATAGTTGTTTATTTTAAAGTTACTGTGACGACTTTTGGTATTGGATCAGATTGTTCTGCCTGGATATGGAGGTCCAGCTCTGAGGGCCTCCTGGCGGTTCCCTCCCTGCGAGAAGTGAGGTTGCAGGGAACCAGGAAGAGGGCCTTCTCGGTGGTGGCGCCCTCTGCTATCAGATGCCAAGGAGATAAACAACTACGACATTTGAAGGCAGCCCTATTTAGGGAAGCTTTTAATATTTGATGTATTATTGTATTTTGCTGGAAGCCACCCAGAGTGGCTGGGGAAACCCAGCCAGATGGGCGGGGTATAAATAATAATAATTATTATTATTACTACAACGTGCACAATCTTTGCCGTCCATTTTGTTTGCAGCTTGCAAACCGCATTAAGGTGGAATACAAATTAAAAGTGAAATGAAATTTATAAACCCCTCGTGGAGGGTGCCAAACTTTTTGGAGTTTCCCTGCTACTTCACTGGATCAGAACCACCCAAGCAAGGAAAAGCAAAGAGTGAGCTTTGTAAGCGATCTGGGCGAAATGCAAATCTGGTAGAATTAACCCGAGCCTTGAAAAAAAGCACATAGAGCTGAAACAGGGAGTGGTAAAGTGTGGAGCTCTTCCCAACTTCCTCCTTCAACACTTATTATTATTATTATTTCCAAATGGGCAAAGTACTGAACAGTCCGACCACCTCATTGAGCAAAAGCCCAGCGGGCTCAGAGATTTCCTGAGTGCCAGGAGATCACAAGAGCAACTGCGGCAAATTTTTAAAAAGGCAAAATGCTTGATCCTTTTCTCAGCAATGTTCCTCCACCTCCCAGTCCTTTTCCAACTCCACAGCCTCGGGGTCGCACGACAACTTGCATTCACGCTCGACGTTTTCTCACCAAGCGTTGAAACACACCGGAAGAACGTACGCAAAACATTGTTTTCTTTTTTCCTTTTTAATTACAAAACTAATAGTCCCCCCCCCAAACAAATTTTACAAATATGATCAAGGCTGAAAGGACATCATCGGTTAGTGCTAAGGAGGCGAGGCGGGAGAAGGGGCTCCCAGATCGCTGCGAAATATCTAAAAGCTGCAAAACCGCACTATACCCCACCCCGCAAAAGCAGTCGATACAAAAGTCACTTCGAGGAATAAAAGAAACTCGCTTCGGACGGGGACCGCCAGGTTGTGACGAGACGCTGCAAAAATAAGTTGTCTGTGCGGCAGGAATGAGGTTTCTGCCACGGCAACATCGCAGGGGAAGAGAGAAGCTTGCTGGTGCTGTTTTTACTGCCGGCGAAAGCTTAAGAGTAAAAGGGTTTGCGTGGAGTTACCTGAAAAGGTGGAAAGGCAGGTGGAGAAAAAAAATGAGGGAGGAAAGAAAGATAGGCATCTCTGTGTGTGTAAAAAACTGGCAAATCCCTCCATTGCAAGAATTCGCCTCTCCTAACATTCCCTACCCAAAAGGGAGTCTCAAAAACTGCTTCGGAACGGAGTGAAAATCCGTGCTTCTGGGATTAAGACAAACATACACAAATCCGAAATGGACAAAATTCAGTAGCAGGGATGGCCAGTGAACCGGGTGAAGGGCAGGGTTTCCCTCTCCAATAGGGAAAAGCAGCGTCTCAGAAGAAGCAGCCGAGCCTCATTTTCCCCCCACCCCAAAGAAACAATCCCATATGTTGGTTTGGAAGCATCAATGTGGAGCTAGCAGGTGGGGTGGCACTGGAGATGGGATTCAGGGGGCAGGTGCCGCTTCGCTGACCCAAAGCCGAAAACTGCATGGGTCCCGGGCGGCGAAAACAAGCCAGGATTTTCCGTCACAGGTTCCTGTCATTGTGTGTGGCTCCAGAAAGAAATGGTTTAAATAGGTTCAGAACAAGCCTGGGTAAAAGTAAAAGCCACGGGTTTCTGAATGGCAACGGTGCAATTTAAACCTGCAGATTTTTGCACGGCAACAGTGCGATTAAAACCCAGATTTCTGCACGGCAGCGGTGCAATTAAAACCTATAGATTTTTTGCACGGTTTTGCACGGCAACGTGCCGGCTCCTCAGGCAAGGGTTGCACTAATTCCAAGCAAGTCTGATTTGGGGACAGCTTCATGTTGTGGGGTGTACGATGCTGAACACGTCTAATAAGGCAGACTCTGCCATCGTTGCAAAACCAGATCAGTTCAGCTCGCCTCTTCTGAGGACACGCGCCGCTTTTGATCTATCGCTTTTAACTGCGTGAGACGAGCAAAAGGCCACACCTGCCGCCCAAAAGCAAATGATTTGAATCTAGTAAAACGGATCTGGGGAGGTCAGTATGTGCCCTCCTCATCCTTGCAATGCACGGTCGTGAAAAATACACAAATGATACAGCACCTTTAAGCTCACGAAAGTTTTCTCCGAAAGGGTCCCCCCCCACCGACATTGCCACTGGATAAATGGACTTTTGTGTGCATAAGCCCAAATGTCTGCACTTTCGAGAGATCCACACAAACGGCTGGAAACTTTAGGGGTCCCCGAGACGGTCACCGTTCCCCTCATATGGGAAGGAACCCCCCTGTTACACCTCTGGGAAGACCGGACAGCCTGGAAAAGTTAAGATGAAAACACACAAACGCACACACAAATCCCATGGCGAGATTTCGCAGAAGGAAGGATTATCTACAACTGGAGCAAACAAGCCAAGTACGGGACAGGTGGTCCCCATTTAAAAACGGCGCCTCTACCTTAAGCCGAAAGAGGACGTAAAGTTTGGGTACGTGTGTGCTACCTAATAATAAAAAACTGAGAACCAGGGAAGCAGGCTCAAATTGCTTCGCTGCGCCCTGGAAATGAAAGACGGATCAGTTAACGTTTGCAGTTTCTCTGCGTTCCTTCCCTGTCAACACTTGAGGAAATGACAAATGGGGGGTGGTGGGTTGAGAGAGGAGAGAGAGAAAGAGTACGGGTTTGAATAAAGTCCATCTTCAAGCTACCCAGGATCTACTGAGCCACTGGATTCTCGAGAGTCCGGCAAATAAAGGCTGAAGACGGCCGGAGGCTGAAGGCATCTCCAGACGGCTGCGGAGACAACATGCGACGCTGTCCGACGGCAAGCTCGCCTCTTCGCGGGGCGAGGAAAGGCTAGGATTCTCAAGAGGGACTCCCTGAAGGAAGAGAGGAAGAGAGAGAGACTTGATCCATCACAGAGGACTAGGTAAAGGTAAAGGGACCCCTGACCATTAGGTCCAGTCCTGGCCGACTCTGGGGTTGCAGCGCTCATCTCGCTTTATTGGCCGAGAGAGCTGGCGTACAGCTTCCGGGTCATGTGGCCAGCAGGACTAAGCCGCTTCTGGCGAACCAGAGCAGCACACGGAAACGCCGTTTACCTTCCCGCCGGAGCGGTACCTATTGATCTACTTGCACTCTGACGTGCTTTCGAACTGCTAGGTTGGCAGGAGCAGGGACTGAGCAACAGGAGCTCACCCTGTCGCAGGGATTCGAACTGCTGACCTGATCGGCAAGTCCTAGGCTCTGTGGTTTAGCGAGATAAGCTTGCCGTTAAATGCGAACTGAATCAGCTGCCTCCTCGGTGGCTGATCATCGACGGGACTCTATATCCGGACAGTCCAATCTTTCCGCCGACCGAGATGAGAAAGCAACAAGGTGGAAAGGGGAGAGGAGGCCGAGGGAACGCTCCACAAGGGAGGGGGTTCGAAAAAGGGTGAGGGGCTGCCAGCTCTGCAGGGAAGGGGGCTCCTGAGCCCCAGAGGGACGCCGCAAAAAGAATGCAGTTGGTCAAGGGAGCCGCGGGGCCAAAAACGGTTGAAAACCTCTGGCTTGCACGGACTGGCAGCAGTCCTCTAGGGATTCAGACATGGAAATAGCCTTTCCTGCTTGCATGTTTTGCCACGTAGCTACAGAGTTTCCCTCGGAGCAACTGAGGCTATTGTTACCTGGACTATACGTTCTCCACCTCCGGCCCGCGATCCACGTCCTCTTCCTCCTCCTCTTCCTCTCCGTCTTCGTCCCCCAGGGCCTTCTCCTCGGGCGCCTCGCCGTCCCGCGCGATCTCCTCCACGTGAGCGAGCATGTCCGCCATGAGAGCTTCTTCCAGCCTCTTTCGCACTTGCTGTACGAGTTCTTCCTGTTTCCTGTCCGGGGAAGGGAAGGGAAGCTGGATGAGGCTGGGGGATGGTGGAATAGCCCCCTCCCCAAACAACCGCCTGTCTTGGCAGCTGCTCTGCGTTTTCTGCCGCACGCCTGGGAGACCAGTGCGGAGACCCCTTTGCGGTCAAGAGGGTGGGACCCTCAAGGTGCAATAATAATAATAATAATAATAATAATAATAATTACATTTTATTTATATCCCGCCCTCCCCAGCCGAAGCCGGGCTCAGGGTGGCTAACAACAACAGTACAACATTCTAAAATCATTTCATTATAAAATTAATTCAAATCAAATTGATGGCAACCATTAGGCTAAAGTTCTGTGAAGATTGCCAAAAGAGGAACAGCTCTGTCTTGCTTGGTGGAACAGCTCTGTCTTGCAGGCCCTGCGGAAAGATGTCAAGTCCCGCAGGGCCCTAGTCTCTTGTGACAGAGCGTTCCACCACATCGGGGCCACAGATGAAAAGGCCCTGGCTCTGGTTGAGGCCAGAACAGAAGAACAGAAACACGAGAGGAAGAAAATGTTGGTGTTTGGAATACTGGGCACAGTTAAGGCCAGCTCAGCTAAGAAGAAGAAGAAGAAGAAGAAGAAGAAGAAGAAGAAGAAGAAGAAGAAGAAGAAGAAGAAGAAGAAGAATACAGTGGTACCTCGTGTTAAGAACTTAATTCGTTCCGGAGGTCCGTTCTTAACCTGAAACTGTTCTTAACCTGAAGGACCAGTTTCGCTAATGGGGCCTCCCGCTGCCACCGTGCGATTTCTGTTCTCATCCTAAAGCATAGTTCTTGACCTGAGGTACTATTTCTGGGTTAGGGGAGTCTGTAACCTGAAGCATCTGTAACCCAAGGGACCACTGTAATAGTAGTAGTAGTAGTAGTAGTAGTAGCAGTAGTAGTAGTAGTAACAGTAATAATAATAGTGAAAGAGAGAGAGGATGAGAGAGATAAAGAAAGAGAAAGACAGAGAGAGAGAGAGAGAGAGAGAAAGAAAGAAAGAAAGAAAGAGAGAAAGAAAGAAAGGGGGAGACAGGGAAACATAAAGAAAGAGGGAGAAAGAAAGAGATAAGAAAGAAAGAGAAAGATAAAGGCAGAAAGAGACAAAGAGAGAGATAAAGAGGGGGAGAAAGAAAGAAAAGAAAGAAAAAGAGACAGGAAGAAAGAGGGGGAGAAAGGAAGAGGGGGGGAGAGAGAGAGAGAGAGAGAGAGAGAGAAAGAAAGAAAGAAAGAAAGAAAGAGATAGAAGAAAGTAAGTAAGTAAGAAAGAAAGAGAAACAGAAAGGGGGGGAGAGAGAGGGAGAGATAAAGAGACAGAAAGAAAGAAAGAAAGAAAGAAAGAAAGAAAGAAAGAAAGAAAGAAAGAAAGAAAGAGAAAGAGAGAAAGAAAGAGAGAAAGAAAGAAAGAAAGAAAGAAAGAAAGAAAGAAAGAAAGAAAGAAAGAAAGAAAGAGACAGAGATAAAGAGGGGGAGAGAGAAAGAAGGAAGGAAGGAAGGAAAGAAAGAGGGAGAGACAGGAAGAGAGAGAGGCAGAAAGAGAGAGAGAGAACTTCTCCCTGCTCCAGGGAGCGTCACTGACCTGATGTCCTCGTCGGTCACCATGAAGGCTTTGCAGAGGGGCTGGGAGGTGTTGAGCCAGACCCCGGGGTTCTTCTCCACGGCGGCCGAGAGCTGCCCAGTGATGGGCATCGTGCTGGTGTGGAGGGCGCTGGCGATGGCAGAGAGGAGGGTCTCGTCGGTGCAGCCGGGCCCCACGCCTGCGGGGGGGTGGGGGTGCCAGAGGAGACACGGGGCATGCGGTCACTGCACAGTTGCTGACGTTCATTCCCCCCCAATATAGTCCGGCCCCCCACAAGGTCTGAGAGACAGTGGACCGGCCCCCTGCTGAAAAAGCCTGCTGATTCCTGGTCCAGGCCTTATAAACCTAGGACCAGATATTTTGGACCACAGCTGGAGGGCACCAGGTTGACGAACGCTGTTTTAGGTGTCTACATATAGGGCGGTCGACCCCAGAGCAGGCAAGGGGGGCACAGGAGGTGTAAATGACCAGAAGGCTTTGAAAAGACCTGCTATCACCAGATCCGAGTCTACTGGTGTTTCTTGACTTAATTAAACTACAGTGCTACCTCGGGTTAAGTACTTAATTCGTTCCGGAGGTCTGCTCTTAACCTGAAACTGTTCTTAACCTGAAGACCACTTTAGCTAATGGGGCCTCCCGCTGCCGCCACGCGATTTCTGTTCTCATCCTGATGCAAAGTTCTTAACCTCAAGCGCTATTTCTGGGTTAGCGGAGTCTGTAACCTGAAGCGTCTGTAACCTGAGGTACCACTGTACATCGTTGTAACTGGATCTTAAATAAATGGGTTAACGTTTTAAAATTTGCCACACTGTTGTACAGTGGTACCTCGGGTTACAGACGCTTCAGGTTACAGACTCCGCTAACCCAGAAATAGTACCTCGAGTTAAGAACTTTGCTTCAGGATGAGAACAGAAATCATGCGACAGAAGCAGGAGGCCCCATTAGCTAAAGTGGTGCTTCAGGTTAAGAACAGTTGCAGGTTAAGAACGGACCTCCAGAACGAATTAAGTACTTAACCCGAGGTACCACTGTATTTCATAGTGGGTTCCACAAACCGTGGTTCTGAATAATGCTTTTTTATATATTAGGGTAAGGGGCACCCTGGGGGCGAGTTTACGGTGGCCCAATAAGGTTCTGCAACTGCTGTTTTTGGAATGCTTTATTACGTTTTCGTATATATTGGAAGCTGCCCAGAGCAGCTCAGTCAGATGGGAGGGGTGCAAATAATAATGCGAGGAGTGAGGTTACAGGGAACCAGGCAGAGGGCCTTCTCGGTGGTGGCTCCCGCCCTGTGGAATGCCCATCAGACGTCAAGGAAATAAACAAGTATCTGACTTTTAGAAGACATCTGAAGGCAGCCCTGTTTAGGGAAGTTTTTAATGCTTAATGCTGTATTGTGTTTTTAATACTGTATTCGGTTGGGAGCCACTGAGAGTGGCTGGGGAAACCCAGCCAGATGGGCAGGGCATAAATAATAATTTATTATTATTATATTTCCTCTGATGGCATCTAGTTGACTCCAGAGGCAGGATGCGGGACGAGGTGACTTATCGTTTATTTGCAGCGATCGAAAAGGGGCACAGTACCTTGCAAACCTTTTGGGAGGTCCATGGTTTTCACCAGCTCCTCTGCGATATCAAAGGCGTTCAGGCCACTGAGCTTCTTCTCCCAGAAGAGCTGGGAAAAGGAGAGAAAAGAGGGAAAGAGAGAAAGAAAGAAAGAAAGAAAGAAAGAAAGAAAGAAAGAGGGAGACAGGGAAAGATAAAGAAAGAGGGAGAAAGAAAGAGATAAAGAGAAAGATAGCACATTTCTCTGAACATCATGAGTGCCACGAAAACACCAGCTGCTCACACATTTAAAAGCACATGGTGCGAATCCTTGGGAACGGGTTGTTTGTTAAAGGTGCTGGGAACTGCAGCTGCACGAGTGGGAAACTCTATTTCCCACGGTTCTTTTCTTTTTTTGGGTACAGGTGGGGAGAAGCCATGGGCACACAGTCCAATGCTGGCTCTCAGGCAGAGAGAAACCTTTCCAAGTGTCATTTATTTAAAATTATTAACTCCTACTTGCATGCCAACTTGCATACCAACAAAGGTCCGTATAGTTAAATCCACGGTTTCCCCAGTAGTGATGTATGGAAGTGAGAGCTGGACCACAAAGAAGGCTGATGGCCGAAGAATGGATGCGTTTGAATTCTGGTGCTGGAGGAGACTCTTGAGAGTCCCATGGACTGCAAAAAGATCAAACCGATCCATTCGGAAGGAAATCAGCCCTGAGTGCTCACTGGATGGACAGATCCTGAAGCTGAGGCTCCAAGACTTTGGCCACCTCAGGAGAAGAGAAGACTCTCTGGAAAAGACCCTGATGTTGGGAAAGATGGAGGGCAGAAGGAGAAGGGGACGACGGAGGACGAGATGGTGGGACAGTGTTCTCAAAGCGACCAGCATGAGTTTGACCCAACTGCAGGAGGCAGTGGAAGACAGGAGGGCCTGGTGTGCTCTGGTCCAGGGGGTCACGAAGAGGCGGACACGACTAAATGACTCAACAACAACATCACTTGCATGCCAGTTGGATTTTATGGGTAAAGCAAGGGGAAGGGGAAAATATTTAACGGTTTGGAACAATAATAGCTTCCCTCCCCACAAAAACCCCCAGAAGATAACCACTAATGATCTTTTTCATCAACAGCTTTGAGGTTTCATTGCAACTGAGAGGAATGCAAATCGCATGAAATAAAACACTGTTGACCTTTTTCTGATTCCGTAACATCTGTAGTTAACGTTTACCTTTAGACGGACAGCCGTCAGCAGCAAGAATTACTAGATGCTATTCTGCATCCGTAAAGGGGTGTTATCCCTGCCACTAAAGTACTTCTGAAAGCAATTTAAAAGGATTGGAAGGGGAAAAAATAGTAATTTGAACGCTGCTGTTCTAGGCTGATGTTTCTGAAGTGACTCATGGCACAGAGGAAACATAACACGAGGACACGGTGTCGGTTAAAGCATATTTTCATACTGATCGATTGAGGACAACTTATTCCCAAAATAGGTAAAGGGACCCCTGACCATTAGGTCCAGTTGTGGCAGACTCTGGGGTTGCGGCGCTCATCTCGCTTTATTGGCCGAGGGAGCCAGCGTACAGCTTCCGGGTCATGTGGCCAGCAGGACTAAGCCGCTTCTGGCAAACCAGAGCAGCGCACGGAAACGCCGTTTACCTTCCCACCAGAGTGGTACCTATTTATCTACTTGTGCTGTTGTGCTTTCCAACTGCTAGGTTGGCAGGAGCAGGGACTGAGCAACGGGAGCTCACCCCGTCGTGGGGATTTGAACTGCCAACCTTCTGATCGGCAAGTCCTAGGCTCTGTGGTTTAACCCACAGCGCCACCCGTGTCCCCTATTCCCAAAATACAGGTATCCAAAAACTTCATTGGAACGAGGACAGGAAGAAATGCCATGGACACACAGGAAATCCTGAAAATGTCCTGGGACTGGACGTCATGAGGAGCTCAGAATCCTTAGTCCAGACTCCAGCTCAGGCAAACGCAGACTCACTGAATACATATCACACAGGTGTGCGCCCACCAGGACCCACTTACCTGGCGGGGTTGGTCGACTGCCTTTTGGGGGTCCGTCTTGACTTTATTGTTTGGGTGGTTTGTGATTTTGGTGACAGGCTGCTTGAAGATTGATGCCGTCTGCCGGACGGGGAGCGCCGTGTTCAGGTCGGGTTTGCCCTGGAAACAGAAGGCAGGTGAGGCAGGTGACTTCAACAGATTGAAAACGGCGCACCTTGATGCTTCCCCTTGCCCCTTCTCCCACTTATTAAACTTGTGCAGCTGTCGATAACCTTGCGAGCAAGCCCTTCTTAGCCTGTGAACCTTCCACCACCCCATCGTAAATCGAGAACAATCATGCCACCTCTGGACTTTTCACCCAGTGGTTTTTCTGTAATCTCCTTAATCTACCTTTGCCAAAAAGAAATAATTGTACAGTGGTACCTCGGGTTAAGTACTTAATTCGTTCTGGAGGTCCGTTCTTAACCTGAAACTGTTCTTAACCCGAAGCACCACTTTAGCTAATGGGGCCTCCTGCTGCCACTGCGCGATTTCTGTTCTCATCCTGAAGCAAAGGTCTTAACCCGAGGTACTATTTCTGGGTTAGCGGAGTCTATAACCTGAAGCGTATGTAACCTGAAGTGTATGTATCCCGAGGTACCACTGTACATATTTACACACCCACCACATGTGAACCTAAGTCCCGGTTTCCTGGCATCCAACATATCACACAAATATTCCTTGTTTCTTTGATTTCATACAACTGCTGTTCAATACCATCTCTAAACTAAACTTATAGCTGTTTTATTTTAGAGTGGAACCTCAGTTCTCAGACGTCTCCACTGACAAATAATTTGGAACCCGAACACTGACAACCCGGAAGTGAGTGCTTCCGTTTTCGAACGCGCCTTGGAAGTCAAACAGCTTCCGATGTGTGCGTCTCTATTTTTTCAATGGATTTCGTCGACCGCCCTTTGATTTTCAGTTTTCGAACATTATTTATTCATTCCTTCAATTTATACACCACCCTATACCTGGAAGTCTCAGGGCGGTTCACAAACAAGACCACAACATATAAAATCAAACCAAAAACTATAACCCAATAACCACCCCAAAAAAACCACTTTCCAAAAGGGTGTTAGATGTCAATAAGATCAACCAAAGGCCTGGTTAAAAAGGAACGTTTTTGCCTGGCGCCTAAAGGTGTATAATGAAGGCGCCAGGCGAACTTCCTTTCGGAGGGCATCTCACAGACGGGGAGCCACTGCAGAGAAGGCCCTGTTCTTCCAGAACGGATTACGTTCGAAAACCGAGGTTCCACTGTATCCTTAGGGACAACTTTTTCAAAGCCCGTTTCTTGGAAGAGCGGGAAGCTTTGTGCTTCTGCAACGAAACTCCAGCCCCACGCTTTCCCCAAATCTCCTCCTCCTCGAGAGGAGAGGAGCGGAGATTTATGGAGATTGCAGAGGTTAAGCATCCTTGCAAGTTGTTTCTTTGCGCTGCCTGCAACGTAGCAGGGCTGCCTTTCGCACAAAAGGCCTGGGGAGGCTGGCATGGCGAGGGTCAAGCCCTAAGGGGCTCCGGGAAGGGGGGGAGAGAGACCGGGACTCACCTTAGCCTGGCTGGAGCAATCATAGCGCATCCTCTGCCTGTTCTTGTTCACTTTGCTCATGAGCATCTTTCCCGTCCGGAAGTCGAAGGTGCTAAGGTCCATGGAGTTGCCGAGGTAACGGGCCAGCTGAGGCTTGCTCCGGAATTTCTTCCCACTCGGGCTGGGGGGGGGGGACAGAGGGATGGGGAGGGAGAGAAATTATGGCTTCTGGGGGCGTCAGCACGAGGGCGAACCGGGTACGGCAAAACAAAATCCGTTCGGGGCAGAGATGCCCTGGGAAAACAACACAGCCGCAAAGCAAAGAAAAAGCAGAAAACTTCTTCCGTCTCTTCCCATCGCAGGGAACTTTTTGAGGGCCACATGGCTCTAGAGGGCAGGGCCGTAGGCAAATTCGTCGCAGCAACGGGTGAGGCTCTTACCGTTTTTTTGTTTTGCAACGGGAGGCACCCCGGCGGCACAAAACGAGGTTTCTGGACACCTCGACTTTTAATCCGGGTGAGTGAGAGGAATTATCGCTGGTTAGGTACGCATTCCAGCCAGCCAAAAGCAGAGGAGCAGGCCCAGCGAGGGGGTGGGAGTCCCAAGGGCCAGGGAAAACGGCTTGGAGGGCCGCATCTAATCCCTATGTCCCTCTGGCAGGTGTGCTCAAAGCCCACAAGCGTGAAAGAGAAGCAACTGATGGAGCGAGATGGCGGAGAGAGTCATTGTTAGAAATTAGCCAGGGGCCAGGCGCGTTTTGCACCCGGCTATCGGCAGCTTAAAAGGGACACGGGTGGCGCTGTGGGTTAAACCACAGAGCCTAGGGCTTGCTGATCAGAAGGTCGGCGGTTTGAATCCCCCCAGACAGGGTGAGCTCCCATTGCTCGGTCCCTGCTCCTGCCAACCTAGCAGTTTGAAAGCACGTCAAAGTGCAAGTAGATAAATAAGTACCACTCAGGTGGGAAGGTAAACGGCGTTTCGTTGCGCTGCTCTGGTTCGCAACTTAGTCATGCTGGCCACGTGACCCGGAAGCTGTATGCCGGCTCCCTCGGCCAATAAAGCGAGATGAGCGCCGCAACCCCAGAGTCGGCCACAACTGGACCTAACAATCAGGGGTCCCTTTACCTTTATTTGCCACTTGCGACCAAGCGAAGACGCCCGGGCGCCGGGAATGTCGCCTGACGTCTCTGCCATCTGGCGGTGCATGCCTGGGGATCCTCGGATCTGGACCGTTTTGATGCACTTTGACCCCCACCCTGTGGAATTCATGTTATGAATGGCCAACGTCACTTTTAAGAAGAAGCAGGGCAGGTCGATATATAACGTTTGCAATCAAAACGATTCCCAATTCGCTGCGCAAAAGCATCTTCGCTCCCGAAATTCATTCCGATTGTGCAGATAAAACAGAACGGACAGAATTCTACAGGATGGGGTCTTAAGTGTGTGAGAAAAGTCAGGTTTCAAGGCTTTCCAGGCGTGCAGCTCCAAGGTGGCGGAGACACCCAGGAATCTTCACTTGAAGGCCATTGACTTCTCCCTTCTCCATAAATCTGCAGGAACAAGTTTGCTGTTCAAATACGTACACAAGCGTCTCCTTACTGACCTCCTAGGACTGATTCAACTTTTCCAACAGGCTGAATTTTCAGCGCTTGTTTTCGGAGCTCTCAATTCACAACCCCCTAGACATACACACACACAAACACCCCACAAAAAGCCAAGCAAACGCAGAATTTCGTGCGAAAAAATAAAAGTGCATAAAAAGCGTCCGAAACTTGAAACCCGCGCAATTCTGAAGTTTCGGGCGCTTCGGCGGGAGAGAGAAGCCTCCCTTCGTGGGGCCTGGAAACAAGGGAATATGTCTCCCTTTTGTGAACGGCAAGCGCAAGGCGACTTTTGCCTGTGCGACTCCTCGCCCCCCCCCGAGCCTGAAACCAATATTTTTCATTGTAAAGGAGCAAAAAGGAGAAAGCAGCTGAGAAACGATTCCACACGCTCCCCTCCCGCTCCTCACAAGTACACTCGCTTTGTGAGGTTTTCAATGGCTTGCCCCAGCCGCCGAGGAACAAAATATAAAAAGCGGGTTAAACCTCCCCCCCTCTTTGCGATTCTTTCGCTCTTTTATTTAAAGCGCTCAACTTGCAAATTCAGACTTTTGGGAGCATGGGGCGGGAGATTAAGATGAATGCAGCCCCTATTCAAGGTGCCCCAAGAACCTTCCATATGTCCCAACTCTGCACGGGCAAGCAGAAATCTCTTTGTTCCCCTCTTTAGCGAGGAAGGAGGGGAAAAAAGGTTTTGCAAATGGATCCCGGCTCCTATTATCAATAAAAGCCAGCTTCGTTGCACCTCCCCTTTCTGGCTCCAGACGCCAGACATTTTTCAAAGCCTGGAAAAGAAAGAAAAAACCACGCGAGGGGCTTGCTTTTTTGAAGAACACCCGCCGCCACTGCAAAAAAACCCCCCCTGAGAATTAAACAATGGATTATGCAGAGGGGCTGTTTCCAAACTTTCTTTCTGCAAGGAAAGCCCTTCTGTGTTGCAGAGGATTCTGGGAAAGGCTCCATGACAGCGGCTGGATGTGGCCCCCGGGCTTCCGTTCTGGCCCTTGGAAGTGTCTTCCATGCGCGGGTGGAAATGTGCTGGCCAGGGAGAACCGGGTGTGTGTGCCCCTTGCGTGAAAATTGTACTGGGCAAAGGCAAAAATTGCAAACCTTTGCCCCGCCCACTTCCTCCCTGGCCCCGCCCACTGCTGGCAGGCGGCCCTCACGAGGCTGCCGGGAAGGAAAAGCGGCCCCTAGGCTGCAAAGAGCTCCCACAGCCCCTGTTCTACGTCCGAAAACACAACGGCATGCAGAGTTCGCCCATGGCCCCATATCCCATCAGGTTGCATAGTCCAGGCTCCCAAATCACATCCGAATAATCTCGAACCCATGGCTTCAAGTTTCAAGAGATTCTGACTCGACACCAGTCCCTCTATGGTGGTTGTGGACTTTCCTTCCTTGGAGGTTTCCAAGCACAGAGGTTGGGTGGCCACCGGTCATGGATGCTTCAGCTGAGATTCCTGCTTTGCAGCGGGTTGGGATGGATGACCCCTGGGGTTCCCTCACAACTCTGCGATTCAAACGCTTATTACGCCCAGGCTGGAGGATTGATAGAGAGAGGTTCGCAAGTGCTTTGCTGCGGTGCAAAACCCAAAATTCGCATTGGTTCACTGCAACCCTGGCTCCGGGAAAGCTGCGCAAAACAGACTGCAACCTCCGGGTTGGAGAACATTCCCGACCCTGGTACAAACGACATGATTGTTGCATGAACGCCGCGGTTAGTTGGAACAAACTTTGCTGCAAACCGGCAAAGCAACACCAAGGCAGCCTTCGCCACCCACCCAAAGTTTGCTGTGCATGCCACCCCACGGAAACAACAGGAAACTATGTGATTTGCTGATCTTCAATTTCACTGTTTACTATTATATTCCTGTTTACTATTATATTCCTGACAGATCGTGAAGCTGAGGCTCCAGTACTTTGGCCACCTCATGAGAAGAGAAGACTCCTTGGAAAAGACCCTGATGTTTGGAAAGACGGAGGGCGCAAGGAGAAGGGGATGACAGAGGACGAGATGGTGGGACAGTGTTCTCGAAGCGACCAGCATGAGTTTGACCAAACTGCGAGAGGCAGTGGAAGACAGGAGGGCCTGGCGTGTTCTGGTCCAGGGGGTCACGAAGAGGCGGACACGACTAAACGACTCAACAACAACAACATTATATTCCTAGTGGATGAGTGAATATTGCTTTGTTTTAAACTTACTGTGACTTTTTTGGGATTGGATCAGATGGTCATTATTAACGTTTGATGTTTTATTATGTTTTTATGCGTGTTGGAAGCTGCCCAGAGTGGGGCATTAACAACAACAGGAAAGAACAAGAACAACAAGAACAACAACAACAACAACAGGAGACTTGAGAGCTCTCCAGGGTCGCCACAAACCCAGCCAGATTGGCGGGGTATAAATAATAAAACAAAAATGGAACTTAGTAAGATTTTGGAGCGCAGAAATAAAGCAAATAATCAAATCTAGCGCGTGGATAAATATAATTTATCCAAATTATATCATTAGGTATTTGAACGACTGGTATAAATAATTGTATCGTAAACTGGCATTGTTATAATGAGGCCGTTATTCGACTGCAATCAAAAACTAATAAAAATCATTATACAGTGGTACCTTGCAAGACAAAAAACTCGCTAGACGAAAGGGTTTTTTGTTTTTTGAGCTGCTTCGCAAGACGATTTTCCCTATGGGCTTGCTTCGCAAGACGGAAACGTCTTGCAAGTTTGTTTCCTTTTTCTTAACACCGTTAATACAGTTGCGACTTGACTTTGAGGAGCAACTCATAGAACGCTGTGTGGTAGCCTTTTCTGAGGTTTTTAAAGACTTTGGTGATTTTTGAAGCTTTTCCAAAACTTTCCCGACACCGTGCTTCGCAAGACGAAAAAAATCGCAAGGCGACAAAACTCGCGGAACGAATTAATTTCGTCTTGTGAGGCACCACTGTATTTCAAAAAAATCATTGTTATTCACAGTGGGCTATCCCTGAATAACTACAGCCTTAGAAAGATGCTCTTTAACAGACCTCTCTCAATGCTGACAAACACCCCCCCCTCCCCAAATAACAAAACAGGCTGCAATTGCTTCTACTGCCTGCTGGCTATAATGGTTCTTATTAGACAGGAACCCCCCCCCAATGCCCCACAGCGCACCTATAGTCTGCACACAACCACATATCTAACCTGCGACAGCTGCAGTCGTCCCCCCCCCAAAACGTGGATGCAACAGCATTTTGAGAGACCCACTCTCCAGCGAAACAACCCACCCCAGGTTTGCTTTGGAAATGGGACCCCTATGAACCGCTCAGCCCCCCTCCCCAGCCTGTCCAGGGGGGTCCACTAGTGGGGGATCCACCTGCCTAGATCAGCCCCCTCCCCAAAGACCCTCACCTATGCAAAGGGGGGGGGGGGGTTTGGAGTCCAGCACCCGGCAAGGGAGCCAATAACCGGAAGACAATCTGCAGTGACAGCTTCCCAATTTTTTATTTTATTATCTAATGGCTGCATTCCTCCTCTCTAATACACAGAACTTGGTTCTGTTCCTGACCCCCCCAATAATAAACCTTGGTGCAAGCAGCACCGGGAGGGGGGGCAGGGCTTATTATTTCCTGCATTCATCTGTCAATCCAGTTGCTACGTGAACGGCTCCCGAACTGTCACAGTGTCCACATGCAGCATGAGCCCCAATTTTCTAGGCGGAAAAGCTCCGCGTTTATGTTGCCCCCCCCCCCGGCGGGGGGCGCATGCATCAGAGACACCCCTTGGCCAACGCAGACACCCCGTAACCTCAATGCAAAAAGACAGAGAAATTATATTTTCGCTGCAAGAATATTCCCACTCCCGCTTCCAAGACCCGCACAACGGGGTGCAACCCTCAAAAGCGCACGCAGGCAATAATTCCATGTTTTCTCTCCCCCCCCAAATAAAAAATTCAATAGGGTGCCCATTCAACGTGAAACTCACCCCGCAACCCGCCTGCTTCCCCCCCAAATCTTTTGCAAAATCAAAACTAGCTACTGGGTGGCGGCGATTTGCAACGGGACTATCACGAATTTTCTCTCTCTCTTCCCTTCCTTCTCTCTCTCTCCTTCCGTCCTTCCTTGCTTCTCTACCTCTCAGTCTCTCTTTTTTCTTTTTCTCTCCCCCCCCCGAAGCCGTAATCCGCCTGCAACGCCTCCCGCAGAACAGCCCCGATTCGTGCCACTGCAACTGGGGGTCGCCCCCAGCCACCCCTCACAGCACCCCCTTCTTGCATAAGCAAGCGGGAAGAAGCAATCTCGCTGGACCCCCGCCACCATCTGCTAGCCCCCCCCCATGCAAAGAGGTGCCAGGCAGATTGTTGCAGCGAAAGGGCATGTTCACGGTTGTCTCGCGTGACGTCTTGACAGCGTCTTTTGCAGCAGCGATGGAAGGCAGGCAGACAGGAAGAAAGGCCGGCTGCAGGCAGCGTAAACACCCCCCCTCCAAAAAAACCCACCCCCTCCTTCCTCCCGCCCCCCCCCACATTCACCTATAATAATAGACATCACTCTTGCCAGCGGAGAGCCCCGATTTCCTGGTCACTTCTTCCCTTTTCCATCCCTGCGGGAGAGCTGAGCACTCCCACCTCTTCCGATCCATCGCTTCCATGAGGCCCGGTGGGTCGGATTCGGCCTCGGCCCAGCCACCACCTCCTCCTCCTCCTCCTCTGGCTCCTGCCTGCCTGGCAGATCCGTGGTCTCGCCCTGCCAGGGTTGCAGCGGTGCTTGGCTCGGCTTGGTTCTGCTTGCGTGCTGCAGCTGCTGCTGGCGACTGCAAGGTCCGCTCGGGTTTGCAAGGCCAGCCTGGCTGCTGCTGCTCCTTTGCAAAAGCGCCTCCGCCGGCTGCAAACGGGAATGGAACGTTCCCCGGGAAAAAGCGAGCTGTCAATCACGCCGTGCGCTGCTCCACCTGCTCGCTAGGGGGCGCTGCGGCGACGTACGCGCCCGACGTTCGGAACGTGCGTGCGTACGTAGGCCCCCATTGGCTCGTCTCGCCCCGCCCACCGCGGCGGCTCCATTCATCATCCCGCGCGCGATCCTCAAGCGCTCCATCCTCTCGCGTGAACTCGGCCTCCGCCGCGCGCACGAAAAGCCGTTGGCGGACGGTTTTTTTATACACGTAAAGCGTCCGCCTTGTTTTCCCGCCAATTCGCTCGAGGCGCTTTTTTTGAAGGCGGTATCCGTCCGCTCCAGGCAGGAAAATATAGTCCCAGGTTGTTTTTCCCTCATGGAAGGGAAAACACGTGTCTAGCCAAAGACACGTGAACGCGGGACGTAACACACAAAGACTCTTTCCCCTCAACACACACGGGGAATAAAAAGCGCGACAAACGCCTCACAACAAAACGCCCCGACGCGCGTGAACAAAGCCGCTTCCCATTAAGGCACAAAGTCCGACACGGGTGTAACGTCGGAACGCGACCAACGACGCCCCAAGACGAGTTTCGCCTTTTCCCTCATAAAAAGGCGGGACACGCGTGTATACGACGTCGGGACACACGAAGACGAGTCCCCATCCCCGCATACGACACGTATTCGACGTCGGGACGCGCTCGCGAGTCTCGATTTCCCCCTCACAAGTCTCCCCCCTGAAAAAGCGGGACACGTGTACAACGTCACGACACGCAAGTCTCGCTCTTCCCCCTCACGAGTGCCGCCTCGCAATATTCTTCCGCTCGACGCGAGAAGCCCGAACGTGTGAATGCGACCACCGGCTCCCTGACACGCGTACTAAAAAAAAACAATCCTCGCCCCAAAGCAAGCCCCTTCTTCTCCCCACATTTAAATTCAATAAATAATAATAATAGTCTCCCCGCCCCAGTTTTGCCAAGAAGGCTTTTCTGGCATCCCCACAGTCCCGCTATAGGGCTGGTGTGCCCCACACTTCCCCGCCCCAACCATCTCCCCGCCCCCTATGGCTCCTCCCCACGTCCCCACAACTCCCCTAGCCCCATAGAACCCACAACTACCCCCCTTGTTATTAAACACCCCCCGCCCCACATCTCCCTAGACCCCCTCCCTCTGCCGCCCCCTAACTGCCCCCTTGGCTAAAATGGAGCCCCTACCCATAGCCCCCTAACCTCCCCCTTCCATCCTCTGCCCCACAGATCCCATGCCCGCTTGCTCCCCCCATCGCTCGCCCCCCAACACTTGCCAGACCCACAAAACACTTCACCCCACACCAGCTTCCCCCACCCACCTGTTCCCTCTCCCCATAGCAGCCCCCCAACCTCTGCCCCCCTTGCTTCCACCCCCCAGCCCCCCACCCCCTTAGCAGCAGCCCCACATCCAAAGCAAGCCCCCTGGATCTGACCCCCATATCCCTTGCCCTGGACCCCTTGCAACTCCCCTCCCTCCCAGTAACCCCCACCTGCCCCATATCACGCTCCCCCGACCCACCCCCTGCCCCCCACTTTTGCAAGACCCCCCTCCCCTTGCGTGCACAGTGACCCACCCCCTAGATCTGACCCCCATATCCCTTGCCCTGGACCCCTTGCAACTCCATAACTCCCACCTGCTCCATATCACGCTCCCTCGACCCACCCCCTGCCCCCCAAGCTCCCCCTCGACCCACCCCGGACCCCCACTTTTGCAAGACCCCCTCCCCTTGCATGCACAGTGACCCACCCCCTAGATCTGACCCCATATCCCTTGCCCTGGACCCCTTGCAACTCCATAACTCCCACCTGCCCCATATTACGCTCCCTCGACCCACCCCTGCCCCCAAGCTCCCTCCCGACCCACCCCGGACCCCCACTTTTGCAAGACCCCCCCTCTGCATGCACGGTGACCCACACTGACCCCATTGTTTGCAGCGGGACCTTCGCCCCCTTTGCATGCATGCAATGCGTGACCCCCCCAGCTTGCAAAAGTGCAACCCCCCTCGCGCCCCCCAAGTTATTGCAAGCTCACCCCAAAGGAGGGCATCGGGGGCCCCCTCCTCCTCTCGGCCCCCCAGCTCCCCCCGGCGCCTTGGCCATCTTCCTCGCCCCCCCAACCCCCGGCAGTCGCCGCCACGTGGTCCCAAAGCACGCGACCCCCGCCCCTCTCCGCCCCACAAGCCCCGCCCCACGGCAACCAGCTAGCCAGCCAGCCAGCCAGCCAGCCCCGAGGGGGTTGGGGGGCAAAGGAGCAATAGGGTGGGATGGGATTTGGGGGAGAGAAGCACCCCATTCTTTAACACCCCCCCTAAGAATGGGGGGCTGGGAGCTGACACCTGCAGGGACCCACTGAATTCAGTAGCCATTTCAGTGGGGCTCGTTGCAACTTTAATGCAATGGGAACCCCCCCCCCCAAAGTGGGAGAGAAGCCCCCCAAAGCAATAGGGTGGGATTCGATGGGGGGCGGGAAGGAGCACCCCACTCATTTTTTAACCCCCCCTAAGAATGGGGAGCTAGACGCTGACACCTGCAGGGACCCACTGAATTCAATGGCCATTTCAGTGGGGCTTCTTGCAACTTTAATGCAATGGGAACCCCCCAAAAAAGTGGGAGAGAAGCCCCCCAAGTTTCTGTTCTGCGCCCCCCAACCAAAAAAAATTACTTTCCACCTAATATGCAACATTTTGGTCTCTTTTTTTAGGGCAGGAAGGAATTCAACAGGTGATGCATCAGTTCAACAGGTGAGGTTTCCTTCACCATCTCGGTGCTAAGGGGGGGGGACGGCTTACCCTAGTGAATTTCTGCCTTTCCCATCCTAGTTGCATAGAGTAGACCCACTGAATTTGAGGGCCAGTCGTTTCGGTGGGGCTCGTTAGGAGTGTGATTTAATTGAACGGAACCCCTCCCAAAGTGAAAAAGAAGCCCAAAATTTCTATTCTGCACCCCCCTTCAAAAAATAAAAGCCTTTTCACCTAATATACAATATTCCCCCCCTTTTTTTAGGGCTCCTGTGCTGTCAGAGCAGGAAGAAATTCAACAGGTGAGGTTTTCTCCCCAAGTGGTGCTTAACCGGTGAATTTCTGCCTTTCCCATACTAGGTTCAAATTTTCCTTCCTCTTAGCTTGACCAGCTCAATATTAGTTACATCCAGAATTTTCCCTGATTCTCTTGTTGGAAACTGGCAATTTTCCTTTAAAAAAAAATTCTTAAAATAAAAATTAAAAAGCGTTTTTTCCACTCAAAAGCTGTTGAGCCAAAAAATAACAATTAAAAAAGCCTTTGTGTCTGGATTTCCACGTTTTGAAATATGGAAGAAACCCTAAATATTGGCAAAACCTGCAGTTTCCATTAGGTGTTTTATGCCTCCTGTTAATTAACAACACCATTTAATACTTGTTATTATTATTATTACCCCTAAATGTTGCAATAGCAGCAGAAATACAACTCAGAATGTGAAAGAAAGAAAGAAAAAGGCTTTCTGGGACTCTTTTTACAGTGCTAATCAAAAGTAATGCTCAAAAAAGACGTCTCTCTCTTACCGCAGAGAGTCAGCCCTGTGGAACTTACTTCCGAGTAGACGTGCTTATTCTGAATGCTCTGCCAGTGCATAAATTGTACGCGTTGCAATTTAGGAATTATTTGGCCTTAGCATGATGGAATCACTCTAAATTATGTATGGAAATGCTCCAAAACAGGAAAATTGTCTTTTTTTTAAATTAAAAAAAATTAAATTAAAAAGCTTTCGTGATGGGACAGTGATATACCCCCACATCTTGCCCAGCGACCCCCAAATTTGCAAAAGCGTCGCCCACAATTTGGCAGAGAAAGACGTAACAAACTCCATTTAAAGGATGTCCTGGCAAAAGAATAATGGGAACTAGTTTCTTTTTGTGTGTGTGTGTGTTTCCTTTTTTGTTGATGCTTTATTGACAAATCTTAAATAACAAATATAGTGCACATCTTCTCGAATCAGCAAAAATATAAACCGTGGGAACAAAACCCATATGCAAGCAATGTTCTATATCCTTACAGAAATTAAACTTTATATTTTTACTATCTCTTATTTTTCTTATCTGTTTGCTAACGTAAATTAAAAGAATGTTTTAATTTCAGTTGTTTTGCACCTGGTGCTAGCTAGCCACCCTGAGCCCGGTCTTGGCTGGGGAGGGCGGGGTATAAATAAAATTTATTATTATTATTATTATTAGTGGTTGAGGCTCCTAGGCCCACAGAAGGCAGAGATTTTTTGCACACCTGTCTGTGCAAAGCAGGTGAGAAATGCACCTAAAGGGTCGATGGCTTGAGAACCCCATTTTGGACACCTTGCTCCCCTAAAATCTGCCTCTGGGTGGGAAAATCTCTCTCCAAACATTGCTGGCTTAGACCTTCCTGGCTGCGGGCCATGCTGGGTGCAGGGGCTGATGGGAGCTGTAGTCTTTCGCTGCTTTTGTGTGCCCCAGAGATTTCTCATCAATTCTGGATTAACCAATTTACGCGCGTCCGTTTCGATTAACCAAATTTACGCTCTCGGGTTCTTCTTAAAAATGTGATTTGAATCAAGAAAAGATGGCCACTTGCCGTCGTCCTGCGGGACAGATCGAATGCCGCACTAGGATTGATTCTCCCGGTAATAATAATAATAATAATAATAATAATAATAATAATAATTTATTTATACCCTGCCCATCTGGCTGAGTCTCCCCAGCCACTCACCAGGGTTCAAATTCAACCCAAACTGCAAAAGTTCTGGGTTCAAAATCCGCCTCGTGCATTTCGCACCCAGCTCTCAGCCCCCCTTGCGACCCGACGTCTCTGCAATCCGCAAGTGGCCTGCCTGGTGGATCCTCAGATCCGGGCCGTTTTCACGCACTTGCGATACACACCCTGTAGGATGCTACGCGAGGTATTTTTACCCGGACAAATTCCAGGAAGCAAAAAGTTGTGTTGGGAAATAAGGCGTTGGAGCAGGGGTCAGCCGACTTTTTCATCGGGAGGCCGGTCCACCGTCCCTCAGACCTTCGGGGGGGGTGGACTATATTTTGGGGAAAAAAATAAACCCCACAAATTACCCAGAGATGCATTTTAAATAAAAGCGCACGTTCTACTCGTGTAAAAACACCAGGCAGGCCCCACAAATAACTCAGAGATGCAGTTTAAATACAGTGGCACCTCAGGTTAAGTACTTAATTTGTTCCGGAGGTCCGTTCTTAACCTTAAACTGTTCTTAACCTGAAGCACCACTTTAGCTAATGGGGCCTCCTGCTGCCGCCACACTGCCAGAGCACGATTTCTGTTCTCATCCTGAAGCAGAGTTCTTAACCTGAAGCACTATTTCTGGGTTAGCAGAGTCTGTAACCCGAAGCGTATGTAACTCGAGGTACCACTGTAAAACAATTACTCATGTAAAAATACGCTGATTCCCAGACTGTCCGCAGCCGGGTTGAGAAGGCGATTGGGCCAGATCCAGCCCCTGGGCCTTAGTTTGCCCCTCCATGCTTTAGAGCAGCCGTCTTGCCCCAAAATGGCAACCTTCCGTGTTGGCGACCGCAATTCTGTTTTAAAGAGTCATTATATATCTGAGTTTCTAACGCCGTGGATCCAGGATTGTGACGCTTCACGGATATCGTGGAAGCAGCAACGGCGCAAGGTGCCCTGTGCATTTAAGGCATCATAAACAGACATGGCTTCTTGCAAAAAGAATACCGGGAACTGCAGTTTTTAGAAGACGTTTATTCCCCGCCACAGAACTACGATTTCTGGAATATAACTCCTCTGGAAACTGGAGCTCTGCGAGGGGAATGGAGGTCTCCTAACAGCCCTTTTCAAACTACAGTTCCCAGGACTTTGGGGGGCAAAAGCCTCGATGACTCTACTTCAGATGTAAAGGGCAGATGGGACCTAAATTGCTGAAATTCCGATGGGAGGAAAAGGGTTGCACACCCCAGTCGGAAACGTAAAACAGGCAACCGCAAAGTGGCAATTTTGAACCCCAGACCTGTGCGCAAAAACGGCTTCCATATCGGCCAACGTGTGAGATTTTTGCGCCGTGATTTGTGCGACATTTGACTCTGCAGAGAAGCAAAACGTCTACAAGAACAGCACATTTTCCCGTGCACTAAAAGAGGCTTTATTCATTCTGACATTATCGGCGCATCATCTGCCCGTTCGGCGAGAGGAAAAAGGAAGGTTTCGGCGCCGCCGGGAAGTTTTCAAGGGTTCACAGTTTCGAAGCGCGAGCAGGCAGATAAAGGAAGCTTCTCTGAGACCAAACGGGTTGCTCTGCAAAAGGGAGGGAAAAGGAGAACAATTAAAGGACGTCGCAAAAACATCTGGTGCTTTGCAGGAATCGCTCAGACAATGAGGACAGCCGAAGCAGATAAGGTGTAGCCGGTGTTCAAAATTAGCATTTTGCACCTGGCTATCGGGTGGTGCTGTGGGTTAAACCACAGAGCCTAGGACTTGCCGATCAGAAGGTCGGCGGTTCGAATCCCCGCAATGACAGGGTGAGCTCCCGTTGCTCGGTCCCTGCTCCTGCCCCCCAGCAGTTCGAAAGCACATCAAAGTGCAAGTAGATAAATAGGCACCGCTCCGGTGGGAAGGTAAACGGCGTTTCCGTGCGCTGCTCTGGTTCGCCAGAAGCGGCTCAGTCCTGCTGGCTACATGACCCGGAAGCTGAACGCCGGCTCCCTTGGCCAATAAAGTGAGATGAGCGCCACAACCCCAGAGTCGGCCACGACTGGACCTAATGGTCAGGGGTCCCTTTACCTTTATCGGGCACTTGTGAAGTGAAGATGCCCCTTGGATCTGGACCGTTTCCACACCCTAAGACCCCAACCCTGTAGGATTCTATCCGTTAAATTTTATCTGCACCGTCGGAATGAGTTTCTGGAACCAGAATGCTTTTTCCGTGAAGCCTGAGCAGGAGCTGCGAACGGCATTCTAGCGAGTTGTTGTCGCTTGGCTTCGCTTCCCCCCTGCTCACCGTTGGGAAGAATATCCCTACATTATGAACAGTCCGGATCTGCCCCCGGGTCTTAGTTTGCCTACCCATGTTCTAGTAGCAGGTGGTTCCCCGGACAATATGCCCCATATGGGGTTCAAACCTTCAACCCTGACATTATCAGCACCTACGCTCCAGCCGACGGAGCGATCCATTTTCCCCATGCACTCATTTGTTTCTCAAGAGAAACACAAGCCACAGACTCCCCTCGCTCTCTGCCTCGCAGCTTGCAAAGGGGCCTCGCTTGGGCTCCGTGCCTAATAATAAATACCGCATTTTTCGCTCTCTAAGACGCACCAGACCACAAGACGCACCTAGTTTTTGGAGGAGGAAAACAAGAAAAAAAATATTCTGAATCTCAGAAGCCAGAACAGCAAGAGGGATCGCTGCGCAGCGAAAGCAGCGATCCCTCTTGCTGTTCTGGCTTCTGGGATAGCTGCGCAGCCTGCATTCGCTCCATAAGACGCACACACATTTCCCCTTACTTTTCAGGAGGGAAAAAGTGAGTCTTATAGAGCAAAAAACACAGTAATAATAATAAATTTAATTTATACCCCGCCCTCCCCGGCCAAGACCGGGCTCAGGGCGGCTAACACCAAATATAAAAACAATTGATTGAAATATAGCTTTAAAAACAAGACTAAAATATAACATTAAAACACAAAAGGGGAGTCGTTCCCGGCACTGCAGAACCCCATTTGCAGGGACGCTTCCCAGTCCCAAGGTGGGGGACGGGATACCGTATTTTTTGCTCTATAAGACTCACTTTTCCCCTCCTAAAAAGTAAGGGGAAATGTGTGTGTGTCTTATGGAGTGAGTGCAGGCTGCGCAGCTATCCCAGAAGCCAGAACAGCAAGAGGAATTGCTGCTTTCGCTGCGCAGCGATCCCTCTTGCTGTTCTGGCTTCTGAGATTCAGATTTTTTTTTTCTTGTTTTCCTCCTCCAAAAACTAGGTGCGTCTCGTGGTCTGGTGCGTCTTATAGAGCAAAAAATACGGTATTTTTTCTGATAGGGTTTGTATGGTTTTGCCATACAAAAAATAAGGTATTTGCCAAGGGGAGTCGTGCTTCCCCCCCTCCCCAAACCGATTCCAAAGCACAAGAGTCGCAGCCGCAAAAAGCCCAGGTTCATTATCCAAAGAGGACCCACCTTCTTGCAGAGAAGGGCTCGTTTCCACTCAGTCGTCCTTCTTAAACTTGCCGTTGATCCAAGGCACGTAGTCGAGGATCAGCCTCCAGTCCGTGGCCCAGACCAGCCCCACGGCGCCCACGGTCCCCCATGTGCTCAACGTAGGCACCCTGCGGGAAGGAGAGAGAACAGAAGCGGCGCTCGCGTACCTCTGGGCATGTTTGAGGCGGAAGCACGTGCGGTTCGCATTGAGCTTTCGGAACCGTAGGGGTGTTGGGAGGGACCCCCAAAGGTTATCCAGTCCAACCCCACCAGCAATCTTGGCCAAAGCATCCCTGACATAGACGGCCACCTAACCTCTGTTTCGAAAGCCTCCAAGGAGTAGTAGTAGTAGTAATTTATTATTTCTACGCCACCCATCTGGCTATGTCTCCCCAGCCACTCTGGGCGGCTTCCAACAGAAAATTAAAAATACACTAAAATCTGCTATGCATGCAGAGGGTCTTGGGTTCAAATTCCGGCATCATCATCATCATTTATTATTTCTACCCTGCCCATCTGGCTGGGTTTCCCAGCCACTCTGGGCGGCTCCCAACAAAAGATTAAAAATACATTAAAACATCAGTCATTAAAAGCTTCCCTAAATAGGGCAGCTTTGAGGTGTCTTCTAAAAGTCAGAAAGCTGTTTATTTCCTTGACGTCTACTGGAAGGGCGTTCTACAGGGCGGGCGCCACCACCGAGAAGGCCCTCTGCCTGGTTCCCTGTCATCTCACTTCTCGCAGGGAGGGAACCGCCAGAAGACCCTCGGGAGATGGACCCTGGTGTCCAGGCATAACGATGGGGGTGGAGACGCTCCTTCAGGTCTACCGGGCTGCCAGTAGTGCAAGTAGATAAATAGGTACCACTCCGGCGGGAAGGTAAATGGCGTTTCCGTGCGCTGCTCTGGTTCGCCAGAAGCGGCTTAGTCCTGCTGGCCACATGACCCGGAAGCTGTACGCCGGCTCCCTCGGCCAGTAAAGCGAGATGAGCGCCGCAACCCCAGAGTCGGCCGCAACTGGACCTAATGGTCAGGGGTCCCTTTACCTTTATCCTATCCTTTACCACCTGCCCTGCCCCACCACCCTGCTTTGGGGAACAGGCAGGGGAATTCTATTTTTTTTTTTTTAAGATATTTATTAAAGTTTCAAAAAAAAAGGTTACATAGATAAGAATTAAAAAAAAAATAGAGAAAAGAAAAATACAAAATACAAAAAAACAATTCCATCTTTTCATCACTTATCTTTCATTTACTTGTTTCCCGGACCTCCTCATGCCTCCCTTTTTTGTATTCCAGTTCAATTTATTAGTTCAGCAATTCCTTTCCCTCCTTATTTTATCCTGATCTTTATTCTTAATATATTATAGCACTGAGTTTTTACGTATTGAAAATCCAATTTTTCCATGTTCTTTTATACCATTACAGGCAGGGGAATTCTCAGGAACCCTCTTCCAAAGCTGACCACGGTTGCTTCCTGTGGCAGTGAGTTCCGCAGGATAACTGGGTGGCGGAGGGGGGTAAAAAATGTCATTTCTGGCCCTGAATTTCCCAGCAAGCCTGTCCACGTGTGTCCAACTAGGGATGGGGCTTAATTTTGGAAGTGGAGGGGGGGTTAATTTTTTGGGGGGGTGACCCCCCCACCCTTTTGGAGCAGGGCTGGGAGGGGCCAAAGCGAGGCCCCGCCCCTTCTCCGACCTTCCCCCCTCCCCAACCCCCTCCCCCCCCCCCACTCACCAGTTGCGCAGGAGCTGCCCGTAACGGGGACCCATGAACTTGCTCAGCATCCTTCCGCCTGGAAGGTCACCTCTCCCTCGCGCCTGCGCACTACCGCTCCTTTCCCCCCCGACGTGCGTGCGCTTCCTTCCTCCCGGCGTGCGTGCGTGCGTGCCTTCCGCCCCGCTCCGCTGTTACGTCCGCGCGTGCGCAGCGTCGCGACGTCGCCTGTTCCGCTCCTCGTACATATAGACTTGAAGAAGAGTCGCCAACGCGCCGTCGGGTTGCGAGCCTGCTTTTCGCGCGCCATAGAACGGGATCCAGCGCCATCTAGCGGCCGAAGCCGCGTAATGAATGGCACAAGTCCTAGGCAAGGACGTTGAGTTGGACGACAACCCTGCAGTGTAGTCCATTATTATTATTATTATTATTAGCCCATGATGAAACACCGCAAATGCAGCTTTATTGCATTTATTTATTTCTGCATTTATTCGTTGTTATTATTAATACCAGCCTATGATAGAACATCTCAAATACAGCTGCTATAATAATAATAACAATAATTAATAATAAACTTATTATTATCGTGCATGCACACAAACGGCTCATCCCAATAATTAACTTAGTTGGTCTCTTAAGGTGCTACTGGAAGGAATTTTTAAATTTTTATTTATTTTGTTTTGTTTCGACTATGGCAGACCAACACGGCTACCTACCTGTAAGTAATAATAATAATAATAATAATAATAATAATAATAATAATAATAATATGATCATCATCATTTGCCTAGTTTCTGGCCCAAAGGATGTAGTGCCAGTATTTACCCATGTTGCCTTTGATTTTTTCATTTGTGATAACATGATTTTATTGTTGAGTCGTTTAGTGGTGTCTGCCTCTTTGTGCCCCCCTGGACCAGAGCAGGCCAGGCCCTCCTGTCTTCCACTGCCTCCCGCAGTTTGGTCAGACTCATGTTTGTAGCTTCGAGAACACTGTCCCACCATCTCATCCTCCGTCGTCCCCTTCTCCTTGTGCCCTCCATCTTTCCCAGCATCAGGGTCTTCTCCAGGGAGTCTTCTCTTCTCCTGAGGTGGCCAAAGTCTTGGAGCCTCGGCTTCAGGATCTGTCCTTCCAGTGAGCACTCAGGGCTGATTTCCTTAAGGATGGAGAGGTTTGATCTTCTTGCAGTCCATGGGACTCTCCAGAGTCTCCTCCAGCACCAGAATTCAAAAGCATCTATTCTTCGGCCATCAGCCTTCTTGATGGTCCAGCTCTCACTTCCGTACATCACGACTGGGGATAACATGATAGAGCATCACAAATACAGCATAATCATCAAATAATATAATAAACCGAAATCAAATCAAATCAAAGCATGCTAGGAATATATTAGCATTCTTGGAGTGCCGTACATGGGCCATGGACTTTCAGACTCTGCCTGCAATAATAACAATAATAACAATAATAATTATAAGATTTATTATTATACTGCCCTATTCCCCAAGGTCTCAGGGCGGTTCACAAGATAAAACCACAATGGAGATTCATTGACATTGTCTGGGGATTGTTGATGAATCCCAGGCAAAAATCTCCAAAAACCAAATGCCCCAAATCTGGTATTCCTTTGATCTGAATGTTAGACGCTTTTAAGTATTTCTAAAATGCAAAAATATACGTTTGCCGCCTGCTTTTTAGTGAATGGGAGAGAGAGAACACACGCAAAAATATATATACTGTATCTATAGAGAGATATTTTAAAATCAACCTCGCAAGAAGACTGTAGGCGCGCGACTCTAATTTAAAGAAGATCTATGGTCAATCATTGCCCGCTTTGCTTTAACGCGCCTGCGCGGCGCCGACTTTCTGCCTCATTCCATTGCCCTCCTCGTCGAAGGACCCCCGCCAAGTTGTTTTGTTTTCAAGGCGAGTGGGGAGTGCGTTGTCTACTGCAGTGCCTGATTAATATCAGGGAAGGGCTCCCTTTAGATATAATAATGTTGAATTTCAGCTATAACCGGCCAGAGGGGCTGCGGCCACAACCTGAAACTCCTTAAAGCAGTATTAAGGGCAGCAAAACTTAACAAAATGCCTGCAAAAGTAATGCACCAGGCATAATTTCCAAATAGGTTTTTGAGTTTTCAAAGCAATGAGAGCAGCCAGGATCCCACTGGAAATTTCAAAAGCTCCACATTTGTAAATCGCACCAAATGAACTTGTGCAAAGTTAATTTAAATATACTGTATATTGGTGCAATACACACACACACCTTGTGAAGCTGGGCCACTATTTAATTTAATTTAAATATTTAATTTAATATTTAAATTAAATAGTGCCTCAGCTGCACAAGGTTAAGTGCAACTGGTTAACTTTGCACAAGTTCATTTGGTGTGATTTACAAAGTTTTTGAAATTTCCAGTGGGATCCTGGCTGCTCTCATTGCTTTGAAAACTCAAAAGCCTATTTGGAAATTATGCCTGATGCATTATTTTCCAAGGTGTTTTGTTAAGTGTTGCTGCCCTTAATACTGCTTTAAGGAGTTTGAGGTTGTGGCCCCATTTTAGGTAAAGGTAAAGGGACCCCTGACCATTAGGTCCAGTCGTGGCCGACTCTGGGGTTGCGGCGCTCATCTCGCTTTACTGGCTGAGGGAGCTGGCATACAGCTTCCGGGTCATGTGGCCAGCAGGACTAAGCCGCTTCTGGCGAACCAGAGCAGCGCACGGAAACGCCGTTTACCTTCCCGCTGGAGCGGGACCTATTTATCTACTTGCACTGGTGTGCTTTCGAACTGCTAGGTTGGCAGGAGCATGGACTGATCAACGGGAGCTTACCCCGTCACTGCGGGGATTCGAACCGCCGACCTTCTGATCGGCCTAGGCTCTGTGGTTTAACCCACAGCGCCACCCGCGTCCCTTCCAATCCCCATGTTACACCCCCCCAACTACATCACTCATACATCACAGTTACATCATGAAAGGGGAGGTCTGGTGGCAGTGATCTGAGCATCCTGGACCCTGCCCCATGGTTCCCCTTGCCCTCCACCAAACACCCATCAAGTGTAACAAAAAATATATTTACATTTCCCTGTTTCCCAGCCAAGTTCATCCCACCCTTTTGTCTTCATCTGGGTTTGTTCTTTCTGGCATGGCTACCTGTCTGGCACTCAGGTATCAGGAGGCCAGGAATTATCCCTCAGGCAGAGGGGCTGCTGAGCAGCTGAACTCACATGTCTATAGGAATTTCTGAATTTTCTCCAGGGAACCAGTACAGAGATACATTGATCAGTGAATTCTTACATTTGGTATCCTGCAGCAGAGACCCTTTGAATAGATAGGAAGAAACTGCGATGTTTTGTGGGGACAAATCACAAAAGTCACAAAAGCGATGGTGCTGGTTTTGGTAGTGGGCTGCATGTGCATGAGATCTGCTGGAGGGGCAAACCCACTCCCAACCTATACATAAATTCCTGCAACACTGGGAAATTGCCTTATTCCAAATAGGATCCCTCGCAAGAAAAAGGAAAAGTTGACAGCTATGGGTGGGAACCGTTTATACTGGAGCAAGCTGCCGGTTTCAAAAGGGATGTCTTTCAGGAAAAAAATGTCTATGAGTTGATCCCGGGAACTTCTGTATTTAATAGGCTTTGCTCCCAGGTAAATGGGAGTCAGGGCTGTAGCCCTCAAAAGTCTCTTAAAATACAGATTCTTTCACAGACAAAAGGAAGTCCTTCTTCTTGAGTTGCCAAATAATGTCCTGGATTAAAGGGGCGAAAATAAAGTCCGGGGGATATTCGGAAAATTGGCAAAATGAGCTTTTTCATTTTTAAGGAAACGCAAAGTTCTTCAGTTTGCTAAACTCAGCTTTGCTGAACGAAAGTGATTGCAAACAACTTCGAAATCCGGGACATTTTGCCAATTTAACAGGCTGCTTTCACCAGTTAAATTCCAGACGCGTGGCAACCCTAGATAAAAACTCCCCAAAACATTATCTACTCAGGAGTAATTCCTATTGAGTTCAATAAGTGGCATCTAGGATGGCAGCCTTTTATTCCCACCTAAAAAAATAAAATCAAGAACATGACGTTCGCGTCAAGGTCAGGAATGAAAGGGGGGAGCGAGAGAACCAGGAAAAATAAAGCAATTTTAGTACAAGGTAGAACCTTTATTACAACTTTTTCATTGATAGGTATACAACATCTGAGAGACAGATACGGGGAGAGGGGGGGGAAAGGTAATATTGTTATAAAATGTCAAATTTATTGCTACATTACTGTTATATACAGGACAGTTCTCAAAATTCTACTTTTAAAAAAGTTAAGGATTATTTAAAAATTCCAAATAATCCAGCCAGCTGTTGTTTTTTTTTTCTTGACACTTGTATAAAATTATTATTATTATTTTTTTAAAAAATGAACACAATCCATATCTTGAGGCACTCGGAAACACAATTTAAAACCCCCCGTGCTACCCCAACCCCAGCCGCCCGATCCCAGAAATTTGTGATTTCAGTCCAAAAATGTGGGTCCATCCCCTCTATTCCGTGTTGCCCTCCCCACCCACCAAATACTCTTTTTCTTTCCATTTTCCTCCTCCTCCTCCTTTTTTTTTAAACGGGGGTTGGGCATATATATATATTTATACCATATATATATCTTTCAAAACTATAATGTGTATCTGATTTAATAACAAGGATTCTCAGCCACTTACGTACAGCTGGATTTTACAATGTAGGCAGCAAAAAGAGGGGGATAAAACAACACCCCATAGCGGCCCCCGGTCCCCAAATCCAAATTTCAGCTAGGCATGACTTAAAACCGCCCCCCCTTGTCCATTGAAAGCAAAAAAAGAGAGTTTCGTCGAGTCCATTCATTTCCCATTAAGACTTAAGTCATGGCTAACTGTACCTGGATCGGGGCCACTCACCCCTCCCACCCCCATGAAAAAGCAAGGATCGATTTTTATCTCTTTTTTTTAATATATATATAAAAATCCCCAATAGCAAGAAAGAGAGAGAGAGAGAGAGAGCCCCAAAAACAATCTAAACAGGCTGAAAAGGATACGCAGCCTCGCCCATCCCATCTAAAAAAATATAGCTTAACGGGAACCAAGGTACAATTTGTTCTCTGCAGTGCGCGAGCCTCTTTTTTTAAACAAAAAGTTAAGATTCCCCCCCCCCACGGTGCTGTTTCTCTGAAAACACTCCCCGCCCAGCACGAAAATTTTTAAAAATATGGGGTTTTTGTCCCCCACTCCTGTTTTGTTTCGTTTCGCTGGTTGTCCCTTTCTTAAATTTCCTAACCCCCGCAACAAAAATAAATATCCCAAGATCATTTGGGACATATCTATATTACAAACTTTAAGAAAGAAAAGAAGAAAAAGAAAAGAAACAGTTTCAAACCCGTTTTTAAGCTATCATAGCGACCTAAATGCAGAGGGCGCTTGGGGGGTTGCAAGGAATGGGGAGAGGGGCACGCGACGCAGGGAAAGAGGGGCTGCTTCTCCGGCCAAAGGATCTCTGAGCGCACCTCGCGGAAACGGCAGGGTTCCTTTTTTAGATAGTTAAAACCGGTCTGAAACTGGTTTAAGAGTTTGTAGTGTAGATACGCCCCGGCCAAAAAGGCGAGCTTCTCTCCCCCCCCCCCGCCTTTTCCCGAACGGAACAAAAACACAATAAAAACAGAACCAAATTGTTCAAACAAAATACAACTTTGAAAAGGACGGGAGGAGGAGAACGTGTTTGGATCCGGTGGACTGGAACCCTTTTTCCCCTGGGGGGCGTTTGAACTGGAAAAGGAAGTTGTGGCGACTCTCTTTTAGAGAGAGATTTAGTCAGGGTGGGGTGGCAACGAGGAGACGCCAAAAGTTATCCTGTCCTCGGCTCCTGCAAAGTTGCTTTGACCCAGGCCGACCCCAGAAAACACCCCCTCCCCAAAAAAACTCCCAGTTTGGCACAGAACCGCCAACCGGTTCTGACAAAAATCAGATTTGCAATGGGAGATGAACCAAGCCGGGTGATGGGTGGAAAAGGGGGGGGGACCGTGGCTGAGCGGCGGGTGGCACGGGGACACCTGCATCGCAAAAACGGGTGCCCTGTCCCCACCTTAGCAAGGACCTTTTCCCACTGCCCTGCATGGCTCTACCAAAGACTTTCCCCCGTCTCTGCTGGTAAAGCGCCCCCCCCCCGGATGCCACGCTCTCTGCCGTCGGAGTTGTGTGAATGTGTGTGTTTCTAGTGGGATTTGCCCAAAGTCAACTCTCCGGGATATTCGAAACCTCCGAGGTCGCAGCACCCATGGGAGAGTCTCCAAAGACCTGCCACCACCCCCCGGAGGGCAAATTTGGGAGGACGAGATACCAGGACAAGTCAACGCACCCTCCCGAAATCTGGTGGCGATCTCTCGCCGGAAACAGCAGCCTTCTCCGGAGGGGCGCAAAGTTGCTTTCTGTCCGCAAACTGGCAGGGGACTGGAAGTATTCGCCCCAACGACCAGCAGCTGTTCCTCCAGAGCTCATAAAATGCAAAGCGGGTCCATCTTCGGTTTGAAGTCCTGCGATTGGCCTTTGGGGGCTTGACTGTCTCTGGCTTGGAAACCTTAGCGTCTCGCGCACGCACCCCGCACCCCACCGCAAAATCTCGCCGTCTCGCCTTTTCCTCGTTGCGGCTCGTTTGTTCTTCGTTCTGCCTCCGGCAGTTCTTTTAAACATTTTTTAAAAATCGCTCCCAACCTCCCTCCTTTTTCGTTTGTTCCGCGCCGGTTTTGCTCAGGTGCTTCTTTCGAAAAATGGAGAAGGAATCGGTGGGAACGTGAGCCGGTCCTCCCGTCGCCATCCTGCTTTTCAAAGACGGCGCTTTCTTCCAAAGTTCTCCGCTTCCCGCTGTCTTGAGATCCATGTCTTCCGTAAAGAGGACTTCGCGTTCCTTGTAGTGTCTTTGCTTTCCATTAAAGGGGGACCATAGATGACTTTTTTTGGGGGGGTGAGGTTTAAGATGGAAGCAAAGGGCACAATATAAGACTTTTTGAGAATCGTGCGGGATGGAGGAAACTCTTCCGAATCGCTTTGCCGTCTCTTCCCCCCATCCCCTTTCAAAATTCGACAGAGACGGTTATCAATACACCCTTCACCGTGGAAGCTCCTGGCAAACGAACCTGCCTATTTCAATTCACGCGTGTGACATTTTCGCAACACTCTCACCGTCCGTGTCTCCCCCCCCCACTTCCGTCCTCGAATTTAGTTTCCGTTTTTGTGTTTCGTTTTCAAACATCCAGTCCTCTTAATACAAACTTTTAATATTTCTGGTTGATCTTAATTTTTTAAAAAATAATATGCAACATTAACTATAGAAACAGCAGCAGAGAAAAGAGATAGAGGGAGGGGGTGGAAATAAAAAGCGGTTCGATGGGGGGGGAGAAACAAATCTGTTCGTTTTTTTTACACGTCTTTTTCCCTCCCCGTCGTTGCTTACAAAACATATACGCAAAAGAAGCTAAAAAAACAACCCAAAACGAAACAACAAAACCCCCCCCAGCTCCACAAAAGGCATTACTATGTTTGTTCTACGTTTAAAAAAAATTATTGTAACTAACGTTCTCTTTTTTAAAAAAAGAAAGAAATAAAGAAAATAAAAATAAAATGCGTAGGCACAATTTCTTTTTTTCTTTTTGCTGGCCTTATGTGAACACAAGCCATTTGTAATGTTACACATCCCCGCAAACAACAACCCCCCCCACCCGAAATTCGGTAACTGAAGGATATGCACTGAAAGTTCGAGAATATAGACTTAAGGCAATCTTTGCTGTTGATTTTTTTTTCCGTTTTGATAAAAATTGTTGCTTTTCCTTTCCTTTAGAGAGAGAGAGAGAGAGAAAGAAAGAGAAAAGTTCCTTCTAGCACGCTGAACTTTTCTCTGCCCGTTTCCCCCCCTCCCCCAAAAAAGGACCGCACGTCGGTATTTGAAACAGGGCTACAGTTTCTGGTGCGGACAGGCGGTGGTTGTCGGGGAATGGAGGAGAGGGGGATGTGTGAGAGATCCAGCTTTCTCTTCTTCCTACAGACGTCTGCTTGCAGGGCGAAGAAAAGAAATCACCTGCGGGGAGGGAGAGAGAGAAAGAAAAGGTGAGAAGAGACACGGCGCAAAAGCCCGGAGGTTCGTCGAGCAAAAACACAAGTCTCAAAAGCGACGTCCTCAAACTCCACCATCCTAGGCTGCGTCCGACCCAGCCCTGAATCGCTTAGCCCAGAGGTCAGCAAACTTTTCCAGCAGAGGGCCGGTCCACTGTCCCTCAGACCTTATGGGGGGCCCGGAGTAGATTTTGGAAAAATAATAATGAATGAATTCCCGCTGCTCCCAAGTAAAGACCCAGAACAGGTGCAGAGAGAGAGAGAGAGAGTACCTTTACATATGTCCTACAGGGTTGTGCCCATCTCCTAGACCCGGATGAGATGCCGAGAGCGCCATTTGAGGGTCCCCGACGACGCCAGACACTTTCTCCTCTTCACGGCGCTTTAGGCAGGCTGCTTTTGGGTTCAGGTTACGTTCTGAGATGAGAGGAGAGAGAAGAGGAGGAAATCTGGAGGGTCTGGCAAGAGCCACCGCCAACCCCAACCCAACCTAACTCAACCCAACCCAACCCAACTCAACCCAACCCAACCTAACTCAACTCAACCCAACCCAACCCAACCTAACTCAACCCAACTCAACTCAACCCAACCCAACCCAACCTAACTCAACCCAACCCAACCCAACCCAACTCAACCCAACACAACCCAACACAACACAACCCAACACAACCCAACACAACCCAACACAACCCAACTCAACCCCACTCAACCCAACCCAACCTAACTCAACCCAACCCAACCTAACTCAACCTAACTCAACCCAACCTAACTCAACCCAACCCAACCCAACCCAACCCAACCCAACCAGCATCCAAGGGAAAGAGGCAAGACGGAGAAAAGGATAAGGTTTACACAAAGTGCGAGAGGGTTGGCATCCGAGCCTCGCTCGGCCCCCTCCCCACCTTGCTGCTCAAAAGCTGTAATGGGGGGGTCATCTCTGCACAGACCGCGAACCAGAGAGCGAAGGGAGGAGAAAAGAAGCGACGCAAAACCTGGAGCCCCGAGCAAAGGGTGGAAGGGAGAGAGGCAGAGACACTCGTGCGAGCGAGAGAGCACAGACGGGAGATGCGCGCAAAGCATGGGGGGGCGAGACCTCGGGGTGTGTGGGGGGGGTGAGCCCCCCGGCGCCGTACCTCGTACTTGCTGCTCCAAGCCTAATATGACTTGCACCGCTTGTTGGAGGATGATGAGCTTGGTCTGCGCTTTGTCTGTTTTTAAGTGAATTTGGCACATGCGTCCCAGCTCTTTAAAGGCCTCGTTAATGTCCCGGACGCGCACCCTCTCCCTGGCATTATTGGCCATGCGCCTCTCCCGGTCCCTCAGGTCCTTGTCTTCCAGTGAGAGCGCCTCATCTGTACTGCTGGGTTCACACAGCACCACGGGGAGGGTTAGTCTGGGGAGCGACGGAGGGACTCCGCGGGGCGGGCGGGCGGGTTCGAGGGGACGGTGCCAAGGTGGGCAGCGGGGGGGAAACGTCCACGTCAGCGGCGAGCCATGGCGGCACGGCACAACTGACGGACGATGAGGAAGAGGAGAGCCCTTTCGTTCCACCTCAGAGACAAGGAGCTGCCGAACGCTGCCCGTGCCGTGCGCGCCCGTTTTGCAACACGGGCAAAACCAAACTCGAAAACCTTGTTGTCCCACTATCCTCTGGGACGATACTCTTTTGGCACTTTGGAACCGTGGAATCGTAGAGGCAGAAGGGAGCCCCCCAGTGGCCATCCAGTCCAACCCCCTAGCGACGCAACGATCTCGGCTCAAGCACCCGGGTAAAGTTGGGCGCCCAGCTTCTGCTCGCAAAACTCCAAGGGAGACCGTTCCTCTTGGGGTAGCCGATTGCAGAAGCGACACAATAAATCGGGGATGGGCGTTTTTAGACTCCGGTTCCCATCAGCCCCAGCCAGCCGGTGTAGCCAATGGTCACGGCAGGAGCCAGAGTCCCGAAAGATCTGGGTAAGTCACTTAGCAGTTTCTCTAAGCCAGGGGTAGGCAAGCTAAGGCCCGGGTAGAATGTGTATTTTTATTTCAAATGCATCTCTGGGTTATTTGTGGGCCCTGCCTGGTGTTTTTACACGAGCAGAATGTGTGCTTTGGACTGGGGAACTACCCGCTACTAGAACATGGGTAGGCAAGCTAAGGCCCGGGGGCCCCATCCGGCCCCATCGCCTTCTCAATCCGGCCCGCAGACTGTCCGGGAATCAGTGTTTTTTCACATGAGTAAAATGTGCCCTTTTATTTAAAATGCATCTCAGGGTTATTTGTGGGGCATAGGAATTCGTTCATTATTATTTTTTCCAAAATATAGTCCGGCCCCCCACAAGGTCTGAGGGACAGTGGACCGGCCCCCTGCTGGAAAAGTTTGCTGACCCCTGGACTAGAACCTTTCTGTCTTATCCATATTGAACTTCAGTTCAAGCAAGCAAGCCTGGGGAACCACCTGCTACTAGAACATGGGAAGGCAAACTAAGGCCCGGGGGCCGGATCCGGCCCCATAACTTCTCAATCCGGCCCGCCAACAGTCCGGGAACCAGTGTGTTTTTACATGAGTAGAATGTGTCCTTTTATTTAAAAGCATCTCTGGGTTATTTGTGGGGCCTGCCTGGTGTTTTGACACGAGTAGAATGTGTGCTTTTATTTAAAATGCATCTCTGGGTTATTTGTGGGGCATAGGAATTTGTTCATTTCCCCCCCTTCAAAATATAGTCCGGCCTGAGGGACGGTGGACCGGCTCACGGCTGAAAAAGGTTGCTGACCCCTGGCCTAAGCCTAGCTCCTGGAGTTCCTATTTTGTGATGTCGATTTTGGACATTTCAATGGCAGCCCAACCGAACCACGCCGGCCTTTGGCAATCTGAACCTCGCAGTTTGGAAGGAAGAAGATTGTCCTGCCTCCAGGGAGATTCGAGAGTGAATATCCGGGGGGGGTGTGTCTCTATTTAGAGCTGGAAAGGGTGGGGTGAGGTGTGTCAAGACTGGGCAATGTCTCACATCCACCCCACAACTGACGGGTCTACCGCAACTGGAGGAGAAGCTCAGCTAAGACCACAACCCTGGTTGTGGTGGCACGTCCAAGGTTGCGGTCCCTCCCTATATATTCGCCATAATAAGCATTGTGCGGTTTACACGTAGAATTGTGGAGATGTAAGGGACCCCCAGGGCTCATCTAGTCTGACCCCACGACAGACGGCCACCCAACCTCCACTTAGAAACCTCCAATAGGAGGGAGAGCTTGCCAAATCCCAAGGGAGTCTGTTCCACTGTTTAATGGCTCTTAAAAGATAATAATAATAATAATTTATATTATTTACACCCTGCCCATCTGTCTGGGTTTCCCAGAAGAAGGTTGTTATGATGAGTATTCGTATTATTAATAATGATCAGGGCCGTTTTTCTAGAAAAGGGTCCATGAGTTTACCTTGTTCTCTTAGAAAAGATATTATTATTATTATTATTTATTATTATTATTATTAGTTGCAATCAAAATCATCCAACACCCCCCCCCATTGCAAACCACATTTATTCTCAACATCTGCAAACTTACAGCTGTTTGCAAGGAGCGGAATCCCACAAAAGCCACGGAAATAGCTCCTCAGTGGTTTCTCCCCAAATTCAGCTGAAAATTCAACTTAAAGAGAAGCCCGTCGAGGTTGCCTTTCCAGCAGAATTTCACCTGATTTGCAAACGGGGGGGGGGGGTGGTGGTGGCAAGGTTTGGAACAATTTTGACTGCGCCTATAGGTGTTGCCTAGAATCAATCTCTCCCGTCTCTTGGCATTTGATATCCGGACCAAGGCAGGAAAAAACGACCTACGCCTACCCTCATAATTCATAAAGAACGTGAGAATTTTGATGCTTGATCCGGCCCACAAGCAGACAAGACTTCCCTCACCTGTGATGTGCAAAAAAAGTGGTGCCCGAGGACATCTCCTGCATCCGACAAGAGGATGCGGACTAGTCCCATGTGCTTTAAGTAAAGGTAAAGGGACCCCTGACCATTAGGTCCAGTCGTGGTCGACTCTGGGGTTGCGGTGCTCATCTCGCTTTACTGGCCAAGGGAGCCGGCGTACAGCTTCCAGGTCATGTGGCCAGCAGGACTAAGCCGCTTCTGGCGAACCAGAGCTGCGCACGGAAACGCCGTTTACCTTCCCGCTGGAGGGGTACCTATTTATCTACTTGCACTTTGACGTGCTTTCGAACTGCTAGGTTGGCAGGAGCAGGGACAGAGCAAATGGAGCTCAGCCCGTGGCGGGGATTCGAACCGCCGACCTTCTGATCGGCAAGTCCTAGGCTCTGTGGTTTAACCCACAGCGCCACCCGTGTCCCGTCCATGTGGTTTGCATGTTTGCAAATTTTTGCTCGAAGCCGCCTTATGCGTTGGCCTGGGACAGGCATGCCCAACAGATAGATCGTGATCTACTGGGAAATCGCGGGGTGTTCCTGGTAGACCTTTGACCCTTCAGAGATCTTCTCCCCCCCAAAAAAAGGGGGGTGAGGAAGCTGAACAACTGTGGCTTAAAGCTTAACAACAACTTTGCCTTTCCCCAAAAATGCGCAACAACTTTGGCCCATCCAGCGACAATGGATAAATCACTGCCAGATTTTTTTAATACTGCGAGTAGATCACAGTCTATTAGGAGCTGGCCTAGGAAGTTCATATTGCATTGGGGGGCAGCTGTGCCCCTACTGGAACTTGAGGGGGGCTGAATTTGGACACGGCACAAAGCTCAGACCCGAGCCGACATCGGACTCAGAACCAGCGCTGTTTCGGAGTTCCCCTGGTTTATTTGGTGGGAGGGACTGTTTAGGAAAAAACCCCCCAAAACCTCAAGCAGAATTTGAGACAGAAGCAGCGGAGGGGAAATATTAGAGGGGTTTCCATATTAGACAAGAGTTTGATATATACAGCGATGCCTCGGTTTCCGAACGTCTTGGAACCTGAACGCCATAAACCTGGAAGTAAACGCTTTCGTTTTCGAACGCGCGTCGGAAGTCGAACCTCCGAGGTGGCTTCCGTGTTGAGTTTTGTGTTTCAAGGCTTCCCCTATCGAGTTTTCGAACCTGAACGGTCTTCCAGAACGGATGACGTTCAGAAACCGAGGTACCGCTGTATATAAGGCAGCGGGAAAGGGCTTGAACGAAAACACTGGGCAGGTTGGGGGCAGGAAGCCAGCCCACGAAACTGTTTAATTTGAAGTCGACTTGGAAGTAGGATAAACATTGTATTATTAAAGAGAACACGGTGGTTTTGAAACACTAGGAATCTTAACGTTTCCCTTTATTTCCAGGGGAAATAATTTCCAGGGGGAAGGTTAGCTATGCACACTTTTTTAAAAAATAAAAAAGGCTGTGATTCATTTTTAAAGTTACGCAGCAGGGGGAGAAAATGCCTAAACCTCTCTGTGGCTACAAAAGCGAGGGGGGGTCATTCGGCGAACCTTAGAAAACTACCTTCCACCATTGGCCCATCGAGACCAGTGTCGTTTGCACAGACTGGCAGCATTGTTCAGGGTTTCAGAGAGGAAGTATTTGCCAGTCCCCAGCAGGAAATGCAGGGAATCGAACCTGCGACCTTCTGCAATCGGGACAGATGTTCTGCCTCTGCGTCCGTTCCCCAGAAAGCTGGATGCAGGGAGATTTGGAGAAAAGGAAGCGATTCTCCACGTAGCGACATAGCTAGCTAGTCTTTGAGATGAGCTACCCCAGACAAGTTTTTTTAATTCTTATTCTTAGAAAACCTGCGAACCTGAGATTACGAGCCCCGTGCTTTGCCGACTGAGCTATCCCAGCAGACGGACGAGTCTTGGGTCTGACACCGCTTGCAGATCGCTCCTGATGTTCTTATAAAAAGGTAAAGGACCCCTGGATAGTTAAGTCCAGTCACAGGCGACTATGGGGTTGTGGCGCTCATCTCGCTTTCGGGCCGAGGGAGCCGGAGTTTGTCTGTAGACAGCTTTCCGGGTCATGTGGCCAGCAGGACTGAACCGCTTCTGGCGCATGACGGAATCCAGAGCGCACGGAAATGCTGTTTACCTTCCCACCGGAGTGGTACCTATTTATCTACTAGCGCTGGTGTGCTTTCAAACTGCTAGGTTGGCAGGAGCTGGGACGGAGCAACGGGAGCCGGGGTTCGAACCCAAGCCCAAGAGGCTCTGTGGTTTAGACCCGTGTCCCTGATGTTCTTATAAGGCTATTGTTAACTACGAGTTATGCCGGCTGTCTATTCATTCCAGTATCAGAGGCAGTTTTGCCTATGAATGCCAGTCGCGGAGAGCAAGTGGGGAGGTTTGTTGTCAAACTTAGGGGGCTGTTCACTTTGGGGCACCTGCAAGAACAGGATTGGCAACCTGGTCCTTCCTACACTCTGCACATGCTCAGGAGACACACCCCACCCAACACAGTGCAATGTGATTTTCTAAACGTGTACGTGCCCTTCTAAGGAGAGACATTCCCTTCATCCCCTTCTTTTGTGTTCGTAGGAAAAGCTGCTCCTTCGACCGGGGCTGCCTGCCTGTGTCTGGACTTCAAAAGCCCGCCTCTACCTGGAGGGCATGACATTTGGGACAACCGCGTCGCGGGGGGTTGGACTGGATGATCCTTAGGGACCCCCCTCCCAAATCTACGATTCCACAGGCGACCCGTCTGCGCCAAAAGGCTACAGCCGGACAGTGGGCCAAATCGGAGAGCTCTTCAGCTGGCCGGGTTTCGGCTTGGGGGACGCCAGCGGCCGACCCGTCCCAAACGCGTCGCCTTCGGGAACGTGGCAAAATAATAACTTTAAAAAGGAGGTGCGCCAGAGACTTTAAGATTCAGGGAGGGTGCGCCTGCCTTTCTGCTCGTAGGCTATTCCTCCCCCCACCCCACTGCTGCCCGCCTGGGTTTTCCTGTCTCTCTAAGGACGCAGCAAGTACAAGGTACAGGGTTGGAACCACCGAGGGGGTCACGGCTGGGGTCTGTCTGTAGGAAAGCAGAGAAGGGGTGGCAGAGAGGGTGGCGGCAGCAAACGAAGCGTATACATGAGAGAAAAAGAGACCAGGGGAAACAAAATAAAAGAGTTATACATGTCGCGGCAGACGAAAAGGGGAAATTAATGGAAGCTCCAGAATGGAAGGGGGAGAAGGAGCAGAACAGAAGAACGGGGCACAGGTACTGTACGGTCGAAAACCAGGCGCGCTGCCCCTCTGCCCGCCCACCTCTGTCGAAGACATTGAACTCAAGATGCACCCATTTCGCAGATTGCGAGGAAGGAAAAGTTAAGTGCTTTCATGCACTGCCAAGCAGGGGGAAAAGACATTTGCAGAGAGGAAGGGAAAGCAGCCCGACTCTCTTCCGCGGGTGCACGCCTGGCAGAGAAGTGGGCACGCGTTTTTGCCTCTGGCCAAGCTACCCTGCCTGGCTCCCCAACTATCTCTGCGCAGATGATTTCATCCCTAACTTGGCAGCTGGGACGGAGGGACAAAGGTTGCAGAGAGAGAGAGGGGTGGTTTTCAAAATACAGCCGTACCTTGGACTCCGAACGCCTCGGCAGTCGGGACGTTTTGGCTCCTGAACGCCGCAAACCTGGAAGTGAGTGTTTGCAAACGTTCTTTGGGATCCGAACGTCCGGCGTGGCTTCCGATTGGCTGCAGGAAGCTCCCACAGCCAATCAGAAGCTGCGCCCTGGTTTCCGGACGTGAAACGGAGTTCCGGAACACATTATGTTCAAGAACCGAGGTACGGCTGTAATAATAAAAGACCAAGCTCATCTCTCCAGAGCATCTTTCGTTGGTGTAAGATGTGGGGGCGCCCACTATGACTTGTTTAGGGAAGCTTTTAATGTTTGATGTATTCCTGTATTTTAATATTTGGTTGGAAGACATCCAGAGTGGCTGGGGAAGCCCAGCCAGATGGGCGGGGTATAAATAATAAATTATTATTATTATTATTATTATTAAAGCAAAAACCCAGCAAAGCTCAGACCGAGCGGCTTTCCCGCAACACAGGGGGTCCCACGTGTGAATAGGTTTCCTCTCGCGCGATGGATCTTTCCCTCTCGCACACACCCCCAATTTTTTTGCAGGGGGTTCCCCTAACTCTGCAGGGTACGGAGGCAAACTCACGGAGGGAGGACGGGGAAGTTTCGCTCCACAAGAGGAAATCCTCGTGCGGACGGGAGAACTTGTTTGGATTAGCATTGTTGTTGATCGAATTTGTATTTATTAAATTTGTGGCATGCTTTGTGTAGCCACCCCCCGCCCTCCCTGAAGCTCAGCAAATCGCCAAGGGCACTCTAGTAAGGAGGGCTACCCCCCCATCCTCTGAGTCCGAAAGCCACGAGGGATGGAAATAGTTTTATTATTTATTCCTATCCCCAGCAACGGAAGGAACAGCAGGCTACGCATAGGAGCTGGTCTCGAAACTACTGCCGCAAGGCGAGAAACACAATTAAGTACCGTATTTTTTGCTCTATAAGACTCACTTTTTCCCTCCTAAAAAGTAAGGGGAAATGTGTGTGCATCTTATGGAGCGAATGCAGGCTGTGCAGCTATCCCAGAAGCCAGAACAGCAAGAGGGATTGCTGCTTTCGCTGCGCAGCGATCCCTCTTGTTGTCCTGGCTTCTGAGATTCAGAATATGTTTTTTCTTGTTTTCCTCCTCCAAAAACTAGGTGCGTCTTGTGGTCTGGTGCGTCTTGTAGAGCGAAAAATACGGCATTTCTTTAAAAGCAAGCCCCCGCCCCGTGCAAAAATTGGATGAAAAAAGCCAACAGTTTTTTGGGGGGGAAATACATAGGGATTTGCTGGAAAGGCGTCCGGTGGGATCTGCGCATAACCTGCATGATCTTTCCGCCTCTCTGGGAAAACAAAAAACAAAAAACACCTCCCGTCTTTGATACGTGGCAATTCAGAGCCCCAAAGAGCTGCCCTTTAGCACTACAGCTTTCCACCCTCTCCTTGCAAATCAGGTTTATTATCAAAATCTGCAGTGTTCTTCAGGGGTTTGCAACAGGCATTTTCAGCTGAATTTTGGGGGAACCGCTTGGTTTGCAAACTTTGCAAGCCGCCAGAAGCCTGCAAATGTTGATTGATAAACCCGATTTTGCAATGGTTGGGGTGGTGGAAGGATTCAGACTGTAGCTGTGTGTAGCAGTTTGGGACAGAAGAAAACGATAAATGCGGAAGCCCCCCTGGCAGAGGCGCGAGGGCTGACGGCATGCAGGAAGCGCAACGCTTGCTTTCCCTTATTTCTGGCGCGGGAAAACAAAAATGGGAAAAGCGAGGGGTGCGAAAAGGCAGCAGAGAGAAGCAAAACGGCGGCGACCCACTAAAAACCCACGACAACAGAGAACCTAAAATGGCAAACAAAAAAGACGCGAGAGTTTCAAGGGGTTGGGAGGCGAGGGGGAGAACTTCAGCAGGATTTGGAGAGGTGCGCCAGGGACGGATTCGGGAGACGAGACAGACAGCCCCTTGCCGCTCGGAAAACGTCACCACATCGGAAGTCTCCACTGACCTCTAACTTGTTGTTCCAGATTCAGGATAACCGAGACGGCTTGGTGTAGAATGAGCAGTTTGGTCTGTGGCTTTTCGCTGTTTAGGTGCAGCTGACACATGCGCCCCAGCTCTTTAAAAGCCTCGTTGATGTCGCGGACGCGGAGGCGCTCTCGGGCGTTATTAGCCACCCTTCTCTCTTTCTCGCGCTCGGCTTTTTGCTCTGGGGGAAGGAGGTCGTCATCCTCGTCCTCATCTTGACTGATGGTTTGAAAGGAGAAGGAGACAAGGGGGTGGGTGGGGGGCGTTTTTTCCCACGCTGGCACACCTTAGCACCGGAACGCGTCGTGCACAAATATGGGGAACGGGGATGCACAAAACACACAGGGCAGCCCACCGCCCGCCACGATAATATTATATATTTTTGCAATAACTGGAACGACCGTAAACCCAACATTTCCCACCCACCGACCGCACTTCCCAGGGCCGGAAGGTTTGCAAAGTGTGTCCCCGAAATTCACCCCCCCACCACCAAAAGGAAAAAGCTGACTGGGTAAAATTGCAGTAAACCAATCGCTGTTCATATTTTCCCTATGAACCGCCATAGATTCCCACCATGGTGTTTTGGTCGCTACTGATTTTTTTACTCCTCTCCCACACTTCATAGAATGCCCTTCTCACAATATGATTTAAGAATCCTTTGTGGGATTTAACCTCGTCATGGCCTATGTAGTTATGTACACAATAGGAGAACCCTCCAATTTATGCATGAGCCTGCGTATTATGACTTTGGGCGGTTCTTGTGTACAGCCGCGCCTCGGTTCTCGGACGGAATCCATCCCACAAGTCCGTTTGGCTTCCCAAAAACAGAGGCGCGGCTTCCGATTGGCTGCGGGAAGCTCCCGCGGCCAATCGGAAGTGGCGCCGGACGTTCGGATCCCAAAGAACAGTTGCAAACCGGAACACTCACTTCCAGGTTTGCGGTGTTTTGGGAGCCGAAATGTTTGGGTTGCAAGGCGTTCAGGAACCAAGGTACAACTGTAGAAGTATTTACCGCATTTTTTGCTCTGTAAGACTCACTTTTTCCCTCCTAAAAAGTAAGGGGAAATGTGTGTGCGTCTTATGGAGCGAATGCAGGCTGCGCAGCTACTCCAGAAGCCAGACCAGCAAGAGGGATTGCTGCTTTCGCTGCGCAGCGATCCCTCTTGCTGTTCTGGCTTCTGGGATTCAGAATATTTTTTTTCTTGTTTTCCTCCTCCAAAAACTAGGTGCGTCTTGTGGTCTGGTGCGTCTTATAGAGCAAAAAATACGGTATTTTTTCTGATAGGGTTTGTATGGTTTTGCCATGGCCTCTGGCTAGTACAACAAAGCTTATTTACGGTGTGTGCCCGCCCCCAAAAAGCCCCCGGGAGATGCTCAGAAGAGGGGTGTGTTTGCGTTGGGTGAAGCATCCAGGAAATCTGATTCCCACCAGTGCTGTGGAAAGGCTCTTCCAATAGCTGTCCACTTTTCCCTTTTCTTGCGAGGAATCCTATTCGGAATAAGGGGATTTCCCTTAAAAAAGGGGAAACGTTGACAGCTTATGGCTCTTCCATCCACCCTAGAATTCCCCCTGGGGCAGGAGTACTCCCGGGACACAGTTTGGAAACCACCGAGCACGCGGCTGCGGGGACGAGCGCAGCACCTTTCGTTCTCCCTACCCAAACCGCCCGTGAGCAGGGAGCAAAATACGGAACACGGACACAGGCAATAAAAAAATTTTGAACGCACACAGACGTCCACGCAAACATCTATAGGTTCGTCCGCAGGGCTGCAAAATGCCATCACCCCTAAAAAGCTCGGAGGGCGACGCTGCTCTTCCCCTTTCCCCAAAAAAGCGAGTCTCTCCTGGGGGTGTTTGAAGTGAGCTGGTTTCCTCGCTTTTCCATCCCTGCTCACCAAGTTGTCGTCCACCCTGACCTCCCGTCTGTCAAGGGGCTTTGCTGCCTGGCCGCCCCAAAGACCTAGGATCCTGGTGGTCCGTCCCCCCGCCCCCGGAAAGGGAACAGAGAAAGGGCTGAGACCTGTTCAACGAGCACCTTGTTCGGTTCCGCGACGCCTTCAGCTCCTTCTTCTCCTCCTCCGAGTTGTCGGCCACCGACGTGTTCTCGTCGTCTTCCTTGTCCTCCCGCTTGATCTCGCTGGTGCCGGACGAGACGCTGGCCCGGCCCAGGCCCCCCGTCAAGCCTGGAGGGGGAATCAGATGGGCAAAAGTGAGAGACAATGCAGGGGCCTTTGAGATCTCGGCGCGTCTGCTGCTGCGGAAGAGCTAGAAATTTGCCTTTCTTTTTTAAAAAGCAAAAACGAAATTTCTCCCTCCAAACCTGAAACTTTTATTTCGGGGATGGATGTCGGAGAATCGTAGGGTTGGAAGGGACCCAAAGGGTTAACAACACCCTGTACACCATGCTAGCCAAACTTGGCCGTCCAGCTGTTTTGGGACTACAAATCCCATCATCCCTAGCTAACAGGACCAGTGGTCAGGGATGATGGGAACTGTAGTCCCAAAACAGCTGGAGGGCCACGTTTGGCCACCATTGCTGTACATAATGCGTTTCGGGTCCAGGGACCGCAATAAAGCTCTGTGTGCGCACCCAGCCTCGTGATACACTGATATATCGTGATATACTGATGTATCATGACGTCCAAAATAAGGATGGAGCTACAAAGAGGCGTTGGCTGGCTTCGTGGTTTTTTCCTGCGTCGTGATTTTTGGCACAGCACACACACACACAAACACCGCGATATATCGCCAGGTCAAAAATGATGAAACGAAAGAACTTCAAACCAGTTTTGGTTGCGGTGTTAGAAAACACAAGATATTTAAACTAGGCTCCTTAAACCAAGGTTGCTAACGTCCAGTTGCTGTTTGCGGGCCAGACGGCTATAAAGTTTTGTTTTTCAAAGGGTGGACTGACCTGGCTAGCTCAGAGGACAACCTCGAGCTAGGTTAAGAGACTGGAGAACCTAAACAAGAAAAGTCGCGTGATCCAGGGACAGTCTGTGTATATATCTTGCCTTATTCCAATCTCTTTTTCTGAATGGCGACACGGACCATTTATAACGTAGGGATATTCTGCACAAGGGACGCGGGTGGCGCTGTGGGTTAAACCACAGAGCCTAGGACTTGCTGATCAGAAGGTTGGTGGTTCGAATCCCCGCAACGGGGTGAGCTCCCGTTGCTCGGTCCCTGCTCCTGCCCAGCTAGCAGTTCGAAAGCACGTCAAGTGCAAGTAGATAAATAGGTACCGCTCCGGCGGGAAGGTAAACGGCGTTTCCGTGCGCTGCTCTGGTTTGCTAGAAGCGGCTTAGTCCTACTGGCCACATGATCCGGAAGCTGTATGCCGGCTCCCTCGGCCAATAAAGCGAGATGAGCGCCGCAACCCCAGAGTCGGCCACAACTGGACCTAACGGTCAGGGGTCCCTTTACCTTTACTTATATATGGCTTGAGATACCCATTAGGTCCATAAATGACCATACAGCATAGATTCAACACAAAAAACAGCGGCAATTTGTTGTGGACAAAGGACAGCTGGACATAGAAAGGGCCCCATGACCTTCAGGAGCTGAGGGCCACATCAAACCTAAATCCGGCCCTGGGTGCCATCCTGTCCCCTGGGCATCTTGACCCGGTGTGCAAAACGCGCCTGGCGAATTCTGACCAAAGTTTGAACAATATATTGCCCGCCCCTAACGGTCCTCCTGGACAAGAATGCCGATTTACAGGCGAAACTCGAAAAATTAGAATATCGTGGAAAAGTTCCTTGATTTCAGGAATTCAACTTGAATGGTGAAACTAATAGATGAGATCGACTTGTGACATGCAAAGCGCGATATGCTTCTACTTCTCAGAGGTCCAATCTTGCTCGATTTGCAATCCTTGTTTTGCTGATTTCCTTGAATATTCTAATTTTCTGAGATTAATTGGGGGTTTTCATCAGCTGTACGCCATGATCATCGCTATGATCACAAATCAAGGCTTGACGTATCTCGCTTGGCATGTCACGAGTCATATATTAGTTTCACCTTTCAAGTTGAATTCCTGAAATCAAGGAACTTTCCCACAATATTCTAATTTCCCGAGTTTCACCTGTAGCTGCGATCCCTGCAATTCACGGGGGTTCGGATAGATGCCCCTCCGTTGCCCCGGCAAGGACGCCGGGACTTTTGAGCCCCATGGGGAGGAGAGAGGACGGCGTGGCGAAACCCGCCACTCAACCTTACCGCTGAAGGCATCCGAAGACTGGCCTCTGTTGAGGTCCGGGAGCGAGCTGGGCTGGGCTGGGAGAGGGACGTGATTGTGGAGGAGACTGGGGTTGCTGGGAAGGCCGTCTTCCGAATGGCCCCCCGCCACCTGAAAGAGCAAAGGGAGATCCACGCGTTATTTTTTAAAAATAGTTTTTATTTATACGAAGCTTAGAGTCCCTTGAGAGTCCCATGGACTGCAAGAAGATCAAACCTCTCCATTCTGAAGGAAATCAGCCCTGAGTGCTCACTGGAAGGACAGATCCTGAAGCTGAGGCTCCAAGACTTTGGCCACCTCAGCAGAAGAGAAGACTCCCTGATGTTGGGAAAGATGGAGGGCACAAGGAGAAGGGGACGACGGAGGATGAGATGGTGGGACAGTGTTCTTGAAGCATGAGTCTGACCAAACTGCGGGAGGCAGTGGAAGACAGGAGGGCCTGGCGTGCTCTGGTCCAGGGGGTCACAAAGAGGCGGACACCACTAAACAACAACAACAAATTTATACTTCTCAAGATTACACATTTCATGACAGTGGGACCTTGGTTCTCAAGCACCAAAAACCCAGAAGTGAGTGTTCTGGTTTTTGAATGTTTTACGGAAGCCGAACGTCCGACGCAGCTGTCGGCTCTTGTTTCCGGGGCGCCTGCACCAATCAGAAGCTGCGCCTCGGTTTCCGAACATTTCAGAAGTCAAACGGACTTCCGGAAGGGATGAAGTTTGGCGCTTTTGTTTTTGCTCTTTATTTTGCGTTTTTGTTTTTGAGGCTTTTTCAGTTCTTTTGTTTTTGTGCCTGTATGGAACCCAGTCCAGCTACCAACTGTGTGATTGTGTCCCTGTGGAAATGGATAAAAGCCCCCCATCCAAACAAGGACTGTCATCAGTGCAGGTAAAGAAAAAAAATGTAGTTTTAATTTTTATCATCTACAATACTCTCTTATTTACTTTATAGCACAGCGCACTGATTCTTGCTTTCATTTTATGGATCCATGGTCTCGTTACATAGCAAAATCCATGTTCAATTGCTGCTTTAGGGGTTGTTTTTAAAAGTCTGGAACGGATTAATCCGTTTTGCATGACTTTCTATGGGAAAGCGCTGCCTCGGTTTTGGAACGCTTTGGTTTTGGAACGGAATCCATGTTCAATTACTGTTTAAGGGGTTGTTTTTAAAACTCTGGAACATATTAATCCGTTTTGCATGACTTTCTGTGGGAAAGCGCTGCCTTGGTTCTGGAACGCTTTGGCTTTGGAGCGGATTAAGTTTGAGAACCAAGGGAACACTGTATAACGGTTTGAGCAACCTGACTTTCATTACAGGGGAAAAAGAGAGAATAAAATATTATCATATATCAAAAATCCCCCGCAAGAGCTTTCGAAAGGATGGACTGGCACCCTCGACTCTCCCCTTACCAGATTTGAGTGCCGATTGGCGATTGGCAAGACAGAGGCGGGAGGGAAGGATTGGCTGAGGCTGCTGACCGTGGTGCCATGAGCCGACGCCGCTGACGCCAGCAAGTCGTGGATGTCCCTGTGGTTGCTCTGCCCCACCGCGTGGTTCCGGAGGACGTGGATGGCTTCGTCCAAGTGGTCTTCCATCTTGTTTTGCTTGGGGGAGAGAAACGAGAAAGGGTATCAGCCAAGCTGGTTTGCTCCTTGCTCCGGAGGGTAGGACTCGAACCCATGACTCCAAGGGACGAGGAAGGAGATTCCGACTCAGCGTGGTGGAGGTTTTTAAGCAGAGGGTGGGTGCCCATCTGTCAGCAGAGATTGCTGCATTGCAGGGGGTTATTAATAATAATAATAATAATAATAATAATAATAATAATAATTTATTTATGCCCTGCCCATCTGGCTGGGTTTCCCCAGCCACTCTGGGTGGCTTCCAGCAAAATATTAAAATACAATAGTTCATCAAATATTGAAAGCTTCCCTAAACAGGGCTGCCTTCAGATGTCTTCTAAAAATCAGATAGTTGTTTATCTCCTTGACATCTGGTGGGAGGGCGTTCCACAGGGCGGGCGCCACCACCAAGAAGGCCCTCTCCCTGGTTCCCTGTAACCTCACTTCTCGCAGGGAGGGAACCAACAGAAGGCCCTTGGGAGGAGGACCCTGGTGTCTGGGGTGGAGATGCTCCTTCAGATATACTGGGCCCTTTAGGGCTTTCAAGGTCAGCACCAACACTTTGAATTGTGCTTGGAAACATCCTGGGAGCCAATGCAGGTCTTTCAATACCGGTGTTATGTGGTCTCCACTCCCAGTCCCCAGTCTGGCTGCTGCATTCTGGATTAGTTATTTCCGGGTCACCTTCAAAGGTAGCCCCATGGAGAGCACATGGCAGTAGTCCAAGCGGGAGATAACCAGAGCATGCACCACTCTGGCCAGACAGTCCGCGGGCAGGGAGGGTCTCATCCTGCGTACCAGGTGGAGCTGCCCTGCACACAGAATTGACCTGCACCTCTGTGGACAGCCGTGAGTCCAAAATGACTCCCAGGCTGCGCACCTGGTCCTTCGGGGGCACAGTTGTCCCATTCAGGACCAGGGAGTCCCCCACACCCACCCACCCAGATGGGCAGGGTATAAATAATAAATTATTATTATTATTATTCCTTCATCAGAGTGGGTTTGGACCGGATGACCCAACTTTACGATTCTAGGAGTCTACGAATCACATCACGAGCTCCCTTTTCTGGAAGCGGCGGGGAACCGAAAGGATGTTTACCAATGTATGAAGTGTCCCTTCGTAGCTTGGGGATAAGGCACCCTGTCCGCCAGCCCGGGGCCACTGCGAAGAACCTAGGGTAGAAGGAAAATAAGAAAGTTGGTGCCAGGGGCCCAGGACAAAACACGGAGGATGCTGGCGAGATTTCTTTCTTTCGTAAAACATTTAAAACTTTAAAAAGCAACCTCCAGGCCACTTGCAAAGGCAGCAAAGCCACGACATTGTCGGTCAAAATAATAATCAAAAGCCACAGTGTAAAACTGTGCAAAAGTAATTAAATTTAATGGGGGGGGGGGGAGGAGATTAAAATGAACGCCAGCACCCAACAGGTCTGAACGTTTTGCCTGAGCAAAGTCCCCCTTCCAAAAAGCAATTACAGCGGCACCTTGGTTCTCAAACGCCTTGGTACTCAAACAACTTGCAACCCAAACTCTGCAAACCCGGAAGTAAGCGTTCCGGTTTGCAACCTTTTTTCGGAAGCCGAACGTGCTCTGTTTTGAGTGTTACGCTCCCGATTTGAGTGCGGTCTGCCGTTTTTGCTATTTATTTTGCATTTCTGTTTTTGCGGCTCTTTTTTTTGCGACTGCGTGGAACCCAGTCCAGCTACTGATGGACTGATTGCATGACTGCAGTACAGTGGTACCTCAGGTTACATACGCTTCAGGTTACAGACTCCGCTAACCCAGAAATAGTGCTTTAGGTTAAGAACTTTGCTTCAGGATGAGAACAGAAATCGTGCTCTGGCGGCACGGCGGCAGCAGCAGGAGGCCCCATTAGCTAAAGTGGTGCTTCAGGTTAAGAACAGTTTCAGGTTAAGTATAGACCTCCGGAACAAATTAAGTACTTAACCCGAGGTACCACTATACACTGTTTATTGCTTTATTTTATGGATTGACGGTATCGTCAGATAGTAAAATCCATGTTCAATTGCAGTTTTAGGGGTTGTTTTTAAAAGCCTGGAATGGATCGATCCATTTTGCATTGCTTTCTATGGGAAAGCACGCCTTGGTTTGGGAACGCTTTGGTTTTGGAACGGACTTCCGGAACGGATTAAGTTTGAGGAGCAAGGTACAGCTGCAATAGCCTTTTTCTTTTTAAAAAGCCTGCTTATTTAGGGGGGTTGTCCTAATCTCGTTCTCTAGGTGGGCCCTCCAGAACCGATGCCGACCTGTTCTGGTACATACCGTATTTTTTGCTCTATAGGACGCACTTTTCCCCCTCCAAAAATGAAGGGGGAATGTGTGTGCGTCCTATGGAGCGAATGCAGGCTCCTTGGCTTCAGCGATAGCAACGTGAAGCCTCCAAAGCGCAGAGGGAGCGCTCCCTCCGCGCTCCGGAGGCTTCGCGTTGCTTTCGCTGAGCCTGGAGAGTGAGAGGGGTCGGTGCGCACCGACCCCTCTCGCTCTCCAGGCTTCAGGGATAGCTGCCTGAAGCCTTCAGAGCACAGCGGGACCTCGCGCTGCGCTCCAAAGGCTTCAGGGATCTTTGAGGCTTGCGGAGCGGGAAAGCAGCGCTTCCCCCCACCGCCAGCCCCACAAGCTTGGGGGCAGCGGCAAGGCTGCGTGCAACCTTTGCGCTGCTCCCCAACCTGGTCTTTGGGGCGGACGGTGGGGGAAAGCAGAGCTTCCCCCTGCCAGCCCGTAAGAGCAGGGAAAAAGGAACCTGAAGCCTCCGGAGCCCAGTGGGAACTCCCACTGCGCTCCAGAGGCTTCAGGTGAATGCACCTTGAACGCACCTTGTTTTACAGGGGAGAACAAGAAAAAAAATCTCCCCCTCTCTGAGCAGCGCCCCTTCAGCCAAACGGGAGGAGAAATGGAAGGGGCTCCGTTTCTCCTGCCGCTTCGCTGAAGGGGCGCTGTGCAGAGAGGGGGAGAATTTTTTTTCTTGTTCTCCCCCTCTAAAACAAGGTACGTCCTATAGAGCGAAAAATACGGTAAATAGCTGCCCCACAAAAAAATGCAAAAAGCTCACCTGTTATTCCCTGAGGGGAGCCCACCGGTGTGGATGGGTTCGAAGAGAAATTATTGCTAGAGTGATCTGGCGAGTAGATCTGAAAAAGGGGGAAACAAAGTCAACAACAACAACAAAAGGTTTTGTCTTCTTTCCGGGAGCCGGACAAAGAATACAGGGTGGGCCCTTTTATTCCCCCCAAAGGCAAAGCTTCTCTTAAACTTTTCGGGACTTACCGAAGCCAATGCTTTCCCAAGCGCATCTCCTGAACTTCCAGCGGTGGTTCCTCGGTTACCTGGCACAAGAGGAAAGGAGGAGGGTGAGGGAGGAGGAAAACGCGCGAACAAGCGAAAGGAGCATCACCCGTGGAAATGTGGACCCAAGGCGGCTGCTTCGACCAGGCCCGATTCATTTTAAATACTCATGCAAGGATAGATTTATTCAGTGTTTTTTTTTTTCTGGGGGAATGCAAGGCTCGGGGGACCGAAACGGATCGTGGCCTCTGCGCTTGCGCCCGTAATAAATCCGTCGGACTTTGAGTGTGGCTCGGAAACTTATTCTTACTCACTGAATATATATATACCGTATTTTTCACTCTATAAGACGCACCAGAGCACAAGACGCACCTAGTTTTTGGAGGAGGAAAACAAGAAGAAAAATATTCTGAATCTCAGAAGCCAGAACAGCAAGAGGGATCACTGCGCAGTGAAAGCAGCAATCCCTCTTGCTGTTCTGGCTTCTGGGATAGCTGCGCAGCCTGCATTCGCTCCATAAGATGCACACACATTTCCCCTTACTTTCTAGGAGGGAAAAAGTGAGTCTTACAGAGCAAAAAATACGTATTTTGGGAATCTCTGTACTTTTGTCCATTTACTGTATTTATTTTCCCCGATTTGAACTATAAAATGGTGGTTTTCTTGAGTCAAAATGAGAGCACCCCCAAACATTTTTTTAAGAGAACTGGATTTAGGAACACCCGTGTCCCAAAGGCTAAAAAGGGAGATAAACATCGCAGCAAAACCAAATGGAAACTTAGGACGTCAGGGGAAAATAGGCCTTCTTGCGATAGGAAATAACTTGAGACGTTTCAGGGTCGCAATCGATAATCGCCATTGTTATTAGGTTGTTGCACCGGTTGTCGAGCTAATGGAATATTATAGGGAGAGAAACGAAGGTTCGTAACCGAAAATGCAAAAATAAAAGCCGAGAAAAGAGAAGGGAGATTAATAGCCACCGGGGTTTTGCAACAGGTTCATTGCAGGGTGAGGGAGATTAGCACGTCCTGCGTTTCAGGCCCCTTCACCCGTGTGTGTTTGTGTGTTTTCCCACAACAGAGCCCTTGGCCTTTCCGAGCCTTGATCCGACCACAACGCCCCTTCCCACCCCGTCTGAGTAATCCCCTCCTCCTCATCTCCTGCAATGGGTCTGCATTTCGCCCCACGATTGCTTCTTTATTTTCGGGTCTGTGTGTGGAATTTGCACGCTCAGAGACAAGCACCCTCCACTGTCCAGGGTGCAAATATAAAAACATGCATTGCTCTCCTTGCAAAGACGCCGTCCGGTTACCCCGTGGCAAAGACAGGCGTGCTGAAAGCACAAATCATATTATATATATACCGTATTTTTCGTTTTATAAGACGCACTTTCCCCCTCCTATAAAGCAAAATGTGTGTGCATCTTATGGAGCAAACGCAGGCTGCGCAGCTTTCACTGAAGCCAGGTGAGCAAGTGGGATCGGTGTGCACCGATCCCTCTTGCTCTCTCGCCTTCGCTTCACTGGAGAGGCGCTGAGCAGAGAGGGAGAGAATATTTTCCCCTTGTTCTCCTCCTCTAAAACTAAGTGCGTGTTATGGTCAGGTGTGTCTTATAGAGCGGAAAATACGGTATATAAAATAAACCTTCCGTTTCTCCTCCTGCTTTGCTGGAGAGGCGCTGAGCAGAGAGGGAGAGAATATTTTTTTCCTTGTTCTCCTCCTCTAAAACTAGGTGCGTCTTATGGTCGGGTGCATCTTACAGAGCGGAAAATACGGTATATAAAATAAACCTTCCGTTTCTCTTCCCGCTTTGCTGGAGAGGCGCTGAGCAGAGAGGGAGAGAATAGTTTTTTTTCTTGTTCTCCTCCTCTAAAACTAGGTGCGTCTTATGGTCAGGTGCGTGCATCTTATAGAGTGAAAAATATGGTATATAAAATAAACCGGCTTCCAGTTCCCAAGCAGAGGGAGGCTGCGTGCTTGTGGCTGCCGTACAAGGGGGGAGGCATTAGCGTCGGGCGGCCCCTAGACAGCGGCTTAGACCCAAACGCATCTATTTCCGTAGCACTAATGGCTTTCCGACACTCCCCAAGAGATTAACCTACATTCAGCAGGAAAGGACGAGAATGGGATGGGTGGGGGTGGGGGGGCGGAGTGCCTGCAGGAGGAAAAGGCCGGAAGAGGGGGTTTTTTTTGCACCTGAGACAGGTGATGGAAGAGAAATAAACATGCGGGGAACCTAGGTTTCGAATCGCCCAAAAAAGATGTTAGATTGTTTTTGTGTGCCGCAACTGCAGTTAGAATTTTGTTAGCCAAGAATTGGAAATCATAAGAAGTCGCAACAGTGGAGGAATGGCAGGCGAGGATGATGGACTTTTCGGAGCTATCCAACCTGATCAGAAGAGTCTGCGACCAGAAGGAGGAGGAGGAGGACCAGAAGGAACGGATGAAATTCAAAGACTATTTATCCAAACATGCTAAGATAACTTAATTGGAAAAACTTGCAAATACCAGATAGGGTTAGGATTTAAATATGCGCCGTTAAGAGAATAATATGTTTAAAGTCAAAATGGAAACAAAGAAAGATGTTAAGTGACTAAGTTAATTTTATGAGAAAATTGGTTCTGGAAAACTGTTACAATACTATACACTGAAATTCAGCCAGGGGGGTCACTTAACAATGTTACTAAGATTGGATCAAGTACAGTTAATATGTTTGTTTGTTTATTTTTTTTGGAAAACCAATAATTTTTTGGGGGAAAAACAACAACCTGCGAGGACCCCCCCTCCCCGGTTCTTGCAAATAAACCGTGCCCTCCCTCCCCGATTCCTCACGGACATCAGGGCAGCCGGGAAATTTGGTTTTCTGATCACGAGATTTGCCGGCGCACGTTAGCAACGCTAAGCGTTGACTCCCTCCCTCCCTTTCTTTCTTTTTTCCTTTCCTTCTCCTCCTGCGATGAGGCTACATTTTAATATTTTAATGTTCCATTATTTTAATGTTGTATTTTATTTTTGTTTTTAAGTTGTAATCATTCATCTTGTTTTTATTATTGCTTGTAAGCCGCTCTGAGCCCGGCCTTGGCTGGGGAGGGCGGGGTATAAATAAAAAAATATTATTATTATTATTATTATTATTATTAGCAGGGTCTAGTCCGGTTTCGGATTGCATAGCTGTCAACTTTCGCTTTTAAAAAGGGAAACGTTGACAGCTATGTTGGATGGTGCTGGATGAGTCCCTTATCCCGATGCTACGATCTGACGGTAGGAGTCGGAAGGGATGTACGGACGCGGTCCAACCAAAACCAATTTTTTCTGTCCCGCCCTGTGTCCCAAACGCATCATTGCGCCTAGAGGCTAATCTCCGCTCAGTAGAAATATGGATCTGGCGCAGGACACTGAACTCTTGGCTTTGCCTAAACTCAGACCCTCCCGGTGTAATATCCCGAGTGCTGCAAGATCCCCAAAGCGCCTGATCTAAAATGGTCTATCAGAAAATTCACTCTGCTGGTTTAGCACCACAACAGCTACTCACTCTGGGTTTTAGTAAAGCAAACAGTCTAGTATGTCAGCGCCTAAATGATATCGAGCATCGGAACAACTTGGCCACAATAAGGAAATTTTGCCCATGGTATGACTATTTTCCACCTTCCCATTTCGACTCTCCAGCACCCTCTCTGCATAACCGAGCAATTCCAAAACATAGACGCGCTTTGACTCTCGCGAGATTGAATGTCTTGCCCTTATCTGGACTGGAGGGATGATTCCAACGAAAAATGCAAGCGCCGCCAACTTCGGCCTGCTAATTTCTGGAACGCAAGGCGGCTCGAATCCTCGATTATCAGCAACAACAGGAAAAATAAAATAAAAAGGAAAGGTTTGGATACGAACCCATAACACTCTCCGTCCCACTGATGGGGGGCGTGTGGCTGGAGACTCCGTACTGGTTGGAGGCCGAGGAAAAGCCCGAGACAGAAGGGAGTCCGCCGTTCACTTCTCCTGAATGCATCGGGTAGTTCTGTAAGGGGACAAAGGGGTCAAGCTGATTTTTTAGTAAAATTGCCCCAGAAGATTCCTGGACATTTTAGCTGTCATTCGATTATTTTCGTCGGGCTATATCTGGGGAATTTTGTCCGTACGGCCTTCTGGCGGTTCCCTCCCTGCGAGAAGCAAGGTTGCAGGGAAGCAGGCAAAGGGCCTTCTCGGTGGTGGCACCCGCCCTGTGGAATGCCCTCCCATCAGATGTCAAGGAAATAAACAACTACCTGACTTTTAGAAGACATCTGAAGGCAGCCCTGTTTAGGGAAGCTTGTAATGTTTGAAGTTTTATTCTGTTTTTACACATACTGGAAGCCGCCCAAAGTGGCTGATGGGAAAATCAGAGAGCCATTATGGTTTAGGGGTAAGAGTGACTTACTGGGAACTGAGAGACCCGGGTTCAAATCTCCGCTTAGCCCTGAAGCTCACTGGGTGTGACTTTGGGCCAGTCACTGCCTCTCCACCTGGCCTAGTGAGGTTACAGGGAACCAGGCAGGGGGCCTTCACAGTGGTGGCGCCCTCCCACCAGATGTCAAGGAAATAAACAACTACCTGACTTTTAGAAGACACCTGAAGGCAGCCCTGTTTAGGGAAGTTTGTAATATTTGAAGTTTTATTGTGTTTTTAATATTCTGTTGGGAGCTGCCAGAAACCCAGCCAGATGGGTGGGGTAAAAATATGGGTGGCTGACTCTGGGGTTTTGGCGCTCATCTCGCTTTATTGGCCGACGGAGCCGGCGTCCAGCTTCCGGGTCATGTGGCCAGCAGGACTAAGCCGCTTCTGGCAAACCAGAGCAGCGCACGGAAACGCCGTTTACCTTCCCGCTGGAGTGGTACCTATTTATCTACTTGCACTTTGAGGTGCTTTCAAACTGCTAGGTTGGCAGCAGCAGGGACCGAACAATGGGAGCTCACCCCGTCATTGCGGGGATTCGAACTGCCGACCTTCTGATCGGCAAGTCCTAGGCTCTGTGGTTTAACCCACAGCGCCACCCGCATCCCTATACCCCCCCCCCAAATCTGTGCCATTACCATCCTTTCGTGCTGATGAAGACTGCTGAAGTTGCCGGATTGCGGGAGAGGAGAGGATGACGCTCCCAGGATGGCCCCGTAATTAGACTGGCTGATGGAGGTTGAGGAATTCCACAAGTCCGCCGAGTTGTGAAGTCCATCTGAGAGACAAGGCAAAAAAAAAAAAAAAAAAAAGAGGGTTTCTTTTCTCCTCTCCATTAAAAAAAATTAAATATTTATGCTTTTCAAATTTATACATTTCACTAATTTTGAAAAAAATATACTGAATTTGGCATAGCTCCCTCTTGCCCCCTAGTGTTGCATTTGTATATTGCGCCTTGCTACACGTTTATAAAGCGTTTTACTTGCAGCTGTGTAGCTGAGTCCAGAAAGAAAGAGATACAGATAGATAGATAGAAAGACACACACACACACACACACACACAGAGAGAGAGAGAGAGAGAGAGAGACGAAGGAGAGGAAGAAATCCTCATTAAATGTTTGTAGCTCTTGTTCTCCGTGAAAATGAAAATTACATTGAATTTGGCATAGCTTGCTTTCGCCATCTAGTGGCACATTTGTGTTTTGTGCTTTGCAACACATTTAAAGTGTTTTGCTTGCAGCTGTATAGCTGAGTCCAGAAGGAGAGAAAGAAATAGAGAGAGAGAGAGAGAGAGAGAGAGGGAGAGGGAGAGGGAGAGAACGAAAGAAAGAAAGAAAGAGAAAGACAAAGAGAGAGAGAGAGCGCAAGAAAGAGAAAGAGATAGATAGAAAGAGACAGAGAGAGAAAGAAAGAAAGAGAGAGAGAGAGAGAGAGAGAGAGAGAAAGAAAGAAAGAAAGAAAAAGAGAGAGAGAGAGATGGAGATGGAGGATAGAGAAACAGAAAGAAAGAAAGAGAGAGAGAGAGAGAGAGAGAAAGAAAGAAAGAAAGAAAGAAAGAAAGAAAGAAAGAAAGAAAGAAAGAAAGAAAATTGTCTTTAGGGCAGATCTGGGGACCATCTGTGACCCTCCAGAGATGCTGTCGGGACTCCCAGAGCCCAGTAGGTCTTGGGGGCCGTTTTGCGTTGCAGCCCAGTAACAACCCGAGGGCCACAAATGTCTCCCCCTCCTGGCCCCTGGGGTCAGGGCCCCCCCCTGACTCAGACCAGCCTCGAACCCCCATGCTCCGGAGGCCCACCTGGCAGGGGGGTCGTACCTGGCATGTAAAAGGCTCCAGGGTAGACAGTGCTGGGGGCTTTGGATGGGGGATAGCTGGCCGGTTCCCTGCTATAGTCGTCACCTGAGTTGGGTGGATATACCTGTTAAAAGAGAGAGAAAACGGGAAAAGTCGTCACCCATTTAATCCCCAGCCGGCAGCATCTGCGGAGTCGGTGCCGAGTGCAAATCCCAACCATCTCTGGAGGAACCCGCGATTCCCAGGCCAAGGAAGTTTTATTCTGTTGTTGTTGTTGTTATATTATTATTATTATTATTATTATTATTATTCTGTGTCCCCCCCCTTTTCCCCTAGAGGGCCAACCCAGCCAAATGAGCAAGGCATGAAGAACAATTTAAAAATTATTAATAATTGACGGCTCGCGGATCTAATAATAATAATAATAATAAAATAAAATAAAACAGCTGTTTACTTGGTCGTTTTCCTGTGTCAGTTCGGTGGAGCAGGGTCAAGATATTAACCAATACGAATGAAATTTCATATATAGCTATATAATCCCTAGTGTAGTAAGATAAGACCTTTGGAGGAGGCATTTAAAAAAAGGTTTTTTATGAACCGCCCTAATATGGATCCTTTATGCACTCCTCACTCCTTCTTAAATTGCACCCAGGGTGTTTTTTATTTTTTTGGGGGGAACCAATTCCCGGGGTGGGGTGGGGTGCACATTCAGAAATGACCGATTTTGAGACGCCAAAAAACCACAAAACCGAAACTGGCGTCAGAGTTTCAAAAGGAGCAGAATTTAGGCCTCTGGAAAGACTCTCAGACTCTTTTAAAATGACGTGGATCTTTCGCTCGCTTTGCATATATCACGGGGGGGGGGCGGGGAGTGGGGAGAACGGTTCGCTGCCCCCCCTCCAAGTTTTGCACCCATGCTAAACAGCTTTTTTTTTTTTTTAAAAAAAATGCTTCTTCTTTAAAAAAAAAAACAACCCACCCAACTCAAGGGGGACGGATTTGCAGGGAACCAGGAAAATAAATAAATAATAATAAACGATTCCAAAATCGTACACGCGCCCCCCCCTTCCAGGTTTCGATGGCGAGAATCTTGCAGCCATGCTAAACAGCCTTTTTAAAAAATTGCCTCTTTCTTGGGAAAAACCACCCAACTTGAGGGGAGATGGATTTGCAGGGACCCAGGAACAAATAATAATAATAAACGATTCCAAAACCGTACACACACACCCTCCAAGTTCCGATCACGGTTTTTTAAAAAAGGATCTTGCACCCATGCTAAACAGACTTTTAAAAAATTATAATATAATCTTGCATTTTATTTTTTTTAAACCACCCAACTGGAGGGGGACGTTTTTGCAGGGAAGAAAATAAAAATACAATCTCCCCCCCCTTCCCATTTCCCCCCCTGCAGCGTGTTCTGTGTACTTGAGCGAGAGGTGCAGGGTTTTTTTGGGTTGGGGGGGTGAAGAGGGAGAAAAAAGAGAGGGGAGTCTGAGCGGGGGGAACCGTAGCCGTCTGCAAAGAATAAGAAACCCGGTAAATTGCCTTTTCCTATAATTTGATTACATAGCAGGAGCCGGGGAGCGGAGCAGGAATAATAGCTCCGTGCCATCTGCCAGGGCTTGGCAGGCTGCCAGATTTGCAGGCAGCTGCGTGGTGCTGGGGGGGGCGCGAGGAGGAGGAGGGGGGGAGGCCCAATAAAATAAAATAAAATAAAATAAGAGGGTGGAGGCAGCGGGAGAGAGAGAAAAAAGAGCAGCTTCAAAAACAGGGAGGTGCAAAGGGAGAAAACCCCAATATAAGGGCAATCTGCAAACAGGACGGTGTGTTTGTGCATGCAATGGCAAAGTGTCGTCGTCGTCGTCGTCCCCCCCCCCAAAAAAAATTCTGCAAACGGAAGCAAGGATGATTCCTTTGCGGGGAGAATAAAATAACGATGCAGTTCTTGAATTGGAGAAAGGAGAATTCTTTGCAGACTTGCCTTCTGCGGTCTTTTTTGGGGGTACCCCAAAATTGACAATGTGTCCCCCTCCCAAATTCTGCAAACTGAAGCAAGGGAGATTCCTGCCCCCCTTCCTGGGAAAAATAAATAACTATGCAGTTTTCGAATCAGAGAAAGGAGAATTCTTTGCAGGCTTGCCTTCTGCTGTCTTTTTTGGGGGTACCCCAATTGGCAAAGTGTCCCCCCAAAAAATTCTGCAAACTGAAGCAAGGGAGATTCCTTCCCCCCTTCCTGGGGAAAAAAAATAACTATGCAGTTCTCGAATCAGAGAAAGGAGAATTCTCTGCAGCCATTGCCTTCTCCTGTCTTTTTGGGGGAGGGGGATAAGATTGGGGGGGCGGTTGCGGGGCTTGAGGGTTTCATTAAGCACCCCCCAAAAAAATGCAAAATTCTGGACATATACCCCCTTCCCCATATGCGGAAAATAAAACAGAAAACTCAGGCGCAGAGGTGTAATGATAAATAATAATAATAATGTATACCGCCCTATAGCTGTCAGGGCGGTTCGCGAGATAAAACCGCAACATTAAAAACAGAAAACGCGCCGTCGAAATAAAAACGAAAAACTAACCCCAAATAAAAATAAAACACATTTCAAAGGGGACCTGGTAGAAGAGGAACGTTTTTGCCTGGCACCTAAATGGAGGGGCCAGGCGAATCTCCCTGGGGAGAGCATCTTGCAAAAGGGAGCCACCACCAAAAAGGCCCTGCTCTCGAGTTGCCCCCGTCCGGACCTCTCCTGGCATCTAAAAGAGATCTCAGGGTCTGGGATCCCTTGATCCATAAAGGGATCCCCACTTCCCACCTTGGTCCTGATATAGAGCTTTAATTCCCACCCCCCCTTTCCCCTCCAGGTGCCCAAACGTCTCCAGCCGGCCCTTCCCACCGCCCACAGCAAGGGCTTCCCTCTCAAACTCGCCGCATTCCCAATGTTTGCAACCCGCCGGGCATTCGGTGACATCACAGAAGCACAGCCAATGGGAGGCCCAGGCTGTTAGCGCCCCCTCCCTTTGACGACACAGGGGGGAAAACACCCCCAGTCGCGGCCGCCTTTGCCAGAGAGTAAAACGGAAAAATGGCTTACCGAAGAGGGAAGTCCTGGAGGAACTTTCCGGACTTTTTTCGGCTGTCCGTCTGAATTTGGGGTGCGAAGAGGAAGAGGGGGAAAAAAAGGGGGGGAGATTATTTTTTTTTTAAAAAGCGTTAGCAAACATAATTACAGAGCCATTCCTAACGTGGCAGATTAGATTTCGTAGCGCCAGGGGTGCTTTCTGCCAACCGAGGTCCCCACAACCTGTCGCATCCCAGATTTATTCATTCTTATTTCCGTATTTTTCCGTCTATAAGACGCCCTGAAGTATAAGACACCCCTATTTTGGGGGGACTCCAGTTTAAGAAAATGGGGAGAGATACTATCCATGTATAAGAAGAGCCCAGATTTTGAACATTATTTTAGAGTAAAAAAACACTGAAAAGTACGGTATTTTATTTATTTGTTGAATTTATAGAATGCCCTAAACATGTCTCATGGCGATTCACAAGCAGGTATTACAAAAGATTACAAAATGCATTACAAAATTACGAAAGATTACAAAATGCATTTTGGGGTTTAAAGGGGCTGAACGTTGCTGCTCTAAATAATCTCGCCGACTTCTGTCGGAGTCAGAATATTGGGGTGTTTTTTTCCGGTGTTCATGTGTGCTATGGGGTTGTTCTTTTTATTCTGATGGCGCAATTTTGCGGTTTTATATTCCGATTTCCTTCTGCGAACCACCCTTGAGACCTGCGGGCGGCGCATAAATTCAGTGAACAAGAATAAGTCTCCGAGCCACGCTCAAAGTCCGACGGATTTATTACGGGCGCGAGCCCAGAGGCCACGATCCGTTTCGAAAAAGGTCCCCCGAGATGTTTCGCTCTTCCGGTTATGACCACGCAGCTCGCTATTTTGGGACGGGCTGGGGGTATTTTTAGTATTCCTGGTTTCGGTGCTGTAATCTCAAGGGTTTCATTCTCGAACTCAAGACCCGTAAGCAGTATTAAAGAGACTCTCCCCAAACATCTTGTTCTCACGGGGAGGGGGGGCGCAACTAGATGTCCCAATGGGAACCCCCTCCCTAAACTGCCTATTGCTACCTGTGTACAGTGGTACCTTTGTTCCCAAATGCCGAAAACACAGAAGGAAGTGTTCCGGTTTACGAACGTTTTTTGGAAGCCGGACGTCTGACGCGGCTGTTGGCTATTGTTTCCCGGGCGCCTGCACCAATCAGCCTTAGTTTCCAAACATTTCGGAAGTCAAAAAGACTTTGGGAACGGATTAAGTCTGGCGCTTTTGTTTTCGTTCTTTATTTTGCGATTTTGATTTTGAGGCTTTTTCGGTTCATTTGTTTTTGTGGCTGTGTGGAACCCAGTTCAGCTACTGATGGATGGATGGATGGATGGATTGATTGACTGCGGAAATGTATAAAAGCCCCCCATCCAAACCATGACCATCATCAGTGCAGGTAAGAAAAAAAATAATTTTAATCTTTATCATCAACAATACTGCCTTATTTATTTTATAGTACAGTACATTGATTCTTGCTTTCGTTTTATGGATCAATGGTCTCGTTAGATAGTAAAATCCATGTTTGATGGCTGTTTTAGGGGTTGTTTTTAAAAGTCCGGAATGGATTAATCCATTTTGTGTTACTTTCTATGGGAAAGCAGCCCGCCTTGGTTTTGGAACGCTTTGGTTTTGGGACGGACTTCCGGAACAGATTAAGTTTGAGGACCAAGGTACCACTGTATCCCCGCAGCTTGAATTTTCAACGGTTATCCCTTCCGCGAAACCTCGAATGGCAAAATGCCAAACCCGCACCCAGCCCTGAGAATTCGGAACAGGGAGTCGCACAGAGACACGGCAGCCTTGGGTGGATAATAATAATAATAATAATAATAATAATAATAATAATAATTTATACCCCGCCCATCTGGCTGGGTTTCCCCAGCCACTCTGGACGGCTTCCAACAAAACACTAAAATACAATAACCTATTAAACATTAAAAGCTTCCCTAAACAGGGCTGCCTTCAGATGTCTTCTAAATGTCTGGTAGTAGTTCTTCTCTTTGACATCTGATGGGAGGGCGTTCCATAGGGCAGGAGCCACCACCGAGAAGGCCCTCTGCCTGGTTCCCTGGAACCTCACTTCTCGCAGGGAGGGAACCGCCAGAAGGCCCTTGGGAAATGGACCCCAGTGTCCGGGCTGGACGATGGGGGTGGAGATGCTCCTTCAGGTCTACTGGGCCATTTAGGGCTTTCAAAGTCAGCACCAACACTTTGAATTGTGCTCGGAAACATCCTGGGAGCCAATGTAGGTCTTTTAGGACCGGTGTTATGTGGTCTCCACTCCCAGTCCCCAGTCTAGCTGCAGCATTCTGGATTAGTTGCGGTTTCCAGGTCACCTTCAAAGGCAGCCCCACGAAGAGTGCATGGCAGTAGTCCAAGCGGGAGATGACCAGAGCATGCACCACTCTGGCCAGACAGTCTGCGGGCAGGGAGGGTCTCATCCTGCGTACCAGATGGAGCTGCCCTGGACACAGAATTGACCTGCACCTCCATGGACAGCCGTGAGTCCAAAATGACCCCCAGGCTGCTCACCTGGTCATTCAGGGGCACAGTGACCCCATTCAGGACCAAGGAGTCCCCCACACCCGCCCACTTCCTGTCCCCCCAAAACAGTCCCTCTTCTTTTGCACCCAGCAAGAGTCATTCTGACGTCCTGGGAGCCAATGTAGGTCTTTCAAGACCGGTGTTATATGGTCTCGGCGGCCGGATAGGGGCTCTGGAATCCGGGAAAGTTTTAAATATCCCTTTTTTTTTTTTTTGCGGCACAACCCCCTTTGGGAGACGGGTCCCCAAAACCTCGGCGCTAAGACCCCGCAGGCCAGAGCAGGCTGGAGAGGAATTTTACAAAGTGAGCCTGCTCTTCGCCAGAACAGGTGGATTTCATTAGTTCCAAGGCGGGGGGATGAAAGCAAAAAACGGGGGGAGGGAAAGGGGCAGGAAATTGTGCAGGAGGGAGACCGTTGCGGGGGGGGGGCGTGTGGCGTTGCGCAGGCAGAGCAGCCCCACGCCCCTTTCCAGACAGGGAATGTTCATGGGATTTTATTATTATTATTATTTTGCACACACGAAAAACGGTTTTGCAAGAAAATGCCTCTTTGCTGAGGGGTTGGGGGAAGAGGCAGGAAGAAAGGATAATAGGGCATTTTGGAAGAAAATGAGTCTTCGCTGGGGAGGGGAGAACAGGCAGATAAAGCTAGGTTTGGGGGCATTTTGCAAGAAAACGCGTCTTCGCTGGTGAGGGGAGCACAGGCAGAAAAAGCATAGGTTTGGGGGCTTTTTGTAAGAAAATGTGTCTTCGCCTGGGAGGGGGTCGGGAGAGACTCCCTGCCGGAAACCCCAAAGAGCTGCTGCCAGCCAGAGCTGGATGAAGCGATGTTTCGACTCGGTGCAAGATGCCTGTGCTTGCCAACTTCTGGAGAATCTCGGTTGTGTTTTTATTTCCGGGACGGCAGGTTTCTAGACCTCATTGTGCAGAGAAAACTCGCTGAAAAGGGCGGCTATTGAAGTCTTGATTTATTTGGGGGTGGGGTATTGTCTGCTTCCTTGACTACTGCCGCCCCAAAATAAAGTAGAATAACTTAGGCAAGGTTTAAAAAAAGGGGGGGAGGGAAAGAAGCTTGCTTTTTTTTTTTTTTGCACATGGCTGAGTTCTCCAGCAAGCCTCCATTCCAGAGATTCCTTTCCCGCAATGAATGCCAGATGTCTGGAAGCGGAGCGGAGCGTTTCCTGTACGCACCTCTCTCTCTCTGTTCTGCCCCGTTATAAATGTGGAGGGGGGGGAATAAATGAAGAGCTGGGGGGTGGGGAAAGGAGAGCTTCTGCCAGTCCGTGCAGGCAATATTCAGCTAGATGGGCCAATGAACAGGTCTGATTCCCGGTATCCCTAAGCAGAGTGGGAAAGGAGAGATCCTGCCAGTCTGTGCAGGGAATATTCAGCTAGATGGGCCAATGTGCAGGTCTGATCCCTGGTATCTCAAAGCAGGGTGGGAAAGGAGAGATGCTGCCAGTCCGTGCAGGCAATATTCAGCTAGAGGGGTCAGTGTACAGGTCTGATTCCCTGCCTCTCTAAGCAGGGTGGGAAAGGAGAGATGCTGCCAGTCCGTGCAGGCAATATTCAGCTAGAGGGGCCAGTGTACAGGTCTGATTCCCGGCCTCTCTAAGCAGGGTGGGAAAGGAGAGGTGCTGCCAGTCCGTGCAGGCAATATTCAGCTAGAGGGGCCAGTGTACAGGTCTGATTCCCGGCCTCTCTAAGCAGGGTGGGAAAGGAGGGATGCTGCCAGTCCGTGCAGGGAATATTCAGCTAGATGGGCCAATGAACAGGTCTGATTCCCTGCCTCTCTAAGCAGGGTGGGAAAGGAGGGATGCTGCCAGCCTGTGCACGTACCTATGCTGCTGTCCGCCCCTCTCCGGCGAGGGTTGTTGGCGTACGGGTAATATTGCGAGCCGCCCTTCACCCCCGTCGGCGACAACGCGCTGGGGCTCGAAATCCCCATTTCGCTGGGCAGGAAGCCGGGCTGCGGGGACGAGAGAGAGAGGAAGACAACAGCGTCCGTGAAAAAGAGATAATAATAATAATAATAATAATAATAATTATAATAATTATAATATATTATTTATACACCACCCATCTGGCTGGGTTTCCCCAGCCACTCTGGGCGGCTTCCAACAAAACACTAAAATACAGTAACCTGTTAAACGTTAAAAGCTTCCCTGAACAGGGCTGCCTTCAGATGTCTTCTAAAAGTTTGGTAGTTGTTTTTCTCTTTGACATCTGACGGGAGGGCGCCACCACCGAGAAGGCCCTCTGCCTGGTTCCCTGTAACCTCGCTTCTCGCAGGGAGGGAACTGCCAGAAGACCCTCGGTAGAGGGACCCCGGTGTCCGGGCTGGAGACGCTCCTTCAGGTCTACTGGGCTGTTTAGGGCTTTCAAGGTCAACACCAACAATTTGAATTGTGCTCAGAAACGTACTGGGAATCAATATAGGTCTTTCAAGACCGGTGTTATGTGGTCTCCACTCCCAGTCCCCAGTCTGGCTGCTGCGTTCTGGATTAGTTGCAGTTTCCAGGTCACCTTCAAAGGTAGCCCCACGGAGAGCGCATGGCAGTAGTCCAAGCGGGAGATAACCAGAGCATGCACCACTCTGGCCAGACAGTCTGCAGGCAGGGAGGGTCTCATCCTGCGTCCCAGATGGAGCTGCCCTGGACACAGAATTGACCTTCGCCTCCATGGACAGATGTGAGTCCAGAATGACTCCCAGGCTGCGCACCTGGTCCTTTGGGGGCACAGTTGTGGCCTGGTTGTGGGTGCGAGAGAAGCAGCCAGGCAGCATATGCCATTGTGCGACCCACGGCTTGGCTTCAGAGAAAGCCGTGTTTCAGCTTCCCCCTGAAACCATGAAGACTAGCGCCTTTGGGGAGAAGCAGAAAGTCTCAGTGCAGAGCTATAGGGGCAGCTTTGCTGCTGCTGCGTTCGGATCCTGCCCCCCATCTTCGCTCCCCCTCCCCACGCCTCCTCCCTGCAAACAACCCCCCCAAACCCCACATAGAAACGCAGAACATTAAAACCCGCTGCTGGCATTTATGCTCCTCCGCTTTTAAAAATTAAATTGCACCGAGGAGCTAGTCCCCACACAGATGTTTCGGAAACGCAACGTCGGGGGAAACCGCTGCGGGTTTTAAAACAGTGTCTTGGTTAGAGGGAGACAAAGTACAGGATTGTGAAGTCGGGAAGGGCCCTCCAGAGTTCATCCAGCCCAACCCGCTGCTTTCTCGACAAAAGCATCTAAAAAGGAGCAGGGAAATCTGATTTCTCGGGTGCAAAAAACGAAGGTGCAAAGGCCTCTTGGAGTTGGGAGTTTTCTCCGCAAACCGCTGGGGGTCTTGTCGCCAAACGAAACCTCCACGTTCTGCAGCAGTCTATCTGCATAAATACACGCAAATATTCAAGCCTTCCTGCCATTCGCTGGTGGGCTCTGGGAAACCAAACGCCTGCCAAGATCCGTACCGGCAAAACCCCGAACAGCAAAAGGAGATAGTGGATAAGTTAAGGAATTTTGCTCACCTGGTTCAGAGCCGGCATGTCTCTTCCGAATGGATAGGCGCCTCTTTCTGTGCCTTTCCCTAGAGAAAAGAAGAAGAGGGAAGAAAAGAAGAGTCTGTGAGCACCCAAAACCGGGGGTTGGATTGCATGACCTCTGGGGTTCCCATTCCAACTTTTGTTTTTGAGGACAGAGCAAAGAATTGAGGGCGAACAGGCCTGGGAGCATTTGAGCTCACGCTTTTAAGCAAAGCTTAAAATTATTATTATTATTATTATTATTATTATACCACCCTTTACCCAAAATGTTAAAACCTCCCAAATGAATGCACAGATCAGGGCGAAATCCTGCCGTCCTGTAGTCCGCACTCCTCTGAATTTTGAGAAATTCATTTTGCCAAAGACAGCGCGTTTTTGGAGCGGCGTCCAGGTGAGACAAAAGGAGGTGTTGAAAAAACACATTTTGTGATGAATTTGGGGCTTAAAAATACACATTTCCGTATGGGTTTTCAGAGAGGAAAAAAGGAAATACAGATTAATGTGGAAATGGGACAGGATGTAGTTGATAAAAATAACAACAAGAACAACAACTTGAGTTATAAAGGTCTGGGGTGTACAGGGAGGAGGAAATGGTGGGTTCTGCCCCAAATTTTCCCGTTTCCTCCAGTTTTTCAACAACAAATAAAGGGGGGGAGACAAGAAAAAATAGAGGGGGACATAAGGGGCCTTCTCGGTGGTGGCGCCCACCCTGTGGAAGGCCCTCTACGTTCCCCTCTATTTTTTCCCTGCCCCCTCTGTTATTTGTTTTCGAAAAACTGGAGGAAACAGGAAAATTTGGGGGACAACCCCACCATTTCCCCCTCCCTGTACAAACCAAGGCCTTTATATCTTGAGTGATGTCAGATTAAGGGGACTGCCTTACAAAATGGGACTGCCTTTTGTTCAGGCGTATGGCAAGAAGGGTGTTATTTTTTCCCCCTTCCAAAAATGCCTCCAGGCGTCTCCTAAAAGTTGCATAGATCTTGACATCTGGTGGGAGGGAGTTCCACAGGGCAGGGGCCACCACCGAGAAGGCTCTCTGCCTGGTTCCCTGCAACCTCGCTTCTTGCAGTGAGGGAAGACCCTGGGGAGAGGGACCCCGGTGTCCGGGATGGAGACGAAGGGATGAGGCCGTTTAGGGCTTTCAAGGTCAGCATCAACACTTTGAATTGTGCTCGGAAACGTCCTGGGAGCCAATGTAGGTCTTTCAGGACTGGTGTTATATGGTCTCTACTCCCAGTCCCCAGTCTGGCTGCCGCATTCTGGATTAGTTGCGGTTTCTGGGTCACCTTCAAAGGAGGCCCACAGAGAGCGCATGGCAGTAGTCCAAGCGGGAGATAAACACAATGATAATAATATAGGATAGAGAGAGGTGTGTGTCAAAATCATTCCTGTCTGAAGGGAGGGCGCCACCACCAAGAAGGCCCTCTGCCTGGTTCCCTGTAAACTCACTTCTCGCAGGGAGAGAACCGCCAGAAGGCCCTCGGGAGATGGACCCCGGTGTCTGGGCTGGACGATGTGGGTGGAGACGCTCCTTCAGGTCTACTGGGCCGTTTAGGGCTTTCAAGGTCAGCACCAACACTTTGAATTGTGCTCGGAAACGTCCTGGGAGCCAATGTAGGTCTTTCAGGACCGGTGTTATGTGGTCTCCACTCCCAGTCCCCAGTCTAGCTGCCAAATTCTGGATTAGTTGCAGTTTCCGGGTCACCTTCCAAGGAAAGCGCATGGCAAGATTCGCTGCCATGCACCCTCAAACTGCCTTCCCTGGTTCCAATTTGAAGGAGAGGCAGAGCTGGGACGCGGGTGGCGCTGTGGGTTAAACCACTGAGCCTCTTGGGCTTGCCGATCAGAAGGTCGGCGGTTTGAATCCCCGCAATGATGGGGTGAGCTCCCATTGCTCGGTCCATGCTTCTGCCCACCTAGCAGTTGGAAAGCACGTCAAAGTGCAAGTAGATAAATAGGTACCGCTCTGGCGGGAAGGTAAACAGCGTTTCCGTGCGCTGTTCTGGTTCGCCAGAAGCGGCTTAGTCCTGCTGGCCACATGACCTGGAAGCTGTACGCCGGTTCCCTCGGCCAGTAAAGCGAGATGAGCGCCGCAACCCCAGAGTCGGCCACGACTGGACCTAATGGTCAGGGGACCCTTTACCTTTACCTTACTAACAAACAAGTAAACTGGCAAAAATGTAATATCGCTTAGGGCTGCTGTACGGCCGTAATTCCCCAGACGAAGCCAGGATCCGTCCGCCAAAAATGGCATCTGGGCAGAATGTCCCAGGGGAAAACCCGGTAATAGGGCATTCCCTTATCGGAATCACTGACTTTTATTTTTTGGCAATGTCCCTTAAAAAATGGTGTGTGTGTGTGTGTGTGTGTGTGTGTGTGTGTGTGTGTATGTAAAAAACTTCCATTTTTCTTTTGGAGATTTTGCAAAAAAAACCCCACACAAACAAATGTCGAAATACGGCCACCCTATGCTTTTCTCTGACGCCCACATTCCCCGACTCTCTGGAGAGACTTAGCATTAAGTCAGCAAGAGGTCGCGGGGTTGCAGGGCAAAATCTTTTAACTGACCTAATTCCCCCCCGCCTCTGTCAAAGCGGTTTAGGAGCTAAATTTGCACGTGGAGGACGGCCTCTAGCAGGGCCCCCCCTTATTTCTCTTTCCTCTCCGCGCAAAAAAATGAACGCCGCCGGGTTTCGTCACCAGATCTTGGGCCTAAATCGCCTCTGCCTGGTGAGAGAACCGTGAGTTTTCCCCTTATTTATTTTCTCACACACATACACACGGCACCAGGGTTAAGGCTAAACCATGGTTAAGAAAAGCAGGCGCAAAACCCAGAGCTGACGCATTTGCCCAGGGTCCAGAACGAAAAATGGACCAGAACGAAAAATGTCTGAACACCTCTCTCTCTCTCTGTCTCTCTCTATACCAACTAAACCATGGTTAAGAAAAGCAGGTGCAAAAATCCAAACCTAAACCGTGGTTAAGAAAAGCAGGCGCAAAACCCAGAGCTGACGCATTTGCCCAGGGTCCCAGGGACCAGAACGAAAAATGTCTGAACATCTCTCTCTCTCTCTATACCAGCTAAACCATGGTTAAGAAAAGCAGGCGCAAAAATCCAAAGCTAAACCGCGGTTAAGAAAAGCAGGCGCAAAGCCCAGAGCTGACACATTTGCCCAGGGACCAAAATGAAAACTGTCTGGACATCTCTCTCTCTCTCTCTCTCTCTCTCTCCCCCCCCCCAGCTAAACCATGGTTAAGAAAAGCAGGCGCAAAACCCAGAGCTGACACATTTGCCCAGGGTCCCAGGGACCAGAACGAAAAATGTCTGAACATTTCTCTCTCTTTCTCTCCCGCTACCAGCTAAACCATGGTTAAGAAAAGCAGGCGCAAAAATCCAAAGCTAAACCGCGGTTCAGAAAAGCAGACGCAAAACCCAGAGCTGATGCATTTGCTCAGGGTCCCAGGGACCAGAACGAAAAATGTCCGGATCATCTGAATATCTATTTTTTTAAACCAAACCAAACCAGGGTTAACGCTAAACCGCAGTTAAGAAAAGTAGGCGCAAAACCCACAGCCGACACGTTTGCCCGAGGTTCCAGGAAGCAGAACGGAAAATGTCTGGATCCAATAATTCAGGCACGCCCAACAGGTAGACTGTGATCTATCGGTAGATCACGGGACGTCTGTGGCAGATCACTAGTAGATCACTGGCTCCTCAAGCGCAACAACTTTAACCCCTAAAAACAGGGTTTTCCTTGCTAAAAAAAGCTCAGCAACTGAACCCCCCAAAAAGGGGGTAGATCTCTGCCAGTTTTGAACTCTGTGAGTAGATCGCGGTCTCTTGGGTATCTCCTGCAATAATTGAATTAAAAATGCAAATTTTTTTGGGGGTGGAAGTGGCAAGAGAGGAAGGAGGCAAGATAAGGTGGAAGAGATTAAAGGCAGCGATTGGCGTGGTGGGGGGAGGCCGGGTGTGTGTGTGTATTGGTCAGCCTGAACCGATTAAAAACCATTGTCTAATACGGTAGCGGCTCACAACGCCAGCTAGATTAGCAGGCCGGGTCTTTTCGGAAAAGGAGTTAATTGCTAGAAATAACGACCCACCCAGGGCTTATCGGCTCCCAGACTAGTTAACCGCTATTTGCACCCCCCCCCAATAAAATAAAACCCAAAATTCGTTTGCAGGTATGCAAAGGGAGCCGAGATCAATGGAGATTTGATTGGCATCTATTTATTTATCGGCGCGGGTGAATTAACAGACACCCCCCCTCGGCCTTCCCTCTTTCTCTCCCCCCCAAAAACACCCGGATTAGTGGGGATTAGCAGAGTCTCAGACTCAAGGGGGGGCGTTTCGGAAGAGGGGAAGGGCAGGATGCAAACTGTTGCGGCCGGTCAAAGATGGACAAAGGTGGCTCCCCCCAAAAAATTCACTTTGGGGTTCCCCCTTAGAGCGGTTCATTAAAAATTGTGGTTTTTATATATATATAAAATTCCTGCTTCAAAGGTCTTATTTTACTACACTAGGGATTATATAGCTCTATCTGAAATTTCATGCATATCAGTTAATATCTTGACCCCCCTCCACTGAACTGAAATTCTGGCCTTTACGACATAGGAAAATGACCAAGTAAACATCTATTTTTGAGGAGGGGGGTCAAGATATTAACTGATATGCATGAAAATTCCAGGTATAGCTATATAATCCCTAGTGTAGTAAGAGAAGACCTTTGGAGCAGGTGTTTTCAATAATAAAGTTTTTTGTGAACCGCCCTATTAAAATAATAAAATAAAATAAAATTTTATTATTATTGAATTGATTTTGGAATGAATTGATTTTAGAATGTATTTCAATTAATCGATTATGATTTTATGTTATTTTTACCGTTCTTAGCCGCTCTGAGCCCGGCTTCGGCTGGGGAGGGCGGGATATAAATATTTTATTATTATTGTTATTATTACTATTATTATTCCCTATCTTTGTGGATCCCACACATGTGGTTTAGAGGTTAGGGCGGCAGACTAGGGCGCGGGTTCGAATCCCAAAAGTCAAGCCGTCCGGCCACATCCCTCCCGGCTCTGTGTGTGAAAGCAGCTGACCCGGTACCGAAAAAGCTCGTTCTGGCACTCGGCGCATGCTCAGAGGCGGCCTTGTTCTCCCATCCCGTACACAAAGCGAAACGCAGAGCCGATCCAGCACGCCTGAAGCGACCGCCCTCTGCAACCCCGAACACAGAAAGCTAGCTCTGGCCTGTGATGTTCGCTGTACCAAATGCCCCATTGACTTTAGTGGTGTCAGCACTGGCTGGCAGCAGCTACTGCTTTGAAAAATAAAGTTTGGGACACCCCAGCGGACATCTAGCCCACCCCGCATCGCGATGCACCTCCGGCGAGAAATTTGGGAACAGGAAGGTTTTCCCCGCCAACGCAGCGGCTCTCACCTACGATCCCGGACCCCAGGAATGATGACGAAGATAGGCTATTATGGGATGGGAGTTCTCTGTGCTCGCCGTAGTGGGAGCCCTCGCCGTAGCCCTGCTGGAAGAAAAGGAGAAAGAAAATATTGTAAAAGCGGGTCCTTAAAAAACAAAGGCGACAGGGTGGGTAAAAATCAATGGTTAAAAAATTAAATAAATCGGATTTAAAAAATAAATAAATCAGATTTTTAAAATAAAATGCTTTTTTTGGGGGGGGGGAGATTTTCTATTTAATTTGCATTATAGTCCAAAGGCTACAAGGAAATAAGGATTTGTTTTAAGCTTTTCATGCGTGCTAAAACTCAGCCTAAGTTTATTATTATTATTATTATTATTATTATTATTATTATTATTATTCTTGTTTTCATTCTAAGGTATAATCGTTTAACCACATCAATTAACAAACATATGCTACAAAGTTATTGTTTTAGTTAAATAAATTGTCCAAATTGTTATTCACGAAACGATTATTTTTCTCCTTCCAATAAAGTACAGCAGAAAAAGCCGTCTGAATACACACAGTTAACTCATTAAACCTCGCCATAATTTCATAATTATCTGCTTTCTGTATTGCTAATCTTATCACCAAATCAGTAATTTTGGATATAACTGTAAAAACTACTCTGGAAATTTATTATTCCAAAAATGAAACCTTCATCTGGTTGTCAATATTAAGAGCAAGGCTGAGTCTTTCTGTAAAGAAAATTGATTTAAATCAAGTCTTACTGACTAGTCATTTGACCTGTTCTTTCTATTCTTTTTATATTGTATTGTTGTCTTATTACTATGGCTGACGCAAATAAAGATTCATTCATTCAATTGCATACACCCCTATTTGCAACCCCCCCAAAAAATGATTCTCAAAAAGCAAGAGATTATTAATATTTTTTGCTCTATTCCAAAGTGGTTTTTCTAATTATCCTTACCCTGACTTGGTCAAACGTGGAGTTATTCTGATCTCCTGCTGCCCAGGACCCAGAGGCCGGCCGCTCGTCCAAACCTGCTGGAGAAGGGGGGAAATAAAAATTAAGCCAGCCCAGGAAATTATTATTATTATTTAAAGGAATCAGCTTTGATAAGCAGTCCCATCATACAAAGACAGCGTTCTCCTGAAGCTAAAAGCACTTTCCTTCCACAAACAGAGCAATATTTGGATGTTTAAGAGAGAATAAAGAGACTTTTTCCTGTTTTGCAATGTTCCCATGCAGGGATACTCAGAACTGGAGCAGAACTGGATGATAGATTTTTAAATTCCATCATGGGATGGAATTGCATGCAGAAAGTTAGGGTGTCAGGATGGGGAAAAGGTTCTATTTTGTGTTTAAACGACAGAGAAGAGGGGAGAGGCGGGGTGGGGAAAACGGCGAACTTCCCATCTTTAGTTAAATCCATATTATTTTCAGTAGCCTTCTCAAAAACAAGAACACTGAAAACAAAATATTGGGGGGGGGGGAGTTGCCCCACACTTAATTTGGTTAAACTGAATTATTTCCCCCGAATTGTTATGGTTCCAGTGGTTTCGTATTCCCCCAGAAACAGACCCTATTGGCCCATGCCCTGAGCTGCTAGCTTTCTGCTTGCAGGGAGCCAAAGCCAAACAGCCCTCCTCAACTTGCCCAGCTGGGGAGCGCAACCCGACGGGCAGAGGCGAGATGGCTGAATGGGCAGAGCACGTGCGCCGGGTTCGAATCCCTGCGCATCTGGATCGGGCGGAGAATGTCCATGGCCCGAAAGGCGGGAGAGATGCTGCCAGCCTGTGTAAGCAACACTGCCTTGGAGGACACAATGGTCTAATAGGGCAGTTTCCTACAGGAAGATGGGTCCATTTTATGGTGTTGCAGTGGTACCTTGGTTCTCAAACGCCTTGGTATCCAAACGCCGAAAACCCGGAAGTGCTTCGGTTTTTGAACGTTTTTCGGAAGCTAAACGTCCGCCGCGGCTGTCGGCTCTTGTTTCTGGGGTGCCTGCACCAATCAGGTTTCCAAACATTTCAGAAGTCAAATGGACTTCCGGAACAGATTAAGTTTGGCGCTTTTGCTATTTATTTTGCAGTTTTGTATTTGAGGCTTTCTCGGTTCATTTGTTTTTGTGACTGCGGAACCCAGTTCAGCTACTGATTGACTGATTGATTGATTGATTGACTGCAAAAATGGATTAAAAAAAACCCATCCAAACAATGACCGTCATCAGTGCAGGTGAAGAAAAAAAATTCAATTTTAATTTTTAACATCTCCAATATTGCCTTATTATATAGTACAGCACATTGATTCTTGCTTTCCTTTTATGGATCAATGGTCTCGTTTAGATAGTAAAATCCATGTCGAATCGCTGTTTTAGGGGTTGTTTTAAAAAACTGATCCGTTTTGCATGACTTTCCATGGGAAAGCGCTGCCTCGGTTTGGGAACGCTTTGGTTTTGGAACGGGATTTCCGGAACGGATTAAGTTTGGGAACCAAGGTATCGCACTGTGCATGCAAAGGTCTTTGATGCACGCCCAGACGCGAGTGTGCAAGGCTGGGTGTGCAAAAGTGCAACGTCGCGCACACACACAAAAACACCCCATTGTGAGAATCGTTTCCCGCCCCCCCCTTTCCATCTTATTATTATGTGAATCGCAGCCTTCCCCATCTCCCCTCACTGTTCATTTAACCAGAAACTTCTTTCAAAATTGCAAGGCTTCCATTCCGCAGCCTTTTGTGTTAATCATTTCCCCGGAGAATCGGTGTTTAATTGCTGTCTAATTTGCATAATTATGCATATTAATCTCCACGCCTAATGAATATTCATAACCCTCATTTAGATTTTGTTTCCTAATCAAAAAATAAAAAAAAATACCCTGCTCCTCCTTTCTCCCCCAATCCCTGCTCTCTCCAATGTGATTACTTTGCGGAATCGCGGTGGCGGAAAAAAAGATGTTAATGCGACTTGGGATAGTATTCTTTTTCAGGGGGGCAAGCTGTGCATTCCTGTCGCCTCCGACAATAACTTTTGCTCTAAAAAATGCGCCATTTACTCCCTCCCACCCCCGGTGACCCCCCCTTTTTTTGACGCTCCGTTCTAGAAGAGTTTAATCTGCGTCGGCCAAAAACTTGAAATTTACAAAACCCACTAATAAAAAGCAGGATTTGAGAGCTTCGGTAAATCACTATACAGCCGGGTCAATGGACATGGGTCTCTGCCCGCAAGGAGCTTACAGATCCTACATTCTGACACAGAGGAACGGTTAAAGGAGCAGATCAAATGATAGAATCGTGGAACTGTGAAAGGGAACCCCAGCGGTCATCTATTCCAACCCCCTGGCAATGCAGGAATCTAAAGCATCCAGGATAGAGGGCCATTCAAACTTCTCCTTAAACTCCTTCGAGGAAGGAGAGTCCGCCACCGAGTGTCAGAACAGCTCTGACTGCCAGAAAGCTTTCCCAGATGTTGAGTCGGAATCTCCCTTCTCGTCGCCCGAAGCCATGGGTTCGAGTCCTACCCTCGGGAGCCGGAAGAAACAAGCTTGCTTCCTCTCCCACGTGACAGCCCATATTGGAAGATGGCTCTGCTGTCTCCTCTTTTCCAGGCTAAACATCCCCAGCTCCTTCAACCGTTCCTCACCAGGCTCGATTTCCAGACCCTTGATCATCTCGGTCGCCCTCCTCTGCCCACCTTTCAGCTTGTCAACATCCATCTTAAACTGTGCTGCCCAGAACTGGAAGCATTATTCCAGCTGTGGTCTGACCAAGGCAGAATAGAGCGGGACTATTAATTCTGCTTAAAAAGCAGAGACATCACCTTGTCAACAAAGGTCTGTATAGTCAAAGCTCTGGTTATCCCAGTAGTGATGTATGGAAGTGAGAGCTGGACCACAAAGAAGGCTGATCGCCGAAGAATGGATGCTTTTGAATTCTGGTGCTGGAGGAGACTCTTGAGAGTCCCATGGACTGCAAGAAGATCCAACCTCTCCATTCTGAAGGAAATCAGCCCTGAGTGCTCACTGGAAGGACAGATCCTGAAGCTGAGGCTCCAAGACTTAGGCCACCTCAGGAGAAGAGAAGGCTCCTGGAGAAGACCCTGATGTTGGGAAAGATGGAGGGCACAAGGAGAAGGGGACGATGGAGGACGAGATGGTGGGACAGTGTTCTCGAAGCTACCAGCATGAGTTTGACCAAACTGCGGGAGGCAGTGGAAGACAGGAGGGCCTGGCGTGCTCTGGTCCAGGGGGTCACGAAGAGGCGGACACGACTAAACGACTAAACAACAACAAAAATTCCCATGATCTGGACACTAGACTTCTGTGGATGAAGCCTAGAACTTCATTAGCTTTTATTTATTTTTTCTGCTGCATCTCACTGATCCATGTTTGGCTTGTGGCCCACCAAGACCCCCAGATCTGGTTCCCGGTTCCCCCTACCCTATATTTGTGCATCTGGTTCTTCCTGTCTCAGTGCAAAACCTGACATTTATCCCTATTGAAATGCACAGTTTTAGCTTGGGACCAGTTCTCCAATCTGATAAGGTCGCCTCGAACGCCAATTCCGTCTTCTGTGGTGTTTTTGGGCCTCCTCCCAGTTTGGTGTCCCCTGCAAATTTGATGAGCGTCAAAAACAGAATATTCTCCATGCAGGCACTCAGCCATTAAACGGAGGCGGCTTGAAAAGGAACCGGGCACAACACACGCCAGCCAACCTTACAGGGAGGGCGTTGTGGGAAATAAAGCGAAAAAGCCACGGCCCGTCTCTTTATAATGAACTAGAAGCCTCGCACTCAAGGCTGCTCAGATATTCAAATAAACCCCCAAACCAGTTTCGAAAATGTCCGCCTGCAACCCAACAAAATCTGATGGAATGAAAGCCTACTCCTCAATTACGATTAAAGGTAAAGGGACCCCTGGCCATTAGGTCCAGTCGTGACAGACTCTGGGGTTGCGGCGCTCATCTCGCTTTACTGGCCAAGGGAGCCGGTGTACAGCTTCCGGGTCATGTGGCCAGCAGGACTAAGCCGCTTCTGGCGAACCAGAGCAGCGCACGGAAACACCGTTTACCTTCCCGCCGGAGCGGTACCTATTTATCTACTTGCGCTGGCGTGCTTTCAGATTGCTAGGTTGGAAGAAGCTGGCACAGAGCAACGGGAGCTCACCCCGTCACGGGGATTCGAACCGCCGACCTTCTGATCGGCAAGCCCAAGAGGCTCAGTGGTTTAGACCACAGCGCCACCTGCATGGAAAATAGACAGGACGCAGCAGAATATCCAAATGCACGCAACCATAGTGTGGCGTTATAACCCTTGACAGGCTTCACCCTTGTACTTTTAATTATTGCAGTTACTTGAAACATTTTACACTGTGATGCCAATAAAGATTATTTGATTGATTGATAACAAAATTATTATTATTATTATTAATATTATTATTGCTGAAATGAGTAGGCATGTGTTATTTTCTTCCAGCATGTCTTCTCTGAATAACCACCTAACTGGCTACACGGTCCACTGCCAATAAAAATCAGTATTTTTCTTTAAGCAGAGACCAGTGAAATTAAAAAATATGATGGCGTCGAGCTCGCCAGGAACTTCTAAGCGCCATGTCCTGTCCGGTCGGCAGGAAGGGACAGTAACACAGGGCTCCCTGTCTCCCTCCCACCATGGCTACGTTAATAGAGTTATTAAAACGGGGGAAAGAGAGAAAGAGAGAGAGACCCCACAGATTAATTATGCATTTTAATAACCCCGATCATGAATATTCATAAAGGATTCGTGTGTTCGTGTTCTAATTAAATACGTACTAATAATATAAAATGTAGCTTGTCAGGGGGGGCGGAGTGTGTTTCCCACCACCAACCCCCATTTAAGGGTTTTGCCGCTGCATGCAAACCCGCCGTCTACTGTGGGAGAAAGTGGACAGACAGAGAGAGACACACAGACATCTTTCTCCCTTTGTCGTAACACTCGAACTCAGGGTCAGCCAAGGAAGCTGAACGCTGGGAGGTTTGGGACAAATCAAAAGGAGGAATTCTTTCTGCAGAGTTAAGACTATGGAACTCCTCGCCACAAGAGGCAGGGATGGCCAATGACCTCGATGGCTTCAAATGAGGGTTAGAAAACTTGGGTTCCTTGCGATTCCTGGAGGATAAGACTATCAATAACGTGCAAATTCCATTGCAATATTCATATAGCCTCCAACGTTTCTCCCCTGAAAATAGGGACGTCCTATTCCATCCCCTCCAATGTTTCTCCCCTGAAAATAGGGACGTCCTATTCCATCCCCTCCAACGTTTCTCCCCTGAAAATAGGATCGTCCTATTCCATCCCCTCCAACATTTCTCGCCTGAAAATAGGGATGTCTTATTCCATCCCCTCCAACGTTTCTCCCCTGAAAATAGGGACGTCCTATTCCTTCCCCTCCAACGTTTCTCCCCTGAAAATAGGGACGTCCTATTCCATCCCCTCCAACATTTCCACTAGCCATGATGGCTTCCCTCTGCCTCCCTATTGCTTACCCGAATTGCATTCTTACATTCACAAATCCCACCTCGGTCAGTGGCCCTCCTAACCAGGGTTAGCAACTCAGATGCATAGCCTAGGCTCCTTAAACCAGGGGTAGGCAAACTAAGGCCCAGGGGCCGGATCTGGCCCAATCGCCTTCTAAATCCGGCCAGTGGATGGTCCAGGAATCAGCGTGTTTTTACATGAGTAGAATGTCTCCTTTTATTGAAAAGGCATCTCTGGGCTATTTGTAGGGCATAGGAATCTGTTCACCCCCCCAAAAAAAAATATAGGGGGTGGAGACGCCCCTTCAGGTCTACTGGGCCATTTAGGGCTTTCAAGGTCAGCACCAACACTTTGAATTGTGCTTGGAAACATCCTGGGAGCCAATGTAGGTCTTTCAGGACTGGGGTTATGTGGTCTTGGCAGCTGCTCCCAGTCCCCAGTCTAGCTGCCGCATTCTGGATTAGTTGCAGTTTCCGGGTCACCTTCAAAGGTAGCCCCATGGAGAGCGCATGGCAGTAGTCCAAGTGGGAGATAGCCAGAGCATGCACCACTCTGGAGAGACAGTCCGCAGGCAGGGAGGGTCTCATCCTGCGTCCCAGATGGAGCTGCCCTGGACACAGATTTGACCTGCGCCTCCATGGACAGCTGTGAGTCCAAAATGACTCCCAGGCTGCGCACCTGGTCCTTCGGGGGAACAGTGACCCCACTCAGGACCAGGGAGTCCCCCACACCTGCCCGCCCCCTGTCCCCCCAAAACAGTCCTTCTGTCTTGTCAGGATTCAACCTCAATCTGTTAGCCGCCATCCATCCTCCAACCGCCTCCAGACACTCACACAGGACCTTCACTGCCTTTACTGGTTCTGATTTAAAAGAGGTAGCGTTGGGTATTGGGTACTGAGATCCCTGCATTGCAAAGGGTTGGGCTGGATGCCCCTTGGGGTCCCAACTCTACGATTCCACTGCTGGTTGCTCTTGAGCGCCCCCTCCAAGAAAGCTGGCCAGAAGACGGAAGTGCAGATCCACCCAACCACGCACAACTTAAAACCCACACAAAAAACTGCATTTTCCGCGGCTAGCCAAGCTTTTGAGGATGTCCTTCGGGGCCACAAGCACCTGAGAATCACGCACAGCACATGGGAGACGCGTGGATTTTTCGCGAAACTTAAAATAGACGCACAGCAGATGTTCAGCAGAGCGATCTGAGTTTTGCTCCGATTCCTGGGGTGTTTTTACCCCCCTTAAAGGGGGAGAGACCCCAAAGGCAGCTGGGGACGATAATTTGATTTAAACGAAGGTAGCAGACGGCTGCCATGATAAACACTTCCCTATTAAGCTGCTTTTAAGTGGCTAATCGGAGCTGGAATCGGGGGGGGGGGGACGGTGCCGAGCGAGATTTGGGAAGGGGGGGAATCAATAAAAGAAGCCGGCCGATAATTAGGTTTAGCCTTCGTCATGAAAGTTGTTTTCCCTCTATACTCCATCCCTCTGCCCTCATCCCGGACAATCAGGTTACAATAATGATATTTTTTTCTATATCCCGTCCATCTTATTGGGTTGGCCCAGCCATTCTGGGCAGCTACCAACACGTATAAAAACGTGATAAAACACTGCACATGAATAGTAACGACGCAATGTAAAAAGCCGCAATAATTTTGACATACACCGCTTACGCCGAACAAAGCAACATTCCACCATCGATCCGAATCAAACGGTAAACGGGAAAACCGAACGTCAGCAAATAGTAATTAAACAGGTTGCAATGGACAGGCCTCACTGGGACGCGGGTGGCGCTGTGGGTTAAAGCACAGAGCCTAGGATTTGCTGATCAGAAGGTCGGCGGTTCGAATCCCCGCAATGACGGGGTGAGCTCCCGTTGCTCGGTCCCTGCTCCTGCCAACCTAGCAGTTCGAAAGCACGTCAAAGTGCAAGTACATCAATAGGTACCACTCCGGCGGGAAGGTAAACGGCGTTTCCGTGTGCTGCTCTGGTTCGCCAGAAGCGGCTTAGTCCTGCTGGCCACATGACCCAGAAGCTGTACGCCGGCTCCCTCGGCCAGTAAAGCGAGATGAGCGCCGCAACCCCAGAGTCAGCCATGTTTAATTAATTTATTTAATTGCATTAGCATACAGCCATAGCAAAGTAAGACAATACAAAAATATTGGAGACAAGCAACCAAGCAAAATTCAAAGCGATATTGCTGGCGTAATGACATTTAAAATACCCTTTGACAATAATACAGAGATTTAATTGCCAGCGCCAAAAAAAACAAAAAAGAACCTGAGTATGCGAGATATAAATGAAGCCAGAATAAGTGGCCCCAAAATAGGCTCAGCACATTAAGTTAAAAGGTAACTAAAAATTAAACAGGTCCAGGACTAGGGCACACTACCCTGTCAGAGTAGCCCTGAGTTTCAGAGCCTGCACTGTGAAGATTGCCACCCCACGTGAAATTTGGGATCTGCGTCCACAAGAAGTGCTTTCAAACAGTGCGTTCCTTAGATGAAATGGAGGACGGGATCAAGAGGAGGAGCTTAGGTCTTATTGGGTCATAAATAGGGCAGTAGATAAAGAAATGTATGAAGTCCTCTACTTCATTCATTGTGCATGGACATAGACGCTGAGTAATAGGGGTCTTAGAGTCGGTCCTCTGCAGGAAGGCCGTGGGTATAGAATGAAAGCGGCCATTGTAAACGCTCTTCTCAAATTGGGTCCGTCAGATCTATCAAGTAGTTGGCAAGTGATCTTACCACTTTCACTTTAGGAGCCACATGGAGAGGCGAGCTGAGGTGGACTGTGCCCGGTCCATGGCCTCATCTCTTGTAAGAATCCAGGCCTGGATTTTATGTTGGTCCCAAGATGACAACGTGTCGAAATCTGGGAGGGAGTAGCGTACAGTAATAGTCTCCATGGCCTTGGACCATTTGTTGGAGTGAGAACAAGTTAAAATGGCTTGCCTGGCTAGTAGAGAACCTGGGGCATTGATTAATGTTGCAATAAAAACTAATAATTCTAATGTGGGCTCTCGCAACAATGGAGGGGAGGCCCAGTTCTGTTCTTAACTGTGCAGCAACCGAGCCCTTGGGGAGACCCAGTATCTTTCGTGCAAAAGAGTTTTGTAGAATCGTGGCCGACTCTGGGGTGGCGGCGCTCATCTCGCTTTACTGGCCGAGGGAGCCGGCGCACAGCTTCCGGGTCATGTGGCCAGCAGAACTAAGCCGCTTCTGGCGAACCAGAGCAGTGCACGGAAACGCCGTTTACCTTCCCGCCAGAGTGGTACCTATTGATCTACTTGCACTTTGACGTGCTTTCGAACCGCTAGGTTGGCAGGAGCAGGGACCGAGCAACGGGAGCTCACCCCGTCGTGGGGATTCGAACCGCCGACCTTCTGATCAGCAAGTCCTAGGCTCTGTGGTTTAACCCACAGCGCCACCCACGTCCCACCAGGCAGATAGGCGGGCTATAAATAATAAAATTATTATTATTATTATTATTAAGCACAGATTCACAGAGAAGCACCATTCAACACTTTGCCGGAAAGACGAAAAGGGGAAAACTACACAGAGCGCATGACGGATCAGCAGGGCCTTTAACTCAGCAGCAAAGCCCCTGAAACAGCCCCTACTCAAGAGTAAGGGGCCTTGCTGCTCACCTGGGAGAGAACTTCTGAAGATGGGAAGAAACACCACGGGGTTTTTTTTTTGGGAGAGACCCTTCTGAGAGAGTCACTTCCGAGTCTGAAAGCGCAGGATCGGGCCGGGCAGCCCTAAGCGAGCTCCAAGCCAGAGGTTTAATGCAGCCGCTCGCCTGGGGCGAATCACGGATCTCCGGAAAGAAGCCGTTCACGAACTAAACCGCAGACCAGTGGCTCCCAGTGTGAGCAGTGGCATAACTGGGAGGGGGGCTGGAATTGCAAAAGACTAACTCCCTGATTCTGCAAAGCTTGCTATCGCTGGATCAAGTCCATCAGTTCCATTGAATTAATTAAACGAAACCGTTTTAATTGGATTAATGTGCAATTAAGTGCCGCTGTTTCGAATCGTATTCCGTTACGCTCTTTCTTAGCAGGGAGTATTTTCTGCAATGTTTTTCACAGGATAAGGGGGCAACCGGGTACAGATTTATGGGGAAAGCTGCAATAAGGTTGCGGCCAGCCGCGTTCTACTCGAGAGTAGACCTAGCCTCCCCAACTCGATTCGCTTTCCGCACAACACAACGCCGGCCTCCTCCCTTTGAAATCCCTACAGCAAAGTTCAGCCAAATGCCGGAGACGATATCTGGCAGCAATTTGGGCTTGGTTCCAGGGATCGGTTAGACGTACGGCTCAAAATCCCATTCTGAACCAACAGTGAAAACAGCAAAAGACTGCCTTTTAAAAAATAAATAAATCACATTCTCATAGTGTGGAAAATAAGGTATCTCTCCCTGCAGGAATTAAAGAACCTTTTAATGAGGGTGAAAGAGGAGAGCGCAAAATATGGTTTGAAGCTCCACATCAAAAAAACTAAGATCATGGCCACTGGGCCCATCACCTCCTGGCAAATAGAAGGGGAAGAAATGGAGGCAGTGAGAGATTTTACTTTCTTGGGCTCCATGATCACTGCAGATGGTGACAGCAGTCCCGAAATTAAAAGACGCCTGCTTCTTGGGAGAAAAGCAATGACAAACCTAGACAGCATCTTAAAAAGCAGAGACATCACCTTGCCAACAAAGGTCTGTATAGTTCAAGCTCTGGTTTTCCCAGTCGTGATGTATGGAAGTGAGAGCTGGACCATCAAGAAGGCTGATCGCCGAAGAATGGATGCTTTTGAATTCTGGTGCTGGAAGAGACTCTTGAGAGTCCCATGGACTGCAAGAAGATCCAACCTCTCCATTCTGAAGGAAATCAGCCCTGAGTGCTCACTGGAAGGACAGATCCTGAAGCTGAGGCTCCAAGACTTTGGCCACCTCAGGAGAAGAGAAGACTCCCTGGAAAAGACCCTGATGCTGGGAAAGATGGAGGGCGCAAGGAGAAGGGGATGACAGAGGACGAGATGGTGTGACAGAGTTCTCGAAGGTGCCAGCATGAGTCTGACCAAACTGCGGGAGGCAGTGGAAGACAGGAGGGCCTGGCGTGCTCTGGTCCAGGGGGGCACGAAGAGGCGGACACCACTAAACGACTCAACAACAACAACACCTGCATACCAGCCCTGCAAAGCAGACCAAGCAGGCGTGGAACCGCAGGAAGGTTGCCAAGTGAGTTGGTGGCCGGGCAGCAGATTCAAACCCAGATCTCCCTAGAGTGAGAAAGCAAACTAAGATCCGGGGGTGAGGCAGCTTAAATGGGGTCCACCCCCCACCGGGCTGCACCCCACACTGTCCGGCTTGGCCCGGCCCACTGGCCCCACCCACATTTTTAGATTTGGGGGCTGGGAAAAGAAAACTTTTTCTTTTATAGGGAGGAGAAAGCCAGGGGCTGGAGGCAAAATTCGACGCAGATCGTACCAGAACGGGAAGGGAACCCCAGAGTCATCTAGTCTAACTCAATGCAATGCAGGAATATTTTGAAGAACGCAGGACTCGAACCCACAACCCGCTCAAAGCGGTTGTGGCGTTTGGAGCTTTTGAGCTCAAGGGGAGAAGAGAGGAGAAGAGGCCTTTTTAAAATGGGTTGGTGGCGGGAATGACTGGCGGTTTTTGTTTTTCGATTAGGAATTTTGTGTTTTTATATTGTGGTTTTATCCCGCGGTGCAGCCTGAGACCTGCGGGGCGAGAGCGGTATACAAATTTAACTAACAGTCATAGGGACCATGAGGGACATCTGGTCCCCGGCAATTCAGGAATCTTTTGCCCGACTCAGGATTCGAACCCGCAACCCTCAGATAAGGAGTCTCTGCCTCAAACGGTTGCATCGCTTGGGGCGTTTTAGCTTAGAGGAACCGCAGAGAGAGGAGAGGAGAAGGTACCCACGGGGGTCATCCAGCCGAACCCCCTGAAATGCAGGAATTCTTTTCCCCCGCGCGGAATTCAAACCCGTAACCCCAAGATTAAGAGTTGCACACTTTACCCGCCAAGGTCTTTCGAAGTCATGGAACCAACCACAGAATTGTAGAGCTGGGAGGAACCCCCTGGGGGTCATCCAGCCGATCCCCCTGCTATGCAGGAATTCTTTTCCCTGACTCAGAATTCGAACTCGTAACCCCAAGATTAAGAGCCGCACGCTCTGCCCACCAAGCTCTTGCGAAGTCATGGAACCAACCTCAGAATCGTAAGGCTGGAAGGGGGATCATCCAACCCAACCCCTTGCCATGTATGGAATCTTTTGCCCGATACAGGACTCGAACCCGCAACCCCAAGATGAAGAAACCCACGCTCAGCCGACTCAGCCTGTAAATATAAACCTGGCAGAGGAGGGATGGGGGGGAAAGAGATGACGACCAAGAACGGAGTACAGATAAGCCGGAGGGTTGAAAACAATTAAAAATAAGAAAAACTCTGCAGCCCCCAAAACACTTCCTGGCAGCTGTGAAAACAAGGTCGCCCCACGGTGACCAAACAAAAGACCTCAAAGGGGAAAGCCGCTGAGAAAAAGGGGGGGGGGAGTTTTTTTTTAAAGTCAACACAATAAAATCAATTGTGTGGTTTGTTTTCTTTTTCTTTTTTTTTAAAAAAAGAACGTTCACACCCAGACGGAACCAGCCATTAAATACTTGCCCATATGTCTATGCATAGATAGATAAATAAATATATATCCGAGGATATATGTAAAAAACAGTTTTGCAAGTTGTGGGACCTTGTTTCCCCCACCTGGATTTTTTAGAAATCTGATTTTAAGAACAGGGATTTTCTGCAAAGTTTTCCAGTTTGCTTATCGAACGGATGACTTGGGGGACGTAAGTCTCCGGAAAACTGGGTTGAAGTTTTTCCTATTTTCAGAACAAATTTTATTATTATTTACAGCTGCTAAGCCTTAACCTCTCTCCCTAACTTATACCGAAACAGCCTACCTAGCCCCATACTGTATGCACTGACTTGCAGCACCTCCAACTAAAATTCTGAATAAACCTAGTGGCAAAAAGCAGTAAAACCACTAGCAAATTTGCAAAGCTAAGCAGGGGCCGGTCTGGTTTCAAATTGCGATGGGAAACTCATCTTCGGCGATTAGCCTTCTTGATGGTCCAGCTCTCACTTCCATACATCACTACTGGGAAAACCAGAGCTTGAACTATACGGACCTTTGTCGGCAAGGTGAAGTCTCTGCTTTTTAAGGTGCTGTCTGGGTTTGTCATTGCTTTTGTCCCAAGAAGCAGGCGTCTTTTAATTTCATGACTGCTGTCACCATCTGCAGTGATCATGGAGCCCAAGAAAGTAAAATCTCTCACTGCCTCCATTTCTTCCCCTTCTATTTGCCAGGAGGTGATGGGACCAGTTGTTGAATTTCCCTATTTTCCCCGTATGTTGATTCTGCCACTGAAATCCTATGCAAAGCAGAATCTTGCATGAATCAGCTCAAACTTTGAGGACTAGAATCTTATTTTGGGCTTTGCATGCAAAGGTCTGAGGTTCAATCCTCTGGGTATAGGGCAGAAAATAAACTCAATAATAAATAATAATAATAATTAAAAAAATAATAATAATCCACAGTGCCTGAAACCCTGGAGAGCAGGGAACTCTGAACTCGATAGACAATTGGGTTTGATTTAGGAGAAGGCAAGATCCTATTGGCTAGTCATGAGGACTACAATCTTAGCACGTTTTTACGAGAAGGAGCCGAGCCGAGCACTGCCTGTAAGAGGGACTTTGGTATTTTTTTTTGGGGGGGGGGGTGAAACCAAACAAGGCAAAGGTGCTTTGGGGTGGCACAGGGTCACTATCCGCAGCACGCCGTCCGTCCGACGGGTGACTCACAGAGCAGGAAAAGGAGATAAGGACTTGAATTGCTCCTTGCCAGGAAAGGGCCTATTCCCCAGCCCAGAAAAACAAGCTTGCCCCTCCGAGAAAGAAAGAAAAAAAGCCCTCTTTTCTTCCGTAAACAAAGTTGTTCCCTGGCGGCCACCTGCTTTAAACAGAAAACAGGGAGGTGGGAAGAAAAAGGGGGAGGCAGGCAAGCAGCCTGGGAAATCCTTTGTCTTAAAGACTGTTTTTCCTAAACTGCAGTTGCCACAACAATACGGTGAGTGCTCCTTTCTTGCCTTGCAAAGAAGCTCTGCAAAGAAGGACCCTGTTCCGTTTGCAGGTCTTATTCCGTTCCCTCGTTTGCACCCTGTTTTCCCAGCCCAGGAGATTCTCCCTCCTTCCTGGCACATTCAAAACATTCCTCCGAGGTAGACCAGGCTGCTTACCCTGCTTTGGGGGGCCTCGGGTGCAGGCGCCGGATGAAATCCCCCAGACAGCGTTCAAAATCCCCTTTTGCTACTGGGAACGGAGTCCAAATGAGACTTGTTGCAGGAATTTATGTATAGGGTGCGGGGGGGGGGGGGTTGCCCCTCCAGCAGATATCACGCACATGCAGCCCACTGCCAAAACCAGCACAATCGCTTTTGTGACTTTTTGTGATTTGTCCCCACAAAACACCTCACGGCAGTTTCTTCCTATCTATTCAAAGGGCCTTCGCTGCACATACCAAATGTAAGAATTCACTGATCAATGTGTCTATGTACTGGCTCACTGGGAAAACTTCAGAAATTCCTATAGACATGTGAGCTCAGCTGCTCAGCAGCCCCTCTGCCTGAGGGATAATTCCTGGCCTCCTGATACCTGAGTGCCAGACAGGTAGCCATTCCAGGAATAACCAACCCAGATGAAGACAAAAGGGTGTGAGTAACTTGGCTGGGAAACAGGGAAATATCTTTTTTGTTACACTTGATGGGTGTTTGGTGGAGGGCAAGGGGAACCATGGGGCAGGGTCCAGGATGCTCAGATTCCTGCCACCAGACCTCCCCTTTCATGATGTAACCGTGATGTATGAGTGATGTAATTTGGGGGGGTATGACATGGGGATGAGCAGCTAATAAAAGTTTGGGGGCTGTTTTGTTCAGGGCTTCCATCCTGTTTCACCTGGTGGCAGGTGGGAGTCCTGTCGCGACAGTCTTCAATAAAGACCAAGCCTATGGTTTTCCCAGTAGTGATGTATGGAAGTGAGAGCTGGACCCTAAAGAAGGCTGATCGCCGAAGAATGGATGCTTTTGAATTCTGGTGCTGGAGGAGACTCTTGAGAGTCCCATGGACTGCAAGAAGATCCAACCTCTCCATTCTGAAGGAAATCAGCCCTGAGTGCTCCCTGGAAGGACAGATCCTGAAGTTGAGGCTCCAAGACTTTGGCCACCTCAGGAGAAGAGAAGACTCCCTGGAAAAGACCCTGATGTTGGGAAAGATGGAGGGCACAAGGAGAAGGGGACGACAGAGGACGAGATGGTGGGACAGTGTTCTCGAAGCTACCAGCATGAGTTTGACCAAACTGCAGGAGGCAGTGGAAGACAGGAGGGCTTGGCGTGCTCTGGTCCAGGGGTCACCAAGAGGCGGACACGACTAAACAACAACAAGTTTGAGAACCAAGTTACCACTGTATTTATATCGCGCCCATCTGCTTTTGTGTACTTGCACTGAGATTCCCAGAGGTCCTTTCGTCGCCTGATGATGCGTTAACAGGAAAGTTTGCTAAGCTGGGGTTCTGGTCCAAATTTTGCTGAGCGAAACCCCAAACGGTAGTCCCAAAAAATTAAAAATAAATAACCGGCGGTTCATTCACCATCCGGTTTCTGGTTCTCACGTGCCGAACGACGAATGGGTGTTTTGTTTTTAAAAAATAAGTATACCAAATTTGGAGGGGGGCGTTGAGAGAGAGAGAATTCCCGAGCCGATTTAAAATAGAATGGAGTTTAAATTTAGGTTTCGGGCCAGCTTCCTGACTTGAAACTGCTGCTCTCCAGATCTGGAATGATCATCAGGTATATAAAAAAGACTTGGCACATTTTGAGATGCAAACTCTCGACCAGAATAATTTGCCTGGAAGGTCCCCCGTCAAGGCAGGCTTGTCCTGCTTGCAGAAGGAACGATCCGTACATCTAAAGTGGTACATTGGTTCTCAAACTTAATCCGTTCCGGAAATTCCGTTCCAAAACCAAAGCGTTCCAAAACCGAGGCGCGCTTTCCCATAGAAAGTCATGCAAAACGGATCGATTCATTCCAGACTTTGAAAAACAACAATTCAACATGAAATTTACTATCTAATGAGACCATTGATCCATAAAATGAAAGCAAGAATCAATGTGCTGTACTATAAAATAAATAAGACGGTATTGTAGATGATAAGAATTAAAATCACCTTTTCTCCCCAACCTGCACTGATGGTAAGTTATTGTTTGGATGGGGGGCTTTTATCCATTTCCACAGGCACACAATCAATCAATCAGTAGCTGAACTGGGTTCCACACAGTCACGAAAACAAATGAATCGGAAAAGCCTCAAAAACAAAAACGCAAAATAAAGAGCAAAAACCAAAGCGCCAAGCTTCATCCATTCTGGAAGTCCGTTTGACTTCTGAAATGTTCAAAAAGCAAGGTGCAGCTTCTGATTGGCGCAGGTGCCCTGGAAACAACAGCCGACAGCCGTATCGGACGTCCGGCTTCCGAAAAATGTTCGAAAACCAGAACACTTACTTCTGGGTTTTCGGAGTTTGAGAACCAAGGTACCATTGTACTTGAATCAGTTCTTTGCTGAGAACAGTGAGGACTAGAATGTTGCTTTAACATTAGAACAAAGGGCTGTAAATTCGATTTTGGATGCCGAAGGTTCTAGATTCCATCTCTAGCTGGGACTGGGAATGTCCGGCACACCCCAATCTGTTTTATCATAAAACCGATTTATCATAAAACATTCCACGTTCCCCAATATTTTTCTCGCAAGCCACCAGTGTGGATTTGATTTAAATGAAATCGATTTAAACCAGGATTTGAATCACTAGTCAGTAAGACTTGATTTAAATCATTTTTCTTTTACAGAAAGGCTCATTCTTGCTGGTATCACCTTAATATTTACAAGAAGGGGAAGCTTTCATTTCTGGAGGCAGAATGCAAGGCTAACCTGCGGAACTCCCTGCCACAGTGCAGGCTGCAATTTGCTTTTTTAAAAACCCAAGCAGAACTGCTGGGCCTATCATATATTTGGGAGGGGGGCATCGAACACAGGGCACCAGTCTCCTCCCTTGAGAATCGTCTGTAGATGCCGCGACGAGGATAAAAGCAAATTCCCCGCTAAAAAGAATAATTCAAAACAAAAACCATGCTGAAAACCCACAGAGATTTCAAGTCAGCAGGAAAGCACAGTGTTGTCGTTGTCGCCCCCCCCCCCCACAAACCACAGAATCATAGAATCCTAGAGTTGGAAGAGACCACAAGGGCCATCGAGTCCAACCCCCTGCCAAGCAGGAAACACCATCAGAGCACTCCTGACATATGGTTGTCAAGCCTCTGCTTAAAGACCTCCAAAGAAGGAGACTCCACCACACTCCTTGGCAGCAAATTCCACTGTCAAACAGATCTTACTGTCAGGAAGTTCTTCCTAATGTTGAGGTGGAATCTTCTTTCTTGTAGTTTGGATCCATTGCTCCATGTCCGCTTCTCTGGAGCAGCAGAAAACAACCTTTCTCCCTCCTCTATGTGACATCCTTTTATATATTGGAACATGGCTATCATATCACCCCTTAACCTCCTCTTCTCCAGGCTGAACATGCCCAGCTCCCTTAGCCGTTCCTCATAAGGCATCGTTTCCAGACTCGCATTCCCCATAGCAACCCCCAAACTTGGAGGCTTTTCAATATGGCGAAAATCCCATTTTCAAACACAGCCGGACTTTCAAATGCAAATAGCGACAGAGACGGAACATATGGTGGAGGTTAGTTCTTATTTTTCCTAATTAAATGGCACACTGCTGTTTTGTATAACAATGTTAATAGGGCATTTGCAAGCTTTCGGGAGGGAGGCCGAACAGCCTCTCTCTCCCCTCCCCCCCATTTTTTAAGAGAGAGGCGGCAATTGGCAGAGAAAACCGAAGGCCGCGAGACACACACACCCCGTCCCCGATTTCCCTCGATATCAACACGGTGGTTTGGCACGTTCCCAATTTAGGGTGGCGCTGGGGGGGGGGGGGAGAATATTCCCCTCACATCCTATTGCTGCTTTTTTGTTTGCAGACCGCTAAAAGTAACCTGCAATGACAAACCTAGACAGCATCTTAAAAAGCAGAGACATCACCTTGCCGACAAAGGTCCGTATAGCTCAAGCTCTGGTTTTCCCAGGAGTGATGCATGGAAGTGAGAGCTGGACCATAAAGAAGGCTGATTGCCGAAGAATGGGTGCTTTTGAATTCTGGTGCTGGAGGAGACTCTTGAGAGTCCCATGGACTGCAAGAAGATCCAACCTCTCCATTCGGAAGGAAATCAGCCCTGAGTGCTCACTGGAAGGACAGATCCTGAAGCTGAGGCTCCAAGACTTTGGCCACCTCCTGAGAAGAGAAGACTCCCTGGAAAAGACCCTGTTGTTGGGAAAGATGGAGGGCGCAAGGAGAAGGGGACGACAGAACAGGAGATGGTTGGACAGTGTTCTCGAAGCTACCAGCATGAGTCTGACCAAACTGCGGGAGGCAGTGGAAGACAGGAGTGCCTGGCCTGCTCTGGTCCAGGGGGTCACCAAGAGGCGGACACGACTAAACGACTAAACAACAACAAACATAACCCCCATCCCTTTGGCAAAAACGCCCCCCCCTCGCAGATTCGCATACCGAACATGGACATCTCCAATGGGTGAATTTTGCAATGGACATCTACAGTGGCACCTTGGTTCTCAAACTTAATCCGTTCAGGAAATTCCGTTCCAAAACCAAAGCGTTCCAAAACCAAGGCACACTGCTTTCCCATAGAAAGCAATGCAAAATGGATTAATCCGTTCCAGACTTTTGAAAACAACCCCCGAAAAAGTAATTGAACATGGATTTTACTATCTAACGAGACCATTGATCCATAAAACGAAAGCAAGAATCAATGTACTGCAGTCACACAATCGATCCATCAGTAGCTGGACTGGTCGTGAAAATGAAACGATAAAGAGCCGCCAAAGCAAAAAAAGCAAAAACAGGCAGACTTCAGCGTAACCCTCAAATCGGAAGTGTGGCACTCAAAACGGAGCACGTTTGGCTTCCGAAAAGAGTTCGCAAACCGAAATATTTTCTTCCGGGTTTGCAGTGTTTGGGTTCCAAGTTGTTTGAGTACCAAGGCGTTTGGGAACCCCTGCGCTTCAATTATGGGTCTCTGAAAATCCCAGATGGAAAAACGAAAGGAAATCCTGAGTAACGAGGTGTTTGGGTTAGCAGGACGGTGAGTTGCTGTTTTGAGTAAAGAAGTTTCTCACGCAACACTCCCTTTAATCTCGACGGGATGTTAATATTCTTTTTTTATAAAAAACAAAAATAAATAGAGGGTGTTTCTAATCAGAGGGATCCATCTTGTCAGGGCGGCACGATGGCATCTCCCAACTCCTGCCAGCTTGACAGGTTTGGCAAAGTTGGTATCGTTGCAAAGCCAACGCCGAGCCAGGGTGGTGCTTGCTTGCCCTCACTCTGAATGGGCATGACTTCCCCACCCCACCCCGTTTTGTGGGAGAACGCCAAACTCTTGCTGAAATCGGGGTGGGGGGAACGGGGCCTATTTTGTGGCAGCGTATCACTGTCAGAAGGGACACGGGTGGCGCTGTGGGTTAAACCACAGAGCTTAGGCCTTGCTGATCAGAAGGTCGGCGGTTCGAATCCCCGCAATGACGCGGTGAGCTCCCGTTGCTCGGTCCCTGCTCCTGCCAATCTAGCAGTTCGAAAGCACACCAGTGCAAGTAGATAAATAGGTACCGCTCCGTCAGGAAGGTAAATGGTGTTTCTGTGCGCTGCTCTGGTTCGCCAGAAGCGGCTTAGCCCTGCTGGCCACATGACCCGGAAGCTGTACGCCGGCTCCCTCGGCCGGTAAAGCGAGATGAGCGCCGCAACCCCGGAGTCGGCCACGACTGGACCTAACGGTCAGGGGTCCCTTTACCTTTACCTTTATCGCTGTCAGATGTGGGCAGGTGGGGATAGACGCAACCGTTTCACCTGATTTTGGGTCAGGACTTTCGAGGGGGGGAAATCTTTCGGCTGGGGGCCCTACTGGGTTGTTGACTGCAATCCAGCAGTGGGAGAGAGGGGGCTGATTTACTAGGGGAATTTGGAAGAAGGGTTTAAGCCCACTTTCTCCCAGAAATCGCAGCGCCAAGTCCCAAAATGCGCCTGGTCGTAAAACACGCCGACCAAAAGGTAAGACAAAGTTCTAGTTCTCGTGCTCCTGACTTAAATAGCAACTGTGGCTGTTGCAAGGAGGGTGGCAGTTTTTTATTGCGAAGACCTGGAACCCTGGGGAGTCTCAACATGCCAGGACGGGTTGCCAAACCCATTTCACGTAGCTGTTGTTCTGCGAAAATGTGCCCAGGTTCCAGCCCTCAGTCTGACTTATGCAATGTGCAATTTATGCCATTAAAAAAAATAAATTTAAAAAGGATCTTAACGGCCCAGAAGGGTTTTCTTAAAAATGAAATCAACCGTGTTGCAGCCAGTGCTGGCCTTACTCAAGAGTAGACCTGCCGAAAACAACCGGCACGAGGTCTATTAACGTCAACGGGTCTACTTCTGAGTAAGGCAAGGGCCAGATGCAGCCTACAATTTTAATCTTTAGATTGAGCCAACACAAAGGATGAAACGAGGTGTGTTTTTTTTCACTGGGGGGCGGGGGCAGAGAAGGTGTTGCTTAAAAAAGAGAGAGTTTAACCAGGAGATAACACTCACTTTAAAAGCGTGTCAACTCCAATTTGAAAAATTCCAGATTTATACGCAATTCGGAACGAGACCAGTGATGCGCTCCTCCGAATTTTGCAGCTCGTGCAAAAATGAACAGTTATGGGAGAACCTGCACCATTTGCAGTAAATGACATTTTTTGAAAAATATCAATGGGCACGAAAGCATTTATTACGAAGCACATACAGAACAGAAACGAAAACATGAGATTGGCGGCCAGGGAATGTGGCCACCTATGGAGGCTGCAAAGCTACGATGGCCACATTTTGAAGAGAAAAAAAGACTTCTACTTTTAACTACGGATCGCTATTATGATGACTCTTGTTCTAAATACCCTTCCTATACGTAGGGCTTCAGAAACGGCGACACACCACATTTACTTGAGTCTCATGCGCCGTCGAATCTAAAGCACACTGCAATTTTCGCAACATTATTTGGCCAAAAAAGGTGAGCAGTGGATTCAAGAAAACTTGGTCTTGCTAGTAGCAAAGTTCTTCACTTTCAACAACAACAAAAGAAGAAGAAGAATAATACCTATTGCTCCCTCGCTTGCCACGTGAAAGTATTGGGGCTCATGTTCCCCTCTTTGGGAACATCAGTATGCGCAGAACAATTTATTAAACTGTTTCACATGTATGTATGGACTTTCCTGAAGGACAAGGGGACGGGACCACTTGCCCTCCCAGACTCCTTCTTCGAAATCTTTGAGTCCCAATGCACGGAGATCCAGCTCCAAGGGTCTTCTGGCGATTCCCTCAATGCGAGAAGTGAAGTTACAGGGAACCAGGCAGAGGGCCTTGTCGGTGGTGGCGCCCACCCTGTGGAACGCCCTCCCACCAGATGTCAAGGAAAGAAACAACTACCTGACTTTTAGGAGACATCTGAAGGCAACCATGTAGTAGGAAGCCTTTTAATGTGTAATGTTTTGTTATGTTTTTATAAATGTTGGAAGTGTGGCTGGACAACCCAGTCAGATGGGCAGGGTGCAATAAAAATTCTTCTTCTTCTTCTTATTACTACTACTAACTACTACACAGAGCCTAGAGCTTGCCGATCAGAAGGTTGGTGGTTCGAATCCCCGCAGTGATGGGGTGAGCTCCCATTGCTCGGTCCTTGCTCCTGCCAACCTAGCAGTTCGAAAGCACGTCAAAGTGCAAGTAGATAAATAGGTACCGCTCCGGCGGGAAGGTAAACGGCGTTTCCGTGCGCTGCTCTGGTTCGCCAGAAGCGGCTTAGTCCTGCTGGCCACATGACCCAAAAGCTGTATGCCGGCTCCCTCGGCCAGTAAAGTGAGATGAGCGCCACAACCCCAGAGTCGGCCATGACTGGACCTAACGGTCAGGGGTCCCTTTACCTTTACTACTAACAAAGACTAGCACGTCTACAGCCAATCCATCGCGGACATGCATATATCTGCCTATAGACATAAAAACGTAAGGCTGTCGTCACGCTGCATTTTGCATGATGAAGGAAGGGCTTCATCGGCCAAATTAGAGAACTGTCAAGTTGGAAGAGACCCTGAGTTTCACCCCTGGGGCAATGGAGGAATATGCACTTGCCCCATGCAGGAATCGAACCCACAACCTAGGCGTTATCACGTTCACAACCCGAGCGTCCACTGTACTGTTAGAGGGTGTATATACGGAAAAACCAATAAAAATATTTTTTTTCAAAAAAAAGGTAGTTTTTATGCCTTTGCAAAACTGAAGAGCTGCCACCTTTAAAACGAGCTCGCTTCATTTTATTTTCTTATTAAGCCAGAGTGGCTGGGGAAAGGCAGAACCCTTTTGCAATGTTTTTTTTAATTTTCATTTTTAAAAAGCCCTCCGTGTCCTTAATCACGGGACCATATATATATATTATTTCAGGCATTACCGAAATCGTAGAAAGGGATGCGGAACAAGCTGGCAAGAAGCCCCATTTGAAGCTTTTGCAGATCAGGTGAACTTTTTTGCATCCCCAGCTCCACAATAAAGGGCAGAAGAGATTTATACCTAGGTGCGTGCGTACATATAAATATATCTTCCTACAGATATAATCCAGGGTGGCGTTTTAATTCTTTGTTTGGGAGACGAAGGGGGTGGGCAGGGAGAAAGGAGTTGGTCGGAGGGGGGGGCGAAGCAACCCTCAGATGCAACGCCAACCTTCCTTTTTGGAGAGAGATCAAAGTGTACCAAATTAACAATTAAAGATGGGGGGAAATCCACAAAGAAGGAAAAGAAAACAGGCGTTTGCTCCCTTGATATGCGGTTGTTGGTTTGGGGTTGTTGTGTTTCCTGGTTTTTGCCCAAAGGTAAGCTGCTGTTTTAGGGACGCAGGTGGCGCTGTGGGTTAAACCACAGAGCCTAGGAATTGCCTATCAGAAGGTCGGCGGTTCAAATCCCCGCCACGGGGTGAGCTCCCGTTGCTCGGTCCCTGCTCCTGCCAACCTAGCAGTTCGAAAGCACATCAAAGTGCAAGTAGATAAATAGGTACCACTCCGGCGGGAAGGTAAACGGCGTTTCCGTGTGCTGCTCTGGTTCGCCAGAAGCGGCTTAGTCCTGCTGGCCACATGACCCGGAAGCTGTACGCCGGCTCCCTCGGCCAGTAAAGTGAGATGAGCGCCACAACCCCAGAGTCAGCCACGACTGGACCTAATGCACAGGGGTCCCTTTACCTTGATTCTTGCTTTCGTTTTATGGATCAGCGGTCTTGGTTAGAGAGTAAAATTCATGTAAAGCTGCTGTTTTAGGGGTTGTTGTTAAAAGCCTGGAATGGACTGATCTGTTTTGCATGACTTTCTATGAGAAAGCGTGCCTTGGTTTTGGAACACTTTGGTTTTGGAATGGAATTTCCGGAACGGATTAAGTTTGAGAACCAAGGGACCACTGTATTGAGAGAAGGCATTCCCTCCTGATAAAGAGGAGGTCGGGATATGGGGATGTGTCTGCCAAATTCTCAACCATCCCCAGGGCCAAGAGCCAAGGGCGCTGCAACCTGTGAATCTTATCAACATCTGGAAGACTGAAGTCTAGAGCTTCTAGCTTTTGCTTTTATTTTGGCAACCTCTTGTTCCTGCAGCTTAGTTCAATGAGCTTTTGGCTGAAAGCAAAGGAATGAAAACTGTCCTTTCGAAACCGGGTTTTTTTTGGGGGGGTCACCCCAAAATCATCAATTTTTGTATAGGTAACTGCATAACGCACTATGAAATTGTACATAATAATTATGCATTGGGATACAGGGGAATAACAGAGGTTGCGGGTTTTTTGATACTTGCACAATGTTTTGTGCATTGTACAATGGGACCTTGGCAGTCGAACAATTCGGCTCCCGAATGCCGCAAACCCAGAAGTGAATTTGCAAACGTTTTTCGGAAGCCGAACGTCCGACGCGGCTTCCGATCTGAGTGCAGGAAGCTCTTGCATCCAATCGGACGCTGCGCCTTGGTTTTCTACCGTTTTGGGAGCTGAATGGACTCTCAGAACGGATTAAGGTACCGCTGTATATCCCTTCTTACTGCTTAGAATAAATTGAGGTTGCCGTTTCTCTTTCTTTGCGCTGCAAGCGCCGCAAAGCTCCCGCAACCGCTTGCGTTCTACACAACAATTATTTCTTGGGATTTGGGGTACGGAGGGCTCCTGCTTCCAGCGATTCTCCAATACCCCCAATGGGTTTTTTTGGCAAGGTTTCCATATTTCCGACAAATTCTTGCAATCGTTTTCAATTGAGTTACCTATACGGCGATTCTAGCTTTTCATTTTGGGGCGACCATTCCCCCCACAACTGAGAAGAAGCAGGCCCTTTTTCAATGTTCCTAAGCCATGGGTAGGCAAACTAAGGCCCGGGGGCCAGATCCGGCCCAATCGCCTTCTAAATCCAGCCCGCGGATGTTCTGGGAATCAGCATGTTTTTACATGAGTAGAATGTGTGCTTTTATTTAAAATGCATCTCTGGGTTATTTGTGGGGCATAGGAATTCGTTCATTATTTTTTCCCAAAATATAGTCTGGCCCCCCACAAGGTCTGAGGGACAGTGGACCGGCCCCCTGCTGAAAAAGTTTGCTGACCCCTGTCCTAAGCAAAAGCTCACCCCTTCATGATACAGGAAACTGATTTTGGGTTGTTTTTTTTAAAAAAGTCACAAAGTTTTAACCCTGCTGCAGACAGAAAGCAGCCTCTGGCTTCCTAGGGGACCCAATTTTGGGGCACAACAGCTTCAACAGCCCCACTCGGCCCTTTCTCAGATAGACTGCTCCTGCACATGGAAGCTCCACCTGGCCACAAAACAGAAGCTTCGATCAAACCTTTTGCTTCCCCTCTTTCTTAGAAAGGACGAGCGCTGCCAAGGCGAAAGGAAAGACTACAGAACCGCTCAGCCCATCCCGGAATCTCAAACACAGCTGGGGCGGTTGCGGCAAGAAGCCCAAATTATTTTGCGAAAAGCATCAAAGCCGGGAGTTGGGGTTTGAAGAAACCTCCTCAGATGTGACGAGCTCCGGGCAGAGGGAGTGGAAAGGGGTGGCCAGTGTGTTTGTGTGTTGTGGGGGTGGAAAGGAGAGATTACACTTTGCTGCAACCACCTGTAGCTTCAAAATTCGCGAACGTGCACCGACTCGCCCCCACTCCCAAGACACGCACGGGCGCAGAAGTCTCTATAAACACACGCCCCGTATTCAAAGCAAACCCCCTCTATCAAACAAAGCACATTTTGCTTTCATGCTCAAAATCAAAGGACGCACGAAGTCGGGAGACCCCCCCCCATGGGGAAATGTACCTTGAACTTTTGCACCTGCGGTTAAAAATAAAAAACGCAGCCTTCTAGCAAACCGTTCTTGCAAACCAGGCTACAAACCCCATTGCCCTAGACCAGGCATAAGGCAAACTCGGCCCTCCAGATTGTTTTGGGACTACAACTCCCATCGTCCCTCGCTAACAGGGCCAGTGGTCAGGGATGATGGAAATTGTAGTCCCAAAACAGCTGGAGGGCGGAGTTTGCCTAGGCCTGCCCTAGACCCTTGGCCTGGGATTGGCTGCTGGAAGTTGGGGGGCGGGGTCTGGCACAACCTCTGGAAGACCCCTGGGGTTTCCCCATATCCCTGGTCTAAAAAGAGGCCTTCTCTGCTCTTGAGAGGGGAACAGCTCTTTCTAAAAAGCGGTCATTCCTTCAGCTCTCGGGGTTATTTGTGGGGCATAGGAATTTCGTTCATTTTATATTTCCCCCCAAAATACGTCTGGCCCACCACTAGGTCTGAGGGACAGCCCACGGCTGAAAAAAGTTTGCTGACCCCTGTAAAATTCATGTTAAATTGCTGGTTTAGGGGTTGTCTTAAAAGTCTGGAACAGATTAATCCATTTTGCATGACTTTCTATGGGAAAGCGCGCCTTGGTTTTGGAACGCTTTGGTTTTGGAACGGACTTCTCGAATGGATTAAGTCTGAGAACCGAGGTATAGCACCGTATTTGTCACTTTAAGCCGAAAGCCTGCCTTCACGGATCGCATTGTGCTCTGCCTGATCGTGAGTAAAACTTTTTGTTACTTACGAATAAGACTGCGGTGTCTTTATTCTTTTAGGAGGGGTCAAAGGGGTATCACCAGGAATAACAGAACATATCTCAATCTGGACAAGCCAGATTAAATATGCTTATTGTCTTAAAGAGACTCACACAAGTCTGCAACCAGCTTTCTGTAAAAGGGGGAAATGCACTCTGCTGCATAAAGAAACTTGCTAGAGCAAGTTTAAAAAGGTAAAGTGACCCCTGACCATTAGGTCCAGTCGTGGCCGACTCTGGGGTTGCGGCGCTCAGCTCGCTTTACTGGCCGAAGGAGCCGGCGTACAGCTTCTGGGTCATGTGGCCAGCAGGACTAAGCCGCTTCTGGCGAACCACAGCAGCGCACGGAAACGCCGTTTACCTTCCTGCCAGAGCGGTACCTATTTATCTACTTGCACTGGTGTGCTTTCGAACTGCTAGGTTGGCAGGAGCAGGGACCGAGCAACGGGAGCTCACCCCGTCATTGCGGGGATTCGAACCACCGACCTTCTGAGCGGCAAGTCCTAGGCTCTGTGGTTTAACCCACAGCGCCACCTGCGTCCCTTACAGCAGTGTTCCCCAACCTTGGGCCTCCAGCTCTTTTTGGACTACAACTCCCATCATCCCTCGCTAGCAAGACCAATGGTCAAGGATGATGGGAATTGTAGTCCAAAAACAGCTGGAGGCCCAAAGTTGGGGAACACTGCCTTACAGCAAGTTAGAAAGGGTAATATTAATCAATATATCCTCTCCTGTTCCCCGCAACATTCCCACATGTCACCCCTCTCCAGATGTTGTGCCCGAATCCCCACAACTTCCATCATCACCTCTCATGCTGCTTGCGTCATTTATATTATTATAAATTATTATAAAATTATTATTGCCACGCAGGAAACTGGAGTGCCGGCAACAGCAAACGCAAGACCTCAGGATCCCCGTTTGCGCAACCCTGGAGGACAAAAACCAGAAATACAGGGAGATATCTTCATGGTTACCTGATCCTCCGAACTGCGTGCTAGCCAGAGTCGTTGGTCTGTTTTTCCCATTGGCTACTGGCAGCGGAAACATCTGGGGAAGAAGAGGGGGGAAACAGCGTTAGACTCAGATATATATACGTCAGGCGCCAAAAGGCTCCTTAAACCACGGTTGCAGTCGCAAAAACGAAATTTTCCGGTTGCCATTTTGGGGACAAGGTGGCTCTAACGTCTTGATTTTTCATCATCATCAACCTTTATTATGGTCCAGAGACCCAACAAATCGTTACAAAGCAATACACAATTCAGACAAGCCTACCTCCAGGTTAAATAAGCATTTTGTTCAGAATATAGGGATCATTGGTTCTTGCAACCACCGAGAAAAACTCATTGGTCCGGTCTTCCAATAGGAACCTGACATAGTGAGCCTCTGATTTTCCCGGGAAAGGGACCAGCAAGGGTAATATCAGTTCAGCCCTGGCTTGCTCGTATTTTGCACAGTGCAACAAAATATGTTTTATGGAATTGATGTCTTGAGCACATGAGCAAAGTCTGTCCTGGTAGGGAACTCCTCTCAACCCTGCAGAAGGAAAGACGTTTAGTCTGGCTTTGGTGAAAAGCCTTCGATAGTTTGGTACTGTCAGGGTTTTTAATGTAAGATGTTAACTTAAAGACATGCCCATATTGGGCATTAGGTCCAGTCGTGGCCGACTCTGGGGTTGCGGCGCTCATCTCGCTTTACTGGCCGAGGGAGCTGGCGTTCAGCTTCCGGGTCATGTGGCCAGCAGGACTAAGCCGCTTCTGGCGAACCAGAGCAGCGCACGGAAAGGCCGTTTACCTTCCCGCCGGAGTGGTACCTATTTATCTACTTGCACTTTGACGTGCTTTCGAACTGCTAGGTTGGCAGGAGCAGGGACCGAGCAACAGGAGCTCACCCTGTCGCGGGGAATAGAACCACCGACCTTCTGATTGGCAAGCCCTAGGCTCTGTGGTTTAACCCAAGCGCCACCCATGTCCCATGTGCTACCCATGTCCCATAAGTGGCCAATAGCCGGGTGCAAAATGTGCCTGGCAAATTTTGAACATTGGGGAAGAGGTTACCTAGACAAGGAGAAGGGGGTGTCAGGGTGGGCACGTACAGGCAGTATTTAACACCTCCCAAAATCTGGCACAGTTTTTCCTCTCTGGGTTTAAACACACGCATATATAACACACAGAATAAGAGTTGGAAAAGGGACCCTTCAATGTCATCTAGTCCAACCCTCCTGTAGTGCGAGAATCTCAGCTAACGTGGCCATGAAACACAGCCTCCCAAATTCTGCTTCGAAACTTCTAAGGAAGGTATTTTTTTAAGGACTTCTAAGGAAGTCTGTTCCGCTGCTTTTTAATAGATTGGGTGGGGAAGCAAAATTAAAAAATTAAAAAAACAATGCCCAGGAAATTTCTGCTCGCCTCTAGTTGCAAACTAATCTGACCACCCCCCTTGCTTTTTTAAATACGCTACACCCCCCCCAACAAGAACAAGAGTCAAAGAAGCAAAATCTATTGCTGAAAAGTCGCATAAAAAGCAGACAGCTATGACACCAATCAGAAATTTCAATTTATCACCTAGGGTTGAAAGCGAAAATTCAGACACAAAAGTTTAGCTTTTTTTTTAAATGGCCAAAGTTCCAAATGAAGTTTTGACGTACGGCAACCCTAACTTCAACAACCCCCCACCTTCAAAAACATTCAGATAAATCGGAAACTGCCCGTGTGATCACAGCAATATAAACAAGTTTTGGCCCCAGATCAATGCATAAGCCGATCTCTCCAACTCCAAACACACTTGCAGTCTTCCTGGTCAAAGTTTTGCAGGAAAGATCTGTGAAAATATGCATCTTTGATTTGTTCCTCTTCTGTGCTTTCTATCCAACGCTGGGAAGATCTGGGAAGAGGAATGATTTGTTGTTGCTGTTGTTGAGTCGTTTAGTCGTGTCCGCTTCTTGGTGACCCCCTGGACCAGAGCACGCCAGGCACTTCTGTCTTCCACTGCCTCCCGCAGTTTGGTCAAACTCATGCTGGTAGCTTCGAGAACGCTGTCCCACCATCTCGTCCTCCGTCGTCCCCTTCTCCTTGTGCCCTCCATCGTTCCCAACATCAGGGTCTTTTCCAGGGAGTCTTCTCTTCTCCTGAGGTGGCCAAAGTCTTGGAGTCTCAGCTTCAGGATCTGTCCTTCCAGTGAGCCTTCAGGGCTGATTTCCTTCAGAATGGAGAGGTTTGAGCTTTTTGCAGTCCATGGGACTCTCAAGAGTCTCCTCCAGCACCAGAATTCAAAAGCATCCATTCTCCGGCGATCATCCTTCTTTATGGTCTAGCTCTCACTTCCATACATCACTACTGGGACAGTGTTATCAAAGCTACTAACATGAGTTTGACCAAACTGCGGGAGGCAGTGGAAGACAGGAGGGCCTGGCATGCTCTGGTCCAGGGGGTCACAAAGAGGTGGACACCACTAAACGACTAAACAACAACAACAAGACTTCCAACATTGGATTTCCACAGACCTTTCTGCCTGGGCGCTGCTTCCGGGAACCGCAGTGTTCTGGCTACGTCCAGGAAATTCCAGACATAGGGCAACCCCTAGCGCTGCCGGTCAGTGTAAGAAATACTGCACTAGATGGACTTCCTATGTTCTGGCTTGAGATCAATTCTACCTGCGGCGCTTTAAAGCATCGTAACCAGACCAGGCTTTTAAGAAAGCAGAGATATTCCCTGCAATTCGAGGGATGCAAAATCACACCTTTAAATTTTCCCTACACTGCCACCTTAAAATGAAGACAACCTCCCTTCTGAATCTTTTTACGCAGCATCAGAAAAAGAAACAGATTTGCGAACGTGCAAAGGAAACGAATTCAACAACAGAAGGCAGGAGTTCCCTAAAGTTTCTTCCTCCCTCCCTCTCTCTCTAATTTCCCATGCAGTGTGGAAAAACCACCTTCAATGCGTGCAGCGCTAGAGGACTACAGCTCCCATGATGCAATGTGCTAAAACAACAACACATACACACAGAGAGAGCTGGCGCAGAAATACGAAAGGAGCCATCCGGAATCCCCAATCTACAATTCTATGCATCTAGGAAAAGGGACCCCTGACCATTAGGTCCAGTCGCGGCCGACTCTGGGGTTGCGGCGCTCATCTCGTTTTACTGGCCGAGGGAGCCGGCGTACAGCTTCTGGGTATGTGGCCAGCAGGACTAAGCCACTTCTGGTGAACCAGAGCAGTGCATGGAAACGCCGTTTACCTTCCCGCCAGAGTGGTACCTATTTATCTACTTGCACCTTTGACGTGCTTTCAAACTGCTAGGTTGGCAGGAGCAGGGACCGAGCAACGGGAGCTCACCCCGTCATTGCGGGGATTCGAACCACCGACCTTCTGATCGGCAAGTCCTAGGCTCTGTGGTTTAACCCACAGCACCACCCGCGTCCCTCTATGCATCTAGCAGGCACCGAATTTCGAGAAACCGTGTTTATATAATGTGCCGAATTTAGCAGCCCAGGTGACCCCTTGCCTGACCAAATGGACTAGAGAAAAGAAAAGAGACCGACGCTGTCAGCTGTCACTCTCTGGGTTGTCTTTTATCTCTCTCCGTGACGTGGCGCCTCTCCCTGGCCTCCTTCCAAGGCTCCTTATCTTAAAAAGTCAAGACCACACGCCCTTCCAAGGCGTGACACAACGCTCTCCTCTGACCGCACATCGCCCGCTGTAAGTCTGCCTCCGTTTGGCTTCCCTCAAGAAAATCAGCAGGAGCAGCTCGAGAAATGGGAGAATGCGTCTTCTTAGAGGAGGCATTCCTACTTGAGAAAGGAGAAAGCTTCCCCATATCTAAAGCCCACTTGATCATCACCTCCTAGACCTGTTCATCTTTGACCTCCCACTCCAATAATGTATCATACATTTTGGATATTACCTTAGTTTTGTTTCGTAATAGCACTTTTTCGAATAATGAAGCTTCGTTTGAGAAACCTTCTTTCTTATCTGACCTGAACACTCCATGCAATCGATGGTACTGGATCCAACCCGTCAGATGTTGTTTAATTTCCTCATAATCTTTAATTACCAATTTATTATCTTTTTCCTTAATCAGATCTTTTCCCCATTATATGTGGCCCATTCAAATTCCATATTTTTCTTTTTTATTGTAATTGCTTCTAGAGGTGATGCCCACCATGGTGTTTTCGGTTCTAGGAGATCCTTATATTTTATCCATGTTTTAAATGATGATTATAAAGAGGAAGAATGCCTCTTTTTAGAGGCATTCCTACTTGAGAAAGGAGAAAGCTTCTTCCTAGGCCAGAGGATCTGTCCCCCTACTGACGGCGCTCCCACTTCAACTCCCGTCAGAATAGCCAACGGGGAAAAAAATCTGGAAAAGTCGGGGATTCCCCGTCCCTGATTCAAGAATCAGCATTCTGCGCTCCATGCAAGAGGCATCTCTGTTTAGAAGAGGCATTCTCTGCGGAGAGATGGAAGAACATCGCTACAAGTGGTACCTTGGTTCTCAAACGCCTTGGTACTCAAACAACTTGGAACCCAAACGCTGAAAACCTGGAAGCAAGTGTTCCGGTTTGCGAACTCTTTCCGGAAGCCAAACATGCTCTGTTTTGAGTTTTGCACTTCCAATTTGAGCGCCACGCTTCCGTTTTGAGTGTTACGCCTGTTTTTGCTGTTTATCTTGCGTTTTTGCAGCTCTTTTTCGTTTTGTTTTCGTGACTGTGTGGAACCCAGTTCAGCTCCTGATCGATCGTGTGACTGCAGTACATTCTTTGTTGCTTTCGTTTTACGGGTCGACGGTCTTGTTAGATAGCAAAATCCACGTTCAGTTGCTGCTTTAAGGGTTGTTTTTAAAAGCCTGGAACAGATCGATCCGTTTTGCATTGCTTTCTATGGGAAAGCGCTGCCTTGGCTTTGGAACGCTTTGGTTTCGGAATGGAGAACCAAGGGTCTGGAGACCAAGCCTGATGAGGAACGGTCGAAGGAGCTGGGTATATTCAGCTTAGAAAAGAGGAGACTGAGAGGAGATCGGGAGAGCCACCTTCAAATATCTCTTAAGGGCTGCCATGTGGAAGAGGGAGCAAGCTTGTTTTCGCCCGCTCCGGAGGGCAGGACTCGAACCCGTGTCTTCAAGGGGCAAGAGAGGAGATTCCGACTCAACATCAGGAAGAACTTTCTGACAGGACGAGGTGCTCGGCGGTGGGATGGAAGGTGGTGGGGTCTCCTCCCTTGGAGGTTTTCAAGCAGAGGTGGGCTGGCCACCTGCCATGGACGCTTTAGCTGAGATTCCTGATTCCTTCCTTCCTTCCTTCCTTCTCTCTCTCCTTCCTTCCTTCTTTTTCTCTCTCTTTCCTTCTCTCTCTCCTTCCTTCCTTCCTTCCTTCCTTCCCTCCCTCTCTCCTTCCTTCTCTCTCTCTCTCTCTCTCTCTCCTTCCTTCCTTCCTTTTCTTCCTCCTCTCTCTCCCTCTCTCCCTCCTTCCCCTACTCCGCCCCCACCCTCTCTAAGTCTTCACAACAAGGAGACCGTAGCAATTACACGTCCCCCTTGATACTGCGACGAGGAACAAACAAGTTGGTACCCGCAACCGCTCGCCTCCTTGTGAGTTGCCTCCGTCCGACTCCCTCACTCCAACACACCCAATCCAGCGTAATGCCACCGCTCCCTCCCCTCGTGTTGACATGCGTGTAAAACCCCCGCAAAAAGACAAATAACTAGAGTCTCACTTACCATGCTAAAATCCAAGAGGTCACTTAGCTCCTTGTCGGTCCCGGCTGCGGCCATTCTCTGCTGCTGGTTCATATTCCCCCCAGATTCAATCGTAGTCCGTCCTTTTTATTATAATTATTCCACACCGACAAAGAGGAGGAGAGGAAGGGATGGGAACAGAGAGTGGAGAGGAGGGAGAGAAAGAAAAAGAGATTTGTTTATTTTTTTAATTTAAAATAATATTTGTGAAACGGAGGAACAAAACCACCCAGAAATAAACGTTTCATTTTGCAAAACTATCCCCACATGCAGGGATCTGCTTTCAAATCCACAAGTGAAATTGAATGGAGGATCCGGGGGGGGGGGAATCAGCGGGTGCAAATTCACCCCCGCAAACACTTTGATTTATTTCTTTCCAAATGTTCCACCCCTGATTTCTGGGCTAGACGGACTGCAAGGTGACGTCTACAGTTTCCGGCCCCCCCCCAAATTATTAGTTTTCTCTCATAACACACAGACAAAATCACAAAAGAAAAGCATTACATTTGACACAACATAAAAACTTAACAACAATAAAAACACACAAAATAAAAGAAGATTTCTTTTCTTCTTATTCCCCGGTATATTTACATTGCTGAAAGACTTCCTGGACACCTTCCGATCTGGATTTTATCATATGACATATTTAGCAGTTCCCAATTTCATATTTATAACATCGGTATCTGGCGAAGTCCACAGTTTTTGCAGGGGTGGGTGGCGAATTTGTGAAATGAAAACAGGATTTTTATTTTTGCAGGAAGGGAAGGGAGTGGGAAATAGAGAACACTTTTATCCTGGGTACCTTTCGAGGCTCTACATCAAATGCCTTTGGCCATCCTTGAAAAACCGATAAACTATCACTACTCAAGAGAGAAGTAAAGGTAAAAGGACCCCTGACCGTTAGGTCCAGTCGTGGCCGACTCTGGGGTTGCGGCGCTCATCTCGCTTTATTGGCCGAGGGAGCGGCGTACAGCTTCCGGGTATGTGGCCAGCAGGACTCAGCCACTTCTGGCGAACCAGAGCAGCGCATGGAAATGCCGTTTACTTTCTCACCGGACTGGTACCTATTTATCTACTTGCACTTTGAGGTGCTTTCGAACTGCTAGGTTGGCAGGAGCAGGGACCGAGCAACGGGAGCTCACCCCATTGCAGGGATTCGAACCACTGACATTCTGATCGGCAAGTCCTAGGCTCTGGGGTTTAGACATAAAGGTAAAGGGACCCCTGACCATTAGGTCCAGTCATGGCTGACTCTGGGGTTGTGGCGCTCATCTCGCTTTACTGGCCGAGGGAGCCGGCGTACAGCTTCCGGGTCATGTGGCCAGCATGACTAAGCCGCTTCTGGCGAACCAGAGCAGCGCACGGAAACGCCGTTTACCTTCCCGCCGGAGCGGTACCTATTTATCTACTTGCACTTTGATGTGCTTTCGAACTGCTAGGTTGGCAGGAGAGGGACCGAGCAGCGGGAGCTCACCGCGTCACAGGGATTCGAACTGCCGACCTTCTGATTGGCAAGTCCTAGGCTCTGTGGTTTAACCCACAGCGCCACCCGCGTCCCTTACTCAAGAGAGAAAACAGCACGCAAATAGAAATGCTAAAGCCTTGGGGAGGAGGAAGTTTTCAGAAAAGAAGGGGTAGACCCAGTTTCCCCCCTCCATTTCCCCCCCAAATGGGCATGAGAACTGGGGGGGAGAACCACCCCACAAACCTTCACATAACCACGCACAAAGCTTATTCTTTTGAGGACAGCAGATTGCTTTTCTCAAGTTTGTGCATTTGTGAGAGTGTTAGAAACCCAGATACTGTATTTTCCGCTCTATAAGACGCACGAGACCACAAGACGCACCAAGTTTTTGGAGGAGGAAAATAAGGAAAAAATATTCTGAATCTCAGAAGCCAGAACAGCAAGAGGGATCGCTGCGCAGCGAAAGCAGCAATCCCTCTTGCTGTTCTGGCTTCTGGGATAGCTGCGCAGCCTGCATTCGCTCCATAAGACGCACACACATTTCCCCTTTCTTTTTAGGAGGGAAAAAGTCAGTCTTATAGAGCAAAAAATACAGTAAGCTTGACGCTAAACGGCTCCTTAAACCAGGGTTGCGGTTGCCAAAATGGAATCTAAGATGGTTCTAAACTCCTATTTTGCAAAGGATGGGCTGGCTGGGACGGATTCTCAGCTGCACATCTGGCTGGGAGTTCGGAGGACAACCTTGAACTGGGCTAAGAGGTCTGGGAACTTAAAAGGAGGAAAGTCCCTTGATCCAAGGACAGTACGGGTATATATTGGCCTCTTCCGACCTCTTTTTTTGAATGGGGACACGGACCATTCATAACGTGGGAATATTCTTCCCAATGGTGAACATTGGGAAGCAAAGACAAGCGACAAGAATTCACTATAATGTCGTTCGCTGCTCCAGCTCAGGCTGCACAAAAGTAGAATTTTGGTCTCTGAAATTCATTAAATAATAATAATAATAATAATAATAATAATAATTTATTATACCCCGCCCGTCTGACTGGGCTTCCCCAGCCACTCTGGGCAGCTTCCAACAAAACACTAAAATACAACAACCTATTAAACATTAAAAGCTTCCCTAAACAGGGCTGCCTTCAGATGTCTTCTAAAACTTTGGTTGTTATTTTTCTCTTTGACATCTGGTGGCAGGACGTTCCACAGGGCGGGTGCCACCACCGAGAAGGCCCTCTGCCTGGTTCCCTGTAACTTCTCTTCTTGCAGTCAGGGAACCGCCAGAAGGCCCTCGGAGAGGGACCCCGGTGTCCGGGCTGAACGATGGAGGTGGAGACGCTCCTTCAGGTCTACTGGACCAAGGCCGTTCCATTCCAATGGTGCAGATAAAATATTGTGGATAGGATTCTATGGGGTGGGGTCTTAAGTGTCCAGATCCAAGGATCCCTTGATGGCAGAGACGTCAGACGTCATCCTGGCACCCAGGCGTCTTCACACGGTCGCAAGCGGCCGAAAGCAAGGTGCAAAATGCGCCTGGCAAATTTTGAACGCCGTGGAAGGGGTCGCCCAGAGAAAAATACACCTTGCAGATCTCCAATGCTGGCACGGACACTGGGAAAAGGCCACTGATGGCACAACGTTGGAGACCCCCTGCTCTGGCTTCTAGGGTTGTCGGACCGCCAGGTGGGCTCGAATCTCTAGGTGAGCAAGAGGGTCTTTAACAACGACAATAAAGGTAGTAAGTATGTCCCACAGAGGAACTTACGGTCTTCAAACAAAAACATCTTGAAGGTCCCAGGCCACAGAGAGGTTAGTCTGGCCTCAACCAGAGCCAGGGCCTTTTCGGCTGTGGCCCCGATCTGGTGGAATGCTCTGTCACAAGAGACCAGGGCCCTGCGGGACTTGACATCTTTCTGCAGGGCCTGCAAGACAGAGCTGTTCCACCAGGCCTTTGGTCAGGGCACAGCCTGACTCCCTCCCTTTGGCAGTCTTCACAGAACTCTAGCCCAATGGTTGCCATCAATTTGATTTGAATTAATTTTATAATGAAATGATTTTAGAATGTTGCACTATTTTATTGTTGTTAGCTGCCCTGAGCTCGGCTCCGGCTGGGGAGGGCGGGATATAAATAAAATTTATTATTATTATTAAGAGGACTGTGCCTGCAGCTTGCAAGCTTCAGTGTGGATGGAACAAGCCGCAAAGCATTGCATGGACTCTGAGAGCAAGTGGCTACCCCCCATCACTTCCCTTCTCCCAATTAACCTCCGTCTCCAAAGCTTAGTGGATGGGGGGGAAAGAATCACCAGGGTGCACCCCTGGGTATAACCAACCGGCTGCTTTTCTGACACACACATGCATTTGGCAATTGTGTACTGCACACTTCAGCGTGGCAGGAACAGGCCGCAAAGTATTGCATGGACTCTGAGAGCGAGTGGCTTCTCCCCACAACTTCCCTTCTCCCAATTAACCTCCGTCTCCAAAGTTTAGTGGATGTAGGGCATAGCTGTCAAGAGTCCCTTATTTGGTGGGACAGTCCCTTATCCCAGCGCCATGTCCCGCTGCTGTCCCTTATTGATGATGTCCCTTAAATAAGCTACTGAAGGTAATGGGGCCCTTTCTATGTCCAGCTGTCCTTTGTCAACAACAAATAGTTGCTTTTTTGTGTTGAATATATGCTACATGGTAATTTATGGACCTAATAGGTATCTAAAGCCATTTGCACGCAACAAAATATGTATTTTATCAAAGTAATTGTTGATCCCTTATTTTGGCTGTTGATCCCTTATTTTCGAGGCTGCTGGTCCCTTATTTTCAAACCTGTAAATTGACAGCTATGATGTAGGGCTTGTTCCTTTTACACATATTTGCACGAGAAAACCTACACACAACTACAGAATCAGATAATCCTTTAATACCGTGCAAACCTTACCGGTGTCAGTAAGACCACCACCCCACACAGGAATATTATAAATATATCTTCCCTGGAACACTTACGTCCAGCCGGAATGAGCCCTTAAAACTCCGATAATTGGTTGTTATCCAGAGCTGGTCCAGCTCAGAATAGACCCATTAGAGAAAGAAAGGTATGGCTCCCTTGCTTTCCTTACTCAAGAGGAGAAATGAGTTGGCCACAGCCCAATACCCTATTGCAGGCACCCCCAAACTTGGCCCTCCAGATGTTTTGGGACTACAACTCCTATCATCCCTAGCTAACAGGACCAGTGGTCAGGGATGATGGGAATTGTAGTCCCAAAACTTGGGGAATGAGCGTAACTCAGTGGCTCCAAACGTAGGCAGTCCCAAATTCAATTATCACCATCTCCATGTAGGGCAGTTGGGGTTGGGGGGAGGGAAGACTCGCACCCGAGACCCTGGAGAACTGCTGCTGGTCAGTGTAATAAATAATAATAATAATAATTTATTATTTATATCCTACCCATCTGGCTGGGTTTCCCCAGCCACTCTGGGCGGCTCCCAACAGAAGATCAAAAACACGATAAAACATCAAACATTAAGAGCTTCCCTAAACAGGGCTGCCTTCAGATGTCTTCTAAAAGTCAAGTAGCTGCTTATTTCCTTGACATCTGGCGGGAGGGCGCCACCACCAAGAAGGCCCTCTGCCTGGTTCCCTGTAACCTCACTAGGTCAGGTGGAGAGACAGCGACTGGCCCAAAGTCACACCCGGTGAGCTTCAGGGCCAGGGGGAGATTTGAACCCGGGTCTCTCAGTTCCCAGTAAGTCACTCTAAGCCCTAAACCATACTGGCTCTCTGATTTTCCCGCCAGCCACTTTGGGCGGCTTCCATTACATAGAAAAACAGAATAAAACTTCAAACGTTAAAAAGCTTCCCTAAACAGGGCTGCCTGCAGATGTCTTCTAAAAGTCAGATAGTTGTTTATTTCCTTGGCATCTGATGGGAGGGTGTTCCACAGGGCGGGCGCCACCACCGAGAAGGCCCTCTGCCTGGTTCCCTGTAACCTCGCTTCTCGCAGGGAGGGAACCACCAGAAGGCCCCCGAGAGATGGACCCCGGTGTCCGGGCTGAACGATAGGGGTGGAGACGCTCCTTCAGGTATACTGGGCCATTTAGGGCTTTCAAGGTCAGCACCAACACTTTGAATCAGGAGTCAGCAAACTTTTTCAGCAGGGGGCCGGTCCACTGCCCCTCAGACCTTTTGGGGGGCCAGACTATATTTTGGAAATAAAAATGAACGAATTCCTATGCCCCACAAATAACCCAGAGATGCGTTCTAAATAAAAACACACATTCTACTCATGTAAAAACACACTGATTCCTGGACCGTCTGTGGGCCAGATTTAGAAGGCGATTGGACCATTTCTGGCCCCCGGGCCTTAGTTTGCCTACCCATGTTTGAATGGTTCTCGGAAACGTCCTGGGAGCCAATGTAGGTCTTTCAGGAGCGGTGTTATACGGTGTAGACAGAATTGGCTAAGACAGCACTGAGCAAGGATCTGATTCAGTTTAAAGCAGTTTTCACTTCGGAAACCCTGAGGACTAAAACCTTGTTTAATTTCAGGAAAGAGCGTCATGAGTACCTACTTTGAACACTTAAGGTCCCAGGTTCTGACACCCCCCACAAGCAGCTCTAGGTGGGGCTGAGAATGACCCTGGCCTGAAATTCCCCCAGGGAAGAGAATGTCTCTTCTCTTGTTACGAGAAAGGACGGGTCCATTCAGCGATAAAACGGCTGGCACCTTTGCAAAGCTCAACAGGGCCCGGCATGGTTTGGAATTGGATGGGAGACCGTGTCTTGAGACCCCTGGCATTGCGGCGGGCTGGGACAGATATCCTTTGGAGTTCCCTTTCAACTCACAGGTTCTCGGTTCTTATGAAACCTGTATCCCTTCAGACGTTGAAGGATTTCCTCAACCACAGCCAGCATAGCCAAAAGACAGGAGTCCAGAAATATCTCGAAGCCACCAGCCCAACAACAGCAGCTTTTCCCCCCCAGCACAGAAGCTGCTCCTGCAATTTCTGGATCCGACCCTCCAAAGCTGCAATCCAGGTTTTTTTTTATCCTACGCTCCTTTGGTCCATAATGCACCCGCGGTTAAGGGTCACAGATCCACCAGTTTCAAGGGTCGGTACGAGAAAATAAAAATGGAATTGCGGTCATTTAGTCCATGGGTAGGCAACGTAAGGCCAGGGGGCCGGATCCAGCCCAATCACCTTCTCAATCCGGCCCGCGGACGGTCCGGGAATCAGCGTGTTTTTACATGAGTAGAATGTGTCCTTTGATTTAAAAGGCATCTCTGGGTTATTTGTGGGGCACAGGAATTTGCTCATTATTATTTTTTCAAAATATAGTCTGGCCCCCCACAATGTTTGAGGGACAGTGGACCAGCCCCCTGCTGAAAAAGTTTGCTGACCCCTGATTTAGTCCAACCCCTTGGCAACGCAGGAAGCTTTTGCCCAACGTTGCCCTGCAGCTGCGGGTTCGAGAAACACCACGAAACTCAGGGTCACGCAACGGACAAAAGGAAACAGACACAGAACGAAACCGGCGGAACTCCCTGCCATTAGACGTCCATTTAATGCAAATATAATAATGCATGGAGCGATATGCTTGTTTCTGAGAAAGGCCGGGGTGGCGTTGCAAGGAAATTGTACTTTGCACGTGCTCTTCTGCCCACAAACATTGCTGGATACACACACAGGAGAGGACTGGCTCAAATCTCAGAGAATTACAGCAACAGAACCAGATCTCCAGATTTACCGTATTTTTTGCTCTATAAGACTCACTTTTTCCCTCCTAAAAAGTAAGGGGAAATGTGTGTGCGTCTTATGGAGCGAATGCAGGCTGCGCAGCTATCCCAGAAGCCAGAACAGCAAGAGGGATTGCTGCTTTCACTGCGCAGCGATCCCACTTGCTGTTCTGGCTTCTGAGATTCAGAATATTTTTTTTCTCGTTTTCCTCCTCCAAAAACTAGGTGCGTCTTATAGAGCGAAAAATACGGTATTTACTTTTCATTTGTTTTGGAAGGAAGTATATTTCCTCTTGACCACAATGGCCACACTAAAATGAGATAGCTGTCGGTTTCTACTCTGGCCTCCCCAAATGTGCTCGGTTGCTGCAAAGTGCAAAGTCAATTTATTCTTCGTGTGGTGCAGTGGTTAGAGTGCGGGACTACGGACCTGGGAGAGCAGGATTCGAATCCACCCTCCGCCCCAAAGCTGATGAGGAGACCTTGTCTCGGCCAACATCTCTCAGGCTAACCTACCTCACAGGGTTGTCGTGAGCCTTGGTAAAAAGGTGGGAGATAAATGTAATAATGATGAAGATGAGTAAAGGGACCCCTGACCGTTAGGTCCAGTCATGGCCGACTCTGGGGTTGCGGCGCTCATCTCGCTTTACTGGCCGAGGGAGCCGGCGTCCAGCTTCCGGGTCATATGGCCAGCAGGACTGAGCCGCTTCTGGCGAACCAGAGCAGCGCACGGAAATGCCGTTTACCTTCCCGCCGGAGTGGTACCTATTTATCTACTTGCACTTTGACGTGCTTTCGAACTGCTAGGTGGGCAGGAGCAGGGACCGAGCAATGGGAGCTCACCCCGTCATTGCGGGGATTCGAACCGCCGACCTTCTGATTGGCAAGCCCTAGGCTCTGTGGTTTAACCCACAGTGTCACCCGCGTCCCTACTTGCAAAGCCGCTAGTCCACATCAAACAGACATTTGAAGAGTGGAAGAATCAAATGCATGTTTACTCCGTGGGAAATCCCACTGGGTCCAGTGAGGGCTTACTCCCATGTAAGCAGGCTCCGGACTGCAGCGCAACAACACAACATCTCCCCTGTTTACTTGGTGCAGGATTAAGCCTTGTTAAATGCGGAGGCCTTACTTCTGAGTATGCAAACCCATCCAAACCAGCCATCATTTGTTAAAAAGACAAACAAACAAACCTGCTATTTAGATTGTGTGTGTGTCGTCGTCCCCCAAACACAACCCGGCTTCTATTTTACATCATGTTTAAGAATTTAGAAGGGGTATCTCCAAAAACACCCGGCAATTTTTACCTTTTTTTTTACGCCGGCCTTCCTCACGCCGCATTTAAAACTGAGAAGCCAACTGGGGATTGGGGAGGGGGCAAAAAAATAATGTGTATTTTTAAAAAATCTGTGCTCAAAAGCGATATATTCTTTGCGGATCCGGAGACCTGTGTGTGTTCCTGGGCTGGGAACACAAATTTACTAGCAGGTGGCAATGTGAGGGGGGGGGGGAGAGAAGCAAGGTAAATATGTATCAAACCACACGCCCTTGGGGGGGGTCAGTCAGGACACAGGGACCCGTGCCACCCACAGAGAATTTCGCTTCCCCACCGAATGTTTCTACAGATATGGATATTGTTGCATGGGCGAAAAACGTAATGTCAATATTGACTGCTTCCTTGCATTCTGGGATGGTTTGGGAGGGGGGTTAAGCTGTGGGGAGGATTTATCCCACACATACATTCCTCCACCCAGTGGGCAGAACCCCCAAAACAGCTTATGCGTCTTGCCACCCTAAGGCGTTGCTGGAAATGTGTGGGATACCGGGGTTCTCGCTGGTCTGGGAAGGAGACCGGGGGTCCCAGGCCTTGGGGGGGTGTTCCCAGGCCTGCCCCTTCGCTCTCTGCAAACCCCACCCCCCCATGTGAAAAAGGGCAAGGACAGATCAAGACCCAAGGGCAAAAAATATGGGGGGACGACGACACAGGCAAGGCCCGATTCTGCTCTGCACCTGCCTCCGTAAAAAATAAAAATTAAAAAATTCGGTATACGGAAAGGCCACGCCTCCGCACACAAAAATATTGTGGAATTAAAAGGGGGATTTCTACCTTCCCGGTGCGCCGCCCCCCCCAAAGAAAAAAACTCCCTCCCCTATTGCACTTCAACCGGACTCAGTTCCTGAGCCTTCTCCTGCCAGGGCTGAGAGTTTTATGAGTTTAGGACAAAGAGTTTCTAGCCAGTCTCACCCAACCCTCCTCCTTTTTCGACTGCATCCCTCCCCCTTCTCCCTTCCTCCATCTCTCTCTCTTCTCTCCCCCCCCCTTTCTTGTCCTCCAAAACCAATTCCCACAGCACCCACTTTGTAATAATATATTTTTTAAAAATCCCAGCAGGCAGGGTTGACAATACTTTGGAGCGCAATCGAAGCGTTTGACCCCCCCCCCCCAGTGCAATTTAACACACACTCTGGGAAAAAATGGGGTGGGGGCGAGGGGGTGGGGGGAGAGAGAGGGGAAGGCATCGCACACAAAGCAGAAGAAGGGGGCAGGTCCGGCCTCGTGTGCACTCGCAAGAAAAGTTTGCAGAGGCACACACAAAGCTCCCTGCAGCTGCCATTCACACACAGAGAGAGCTTTTTACTGGGGGGGGGGGGAATCCACAGACAGACAGGCAGACCTTCCCCCCCCCAATGAGTTTAATTCAGCAGGCCAGACATCTCTTTTGCATGCAAACAGCTGCTGCCTTGGACCACTCCAAAATAAAAATTCAAAATAATTGCAAGTGCCACCATTATGGTATTACAGTTCAGCCCACAGAGACAAATGCGATCTATCCTATTTTTGCAAGCTACACACAAACAGTGTTGCTAAATCGGAGGATCTGGTCTTACGGCGCAAACCTTGCTGGTGTCCGAAAGATCAGCACGTATACAGAAATACCATAAATATGTCTTTCCACGTTTAAAACCTGGGAGTGTGGGCCTGGGGGAAACGGCGACTCCATTAATATTAAGTCCTCGTAATTCCTCATGCACACAGAAATATAAATATATCTTCCGACAGCAACTTGTGCAAAACAAGCTTCCAGGTTGTCTGCATAGACAAGGCAGAATAAAATGAATTTTTGGAAGAGTTTTGGATTCCCTGGTTAAGACACAGACTAGCAGGAGGGACGGGAAATTTGCACACACAATGGGACTTCAGACAAAACTTAGGATGGTGGTGTGTGTGTTTGTGTATGTGTGTTTGGGAAGGGGGAGGAGACAGAGGAAGGCAAACTGATGTCCACAAACAGGCCAAATCAACCCGAGACAATTGTTTCAGACAAGCAAACACGTGCAAAAAACCAAAAAAAACATCAAGGGGCCTTTTAAGAAAACCACCAATGGCCCAAACTTCCCTGAAGTCATTTCTTTTTGTCCAAAAACTCAGCCTTATTCGGGGAGCTCCTTCGTGAAATTAAGGGTTGTTTTGTGCCAAAAGAGTGATACGTTCTATGGCTTCATTTTGCTAACAATAAGGGGAGTTGTGGGGTGTGGGGGGAAGGCAGAGAATAAAATCCGTGGTGGAAAAAGGGACATTAAATTTGGGGAGCCTGTCTGGGAAAGGCTGGCTTGTGAGAAGGTGGAGACTGGGAACCTGTAAAAGAGGAATAATCTGCCCATGTGGTAGAGGCCTACCTGGAAAAACACAAAACTCAAGCCATTCCTAATTCTTATTTACTGGATCTTTCAGGGTCAGCGGGCAGGCGTGGGATGGTGCACAGTGGCCGGCCGAAATTATGGGACGTCGAGCAAGAGGAATAAAAAATGGGGGATTAAAACGGGAGAGATTATGATGTAACTGTATACATTACTTTCTCAGAGGCACCAGCCACTAGCAGAAAGTCCGGATAGGCAGAAGTGTCTATTCAAAGGGACTGTTAAAAAAACTCTCTGGGAGACGAACTCGGGATCAAGACCACCTCTGGGAACAACTCTGGGGTTGCCCCACACCTCCCCATCGAAACCCTCTTTTCGCACAGGTAAATTTGTGGGGAAAAGTTTGCAGTCAGGGTACTGTACAATTGTACAGTTTGATATAATCTGATACAGTTCAATATACCGTAGGTGGTTGTTAATGGGGTGAATTGGGTGTGAAATTCGGGGTGTCCCCCCCCCACATACACCTCAAGGAAAAATAAACTCCTGGAATTCAAAAGCTGCTAGTGTAACCGGTTCAAAAAAATATAAGACAACAACAACAACACACAGACAGAGCCAACAAGCACAATGTGGCCTGACTGTATTCCATAAGTCCACGAGGCAGGAAAATGGGGAGGCTGGACCGCCCCTCACACACAAAAAACAGAACTTTCAAATAGTTCTAGATACAGTAGCAGTAGCAGCCCGCCCCCCAAAAAGAACATTTAACTGGGAGGTGGAAAGAAGTTAGGGAGACCCTCTCTCTCCCCCCCCCTTTTCCTTGCTTCCACTAACTTCCCGCCCCATAAAGTTTAACACCACTTCCGGGGGGGGGAGAGGAGAGAGAGAGAGAGAGAGAAAGAAAGGGCAAGAGAGGGAGAAGGAATCCCTCACCATTTTTAAAAATAATAAATAAATAAATTGCAGGGGGGGTGGCGATAGGGATGCGGGGTGGCGGTGGGGTGGGGAGAGGGGGGGCCCCCCGAGGAAAGTCTCGCAGAAACGGCCAAGTTAAGTTTCCACCACGGTGGGGTCTTTAAGTCTGACCTGAGCGCGCCCCCCCTCACCCGCCGCCCCACACAAAATAGTTCCGAGGAGGAGGGGGAGGAGTCAAAAGTGAACATTCCCCCCCCAAAAAAATTAAAAGTAGCAGCCCTTTCCCCCCCTCCCCCCGTTCCTCCAGCTTACCTGCTCAGTTTGTGGCGAAATATGGGGGGCGCGGGTGCGGGTGGGGGGCGTCCGCGTCACATCCACGGCTGGCTCGCGTTGATCCCCGGGGCGCAGCCGGGGTGCGCGCGCCCCGGTCCGTCTCCTAAACCTTCCTATTGTTCTCCCGGCGGCGGCTGTGGCAAGGCTTGGCGGAGGCGGCGTTCCCAAACCCCCCCTCCCTCCCCACCTCTTTTTTTTTTAAATAACAATGTAATAATAATTTTTAAAAAAAGAGATACAGAGAGGCGAAGGGCTACAATGTAGCAAAAAAATAAGCAAAACAGGGAAGGGAGCAAGGAAAGGAATTTTAAAAAAGAGAGAGAGGGAGGGAAGGAAGGAAGGAAGGGGAAAGAGATTAAAAGGAGGAGAGAGGACGGGAAGGTTCGGGGTTCCGCGCGCGCCCCGTCCCGGCGCCCGGATTGGCCGCGCCGAGCGTTCGATCGGATGTTTGGCCCGCGCCGAACGTTCGATCGGATGTGCCGAGCGTTCGATCGGATGTGCGAGCGTTCGATCCCCTTTGATGTGCCCTCGCCGACGTTCCACTCGCTTCCCGGCGGCCGCGGGGGAGGGAAGGAAGGAAGGAGGGAAGGAGGGAGGGAAGGGGGGGTGGGAAGGAAAGTAAAAGTGTCTCTCCTGGGTTTTTCCCCCCTCCCCTCTTTTCTTTCCTCTCTTTTTTTCCTCCCCCCTTTTCTCTCTCTCTCTCTCTTTTCCTCTCCCCTCCTTTTTTCCTCTTTCTTTCTTTCCTCCGGCTCCCCCCTTCTTTTTAGGGTTTGATCCGCTGGCTCATCGTTGCAAGAGGCTTTTCGCTTCGCTTCTCTCTCTCTCCGTGGGTTTCTGTTTCTCTGCCCCCCCTCCCTCCCTCCCCCGCGGCTCGCTCGCTCGCTCGCTGGGGCAGGCAAAGGCGGACGGGCGCCCCCTTCTCCTCCTGTGCTTACACACGCATCCACACACACACACACACGCGTCAAGGCCTGCCTTCCCCGACGTATCCTTCCGCCGCATCAACCACCATTACGACCAGCTGCACAACTTTGAAAAAAAAAATAATTAAAAAAATAATAATGAACGGGGTGGGGAGGGAAGGAAGGAGTTTGGGTGGCTGGCTCTGCCCACGAGGCTCCGTCCCTCTCGTCCGCCGCCCCCTCCTCTCGCCAGCTCCCAAATACTTAAGAAGAGAGAGGGGAGAAACTCGGATTTTTCAGCATTGTGATTTAAAAGGGCTATCTCCCCAGAATAGGGTCTCTAGCAGGGCGCGCAAGCTTTTTCTTCCCCTTTAAGAAAAATACACACACTCTTCCCCCCCCCCCACAGCAGATCCCAATGTATTTATTTTAATTTTTTTTAGGTGTGCGGGGGCCCGTGGAAGAGATGAAAGCGGTCGATTAAATGGCTGCCCTCGTGTGTGTGGTTTTTTTTTTGTTTTTAAAGGGGACGCAGAGCTGAGGGCCGTTGGTCTGACGCTCGCCGGCCCCCCCATGCCAAAAGCACACTTGCAACTCTTCTTCCATAGGCAAATGGAGGGGGGTGGCAAGGGGATCAAAAAAACTGCTCATCCCCCTCCAGTTTAATAGAAGATCCAGCAATTTTAAGGCTCTCCCCATATTAAGAACTATATATATAGTTTCCTCCATGCTCTAAAGTGAGAGGGAGGGGTGAGAGTAACACCCCCCCCCCCGATTTTAACCTTCACACTCCAGGGTCAACGGCCACCCGCTCTCCATGGCAGCCCCAAAGTAGTTCTGGAAGCCCCCCCAACTTTAGGTAGTTTCCCCTCCCTCACAACACATACAGAAAGCACCACAAAATAGCCCCCATTACACAGACCTATGGGTACCTCCTGTTTCCACCCTAAAACTCTAGGGCACCCCATCAGATCAGGGGTCCCCAAAACCACACAGGACTGGCAGAGGTTGAGTTAGGGTCCTTTGGGAACCCCACAAAGCAGAACCTCCTAACTGATCTCTCACACACCCCTCGAGTCGACCTGTCCAGAGGAGGGCAACCAAAATGGTCAAAGGCCTGGAAACGATGTCTCATGAGGAACGGCTAAGGGAGCTGGGCATGTTTAGCCTGGAGAAGAGGAGGTTAAGGGGTGATATGATAGCCATGTTCAAATATATAAAAGGATGTCACATAGAGGAGGGAGAAAGGTTGTTTTCTGCTGCTCCAGAGAAGCGGACACGGAGCAATGGATCCAAACGACAAGAAAGAAGATTCCACCTAAACATTAGGAAGAACTTCCTGACAGTAAGAGCTGTTCGACAGTGGAATTTGCTGCCAAGGAGTGTGGTGGAGTCTCCTTCTTTGGAGGTCTTTAAGCAGAGGCTTGACAACCATATGTCAGGAGTGCTCTGATGGTGTTTCCTGCTTGGCAGGGGGTTGGACTCGATGGCCCTTGTGGTCTCTTCCAACTCTATGATTCTATGATTCTATGATTCTATGCTCCTGTGTTCTGCACTCCCTGATCCCCACTGCTTGTGCTCCCCAGGGCCCCCCCAAAAGTGGACTTGGGCATTTAGTGGTGACTCGCAGGGCCCACAGAACAGATCTCCCCTTGCAATGTTCCTGCCATCCCTGAGACCCACATCGCAAGGCCTCCAACATTTCTCTGATGAAATTAAGGCATCTTATTCCATCCCCTCCAACGTTTCTCCCCTGAAAATAGGGACGTCCTATTCCATCCCCTCCAACGTTTCTCCCCTGAAAATAGGGACGTCCTATTCCATCCCCTACAACGTTTCTCCTGTGAAAATAGGGACGTCCTATTCCATCCCCTCCAACGTTTCTCCCCTGAAAATAGGGGCGTCCTATTCCATCCCCTCCAACGTTTCTCCTGTGAAAATAGGGACGTCCTATTCCATCCCCTCCAACATTTCTCTGATGTAATTAGGGACGTCCTATTCCATCCCCTCCAACGTTTTTCCTGTGAAAATAGGGACGTCCCATTCCATCCCCTCTAACGTTTCTCTGATGAAATTTGGGACATCTAAGGAAAAATGGGACATTCTGGGATAAAACCAGAAACCACGTGGCTGGAGAAATCCAGTTTAATGAGTGAGGTATGATTGATAAAATTATTATTAATATCATGGAACAAGGCGCCCCTGAGACCTGCGGGTATAGGACGGTATATAAATTCAATCAACCAATCCATAAAATAAAATACTCAAGAGTAGGCCCACTGGAATTAAGGTATGACTTTGTTCTACGGCCCTCAATGTAGGTTTAGGAACTTAGGTCTATGACTAAACCTTCAAAGGACTTTTCTGATCATTAGAGCTGTTCCATCCATAGCTGCCAACAAAGGTCCATATAGTAAAAGCTCTGATTTTCCCAGTAGTGATGTATGGAAGTGAGAGCTGGACCATCAAGAAGGCTGATCGCCGAAGAATGGATGCTTTTGAATTCTGGTGCTGGAGGAGACTCTTGAGAGTCCCATGGACTGCAAGAAGATCCAACCTCTCCATTCTGAAGGAAATCAGCCCTGAGTGCTCACTGGAAGGACAGATCCTGAAGCTGAGGCTCCAAGACTTTGGCCACCTCATGAGAAGAGGAGAAACCCTGGAAAAGACCCTGATGCTGGGAAAGATGGAGGGCACAAGGAGAAGGAGGCGACAGAGGACGAGATGGTTGGACAGTGTTCTTGAAGCTACCAGCATGAGTTTGACCAAACTGCGGGAGGCAGTGGAAGACAGGAGGGCCTGGCGTGCTCTGGTCCAGGGGGTCACAAAGAAGCGGACACAACTAAACGACTAAACAACAACATCCATAGCTCAGTCGGTAGAACGTGAGACTTATCAGTCACAGGGTGTGGGTTCGAGTTCCCCCAAAATTCCTGCGTTGCAGGAAGTTGGGCTAAATTGACCCAACTCAACAATTCTATTGGGGTTTTTTTGCAGGGGGGGGTGTTATTGAGTTGTTTGGATTTCATTTGCATATATTTTGTGGTTTTATATTATGATTTCATCCTGTGAACTGCCCTCAGACCTGCGGGTATAGGACAGTATATTATTATTATTATTATTAATATGAGATCTTCAGCAGTGGAATGGTCTGCAGGTGGCGGACTCTCCTTCCCTGGAAGTCTTTTAGCAGAAGCTGGGTAGCCATCTGCCACGGGATTCTTTAGCTGGGATTCCTGCATTGCAAGCGGGTTAGGCTAGATGACCGCTGGGGTCCCCATTTCCAACACCGCCTTTCTACGATTCTGCGAATTCCAGTGGTTCTACTGGATTGCAACCCAATAGAAATATAATACATAATAAAGTAAGATCAACAGAATCGGTTGCTTTCTTGCTCGCTTTTTAAAATTAAAATTATTTTGCGTTCTTTAAAATTCACATATACCGAAAAGGAAAAAAAGAATACATAAAAGAAAAAAGAAATTAAAATATTTGTCAAATGCACAACATTATTTAAGGACTACAAACCATCATTTGAATAACCTATACACAAAATTTAAAAAAATATGTAAAAGAAATAAAAGGAAAAAGGAAAAAAATATTTGTCAAATGCACAACATTATTTAAGGACTACAAACCATCATTTGAATAACCTATACACAAAATTTTTAAAAAATATGTAAAAGAAATAAAAGGAAAAAATATTTGTAAAATGCACAACATTATTTAAGGACTACAAACCATCATTTGAATAACCTATACACAAAATTTTTAAAAAATATGTAAAAGAAATAAAAGGAAAAATATTTGTCAAATGCACAACATTATTTAAGGACTACAAACCATCATTTGAATAACCTATACACAAAATTTAAAGGGGAAAAATTAAAAAATTGCCGGGTGGGGGTTAGGAGAGACAAGCCCGCAAAAAAAAAAAAGGCAAAACAAAATAGTAAAAAAATTAATAAAAATACATTGGGGGTGTGGCTCCTGAGAGTGGGCGGAGCGAGGAGGAGCCACGCTAGAAGGTGGAGAAATAGGGACTACTTTTCCTCCGGCGGAGGGACACGAGCGAGGAGGAGCTGCGCGATGCGGCCGCGAGCGCAGCAGCAGCGTGACGAAATGGGAGCACCGGAGAGAGAGAGATGGAATGATAAGGCCGCGGGGCAGGGTCCAATGGGAGGGCGCGGCGGCGCGGAGTAGCGTGAGCGCCGGCCAATGGGAGAGGCCCTCCCTGCCCTCCGCCCCTCCCCTCGGCCTGCCAGCCCTTCTTCGCCCACTGAGCAAGGGGGAGGGGCCCCGCGGGCAGCTGCCGCGATTCTTCGTTTCGCCTGCGCCGCCCGCTCCGCCTTCGCCGTCTCGGGCGTCAATTGGTTTAGCGCTCCCTCGCCTCCCAATATCAAATATATATGTTTATTATTCTACTTTAATATCCTGCAAGAAGACAGGTTGTAGCATGTGCAGGCAGCCCTGTTTAGGGAAGCTTTTAATGTTTGACAGACCACTGTATTTTAATACTTTGTTGGAATACTTTGGGGAAACCCAGCCAGATGGGCAGGGTGTAAATAATAAATTATTATTATTATTATTATTATTATTATTGGGGAAAGGGCTAGGGGTGAACCAATGGGGGGGGAATAGGAAAACATATTATAATCTTAGAATATCTCATGGTGAAGATACATAAAACGAAAGGGTTTAAGGTCAGTGAGAAGTTTGAGAAGATATTGAATTTTTGGGGCAGGTTTGAACAATCTGGGGCAATTAAAATGTTAAAAGTTAAATAAACCTACTTTAATATCCCACAAGAAGACAGGTTATAGCGTCTGAAGGCAGCCCTGTTTAGGGAAGCTTTTAATGTTTAACAGACCACTGTATGTTAATACTTTGTTGGAAGCTGCCCAGAGTGGCTGGGGAAACCCAGCCAGATGGGCAGGGTGTAAATAATAAATTATTATTATTATTATTATTGGAAATATGCAGAAGAGCTAGGGGTGAACCAACGGAGGGGAAAACAGGAAAAAGTAATTACAATCTTAGAATATCCAACTGTGAAGATACATAAAATGAAAGGGTTTAAGGTCAGTGAGAAAGGAGGAGGGTTGGTTTGAGAAGATGTTGAATTATTTGGGCAGGTTTGAACAATCTGGGGCAATTAAAATGTTAAAAGTTAAATACACCTTGCAGAGGGAGGAGTGTTGAGGTATATAGAATTGTATGGTTGATTTGAATGTGTTATTATTGATTATGTATACTCAATGTATCAGCCGCCTGGAGAGTTTCACTGTTTGTGTTTTGGGTTATTGGTAAAATAATAATAAAATAATATCCTGCAAGAATGTGCCTTGGACTTCAAGAAACGTATCTTCTGAATGTGCCAGAATGTATCTTTTTTCATTGTATCTTTTTCATTGACTTCCAGAACATATCTAAACGTATCTTTGCTCTAAATGCTGTTGTATCTGTTTCCTGAATGTATCTAAATGTATCTTTTATCTAAATGTAATTTCCCCACTCTCATCACCTAGTCCTAGAGAATATACCTTAATGTAACAATCACTTGTTTCAATTGTATTTGATTATTTGATTCAGCAGTAAATGCAACTTTGGATTTGCTGAAAGTCTGCAACTTTTGATGATTTGCGACGGGGGTGCAAATTTTACAAGAATGAATAAATAGGAATGAATGGGGAGGCTTGCGGGAATTAAATGCGTATGCACTTACCTCCCCTGTGGTTTCTGCTTCAAACAAGTCGGAATTTGAATTTGTATTTTTGTTGTTGCTGTTTAGTCATTTAGTCGTGTCCGACTCTTCGTGA